GGTAGGCTCGGTCAACAGTAGATATTATTGAATCCGCTCGATAGATTTGATATTGCCGCGGCCATTACATCCATGGATCGCTTCCTCTCCTTTTCAGGGGTCCAAACCAGCTTGTCAAGAGCCCTACAATTTCCACTCATCCTTGCGGGTTCGGTCAGAGGAAGAGGAATACAAAGACACGAGGAAGGGTAAACCGGGTGGCGAGATGCACCGAGACGCTTTTTCAAATCGATCGATTCCGCACTACCAATAGATTTGTCTCCTTCTATCCATCCCTCTCTCACCCAGACACCCAGAGCCGTTCGTCCGCCTTTTTCCAGTAGGTTGGTGGGTGCCATACCGACAGCGAGGAGGGAGGGGGGCAGGGGACCAAAAACGAGAGGAGGGGGCGTGGCCATAAGCTAAAATTTCTGGCCAGGTCGGCCCTCAACGCCTTTGGACGGCATGAGTTGTTCGGGAGGGACAGGATGCAGTGTGGGGAGACCCGGGTTTTGCACGAACATGGATGGCGTCACTGGTGGTTAAGCAAAGCCAAGAAGTATAGCGTGTTCTTGGTTCATTTTGGGTGTCCGAAGGAGGGGCTTGTTGGGGGAGAGGAATTGAGGGGGTACGGCAGATGGCCGGTTTGATTACAAGACGGACACCAACAGCGTGTTGGAGGAGAGGGGATGGATGGCCTTGCAAATAAAGAAGCCATCATCTCCGTCCGGATGACCTAGGAGCATTAAACGATTGCGAGTTATCTGCCTGATCGGGGACAAAAGTCCGTACTCGGGTTGATGTTCGCGGGCCTCCTCTTTCTCGCTCGTCCACCAAGCTGTCGAGTGTGGGGAGGAACTATCCATACCAAGTAGAGTAGATGGTGGACGAAGACCGTGCCTTCCTCTAAGTGGGAGTTCTTTTTCTTCTTTTTTGGCCTTTTCTTTTGCCTTTTTTTTTTCTTTCTCCTTCCTCTTCAGCTTCTTCCCCGTTCGGCGGCCATGCTCCTTCAGTCATTCGATGCCCCCAAGCCAAGTGCGCGTCGGTAGCCGGACTGGCATGAAGGGTGGGGAGATGGGGGAGCAGACCGTGAGGTCGAATGAAATTACTTATCACATTTCCACTCGTCCTCCAGCACACCCTAAAATGCCACCTGCAATCTCCTCAAGCTTCTATCCCTTGTAGTCGCCCGAATCCTTGCGCTTCCCAGGGCTCCGTACACGGACTTACTGGCATGTTGGCCTGCTTGGCCCTGGACCCATCTGCCCGTTCCCTTTTCGACGACCGACTTACGAAAGTGGCATGCAGTGCCCCCACCCCCATTTTACGAAGTAGTCCGTCTCTCCAGCAAAGAAACGCAGGCCCACGAATAGAAGGCTCTGGTTGGAGATGGCATCATCCAAGCCATCGATGCCTCGTGAGGGTATAAATGTGAGGGCGCATTACTCTTATGTAAGAGGGTGTCCTTCCTCTCTCCGAGAACGAGATCTCAAGACGATTTCTTGTTGCCATCCCAGCATCACGGTCGGTGCCATATGCCTGAGCTAGGAATTGGGATGGAGAGGAATGAAATGGGTTGAGTTGATCTTGACAGGTTTCCTTGGGTATGAGTTGGCCCATTTCAAATATCAAGGGGTGGTCTCTCGACCACCATCCAGTCCAGTCGTATTTCACCTCCTCTTCTCACAATCAAGTTCTCAGTTAAATTGACAGCGTTACTATTAGGGTATATTCGTGTGTGCATCCTCTAGTGCTACGGACTCGAAACATGGATGTTCAGCCATGCATCTACCAACCCTTCTGTTCCACTTTGCCATCTGGGAAGAATCTGGGAAGAGAGGCGAGGAGAGGAGAGAGAGGTGGGGATTCCGAAACGGAGGCTGAAGAAGATAAGAGAAGTGCCTTGGGGGCCAGCCATACCGATGACCCCTTGAGCTGGGGTCCATGGCTAGACTGATCAGCTTCAAGCTATCGTTTGTCTCCCGAAGAGCCAGCTACCCCTCCCAGCGGGTCTCGACCGACTCCCTGGTTTTCGTGGACGGAGTTGCTATGCTCGAAATGGTGGAGTGGCTGTTACCTTTTCGAGGTTGAATTCGGCGAGCCTTGGGCCTAATAACCCCCGCCAGCTTCATTCGCCGAGACTCATTATCATCGCTGATCGGGGGCACCCACTTGATTGTTCTAGGTGTTGTGAACGAGTCGCCGACAGCCGTTTTCTCTTGTGGCCCACCCCTGTCTCTTCCTTTCTTGGCCCGCTAGTCTTGACCAGCCCAGCACTACTTAACCCAAGTGAGCTCATTGATCGTTTCCGAGGCATGGTGCCTTGGAGAAATATCTGGTAGCTGGTAACTGGCGTGAAAACCGTCCGCGGTAGAGGGTGGCGTGCACCACGACGCTTGCATCAGTGCATACACTGACTCGGGAGACTAATAGTTAATATTGCTAAGAGTTGCTAGGTTTGGTCCCTCCTGACATTGGCCATTCTAATGGCTGATGGGCAATGCCTTCCTTGGGGGCAAGGATAAAACCATTGTTCAATGGTCTGGCGCCATCCGGCCAGCCTATGCCTCCCTCGCCATTCCTTCACCGACGCCCTGCGGACTCGGTCAACAATTTTGGCAGCGTCGAGAGCGTGGGATGACGTTCATATATTGACCCAGGGGGCGGAAAAAAACAACAAGAAACGCACCAGCCGCGACCTGGGACGGCAGCCGCAGGACTGTCCGTCGTTTTCGCACGTTAATCCGCATACATGTCATGCCTGGCCATAATTTACACCGGCATCCCCTCGTTGGTGAATGTGAAGGGCGTGAAAATCTGTATGAAGCACACTACGTTTTTCGACCACCATGAGGGCAAGGCATCCTTGACTTAACCCTGACCGCCTGGAACCCATCAATGACAAGGAAAATCCAAGTATTTTCTTTGCAGAGAAGAAGGACCTAATCGCCGCGGGTGGGGGACGGAGGGTTTTTGAGAATCATAAGCATCAACTGACCAAGGACAAGTTTCCCCCTCTGATAGCTCCTTTTCCTCTTCATCCTCCCCTCCTCTTACCTCTCACATTTAAACATTTCCGTCCGACGAGTTGTTAGATGTATCGATGGTCAAGCCGACGGTACCGGATATGTTCTCACGACATCCACGATCCGCCAGGGAATATAACCCTGTCATGTGGACCGAATGGAGTGTATGATGATTTGAAGGCCATCAGGCTCGGCAGTGCCAAATCAGAGTTGGCATGGGACGAGACTTGGACATGAGATTGGGATTGACGCGAGCTGGTGGACCTGGTCGAGGCGAGGGTTCTCTCTCCAGCTCACACTTCTCCTTTCCCTTTTCTCTGATCTGTGTCTTCCTCTCAGTTTGTTTTAGGGGAGGTATCCATCGTCACAATCTCACTCGCCTCTGATGATACAACGACGCCTACCGTTCCCTTGCCTATCAACAAACACACCCTTCTTACCTTCACAGTTGCTACCACGTATTGGCTTCCCTTCCCTCACCTCGGTGGAAGTGGTTCCTCAAGTAGAGAGGTTATGGTAAAGGGGTGTTGGATATTATACCTAGCGGTAGGACTGCGACTATGATAGCTAGGGAGCGATGTGGGCCAGCTATGGTGGGCCATACAACACTAGATTAGAGCGAAGACCCGTGCGTCTTCCGCTGGTCTGTTCGGCTTTGTGCACGCTCCAGGCGGCTAGGGTTTATTACTTGACCGCCTGGCGGAGTATGGTGCGAGATAGGGCAAGGAAAGGACCGGTAAGTTGGCGATTAACACTTCAAAAGAGGGCGAGGGAAGATGAGTCTCATTCACAACATAATGGAATTGGGAAAAAGTTTTTCCGTGGGGTTATAGTTCTCTCTTTTATTCTGCCCCCTTCCTTCATTCCCACCATGAGGTTGCATGAGGATTTAGATTTGGAAGGTTCGCGGGCGTGATGGCGTCGCGAGAGACGAGGGCAGGGAAGACAGACGAGAGGGATACCGAGGGGGTGCGATTGTTCAAGTGGAGAGTCTCGGATGCCAAGATTGCGCGGAAAGGCGGAGATTCAACAAGTATCCGGGACCAGCGAGCAACGGAGAAATGGCCGAAAGATGCGACGAGGCGACGAGGCACCATCTTCCGTATTTTCCGTGCACAGCGGGTGCCAGCGGGTGCACTGAGCAGCTCCTCATCTCCCTTGCGCTTGGGAAGGTTAGCGCGGGTTGCGGCGCGTGCTGTTGTGCGAATCGGGAGGGGGCGTTTTTTTCTTTCTCCTCCGCCTCTCTTCAACCCAGCGTTTTTTGTATCCGCTCAATGAGAAAGCGGAGAAGACCCCTCGGGCACGAATTCCCGTTCATGCCGCCTTCGGAACGGGGAGTGACTCCATCGTCCTCGTTCCCGACACGACTGAGGGTACATGTCCAAAAGGCTGCAGTTGGAGAAAGAAATATGGCGGGACAACCCCCGAGGCTGACACCAGCAACTGAGCCGCCGTATTGTGTGATACGTGGGGTATGATTTTTTTTTGTGTGTGCATGTAGGGTTTTTGTCAAAGCTTTTCACGGCACAGCTCTAGCATTCCCTAGAATGGCCTTCATCGCGAACGGCCGGCAAGCCCCCCTCCCTCCTTCTAGCCGAGGTCGGACTCCGGGGTTTCACGGTTTCTTCATGAGGTGCTCAATCAAAGGCGGTTGACAAAATCGAACGGGACATGGGACATGGGATAGTCGAGACTGGATATCAACATGATGGCTGCCATTGGAGAAGGATCAGCCGCGCTCGGGGATTATTTTTCCTCTAGGTAGTTCTCACGCACGCACAGATCTTGTCCCGCGGACAGGCTGCCAGCAGAACACACAGCGGCGGCGGCGGCGGCGGCACAGGGCATAAAACACATCACAGCAGACATGGAGGCACGGAAGCAGCTCAGCACAGCGGGGTTCACATAAGGTCGTGTCATAGAAACCAGATAAAGGTCATTTTCCGAGTAGCATTGAGGAGGCCACAAGGGTGGTCCGGCCGCTCCCGTCGAAAAATGCTGACAGGTCAGTCGCATGCGATATATCTGTCGGCTGATGATATCGACCTCGACCTAGCCCGCCATCTAGTCCTGGCCGGAGAGACGGGAAATCACCCCGAATCACCCCGAGACAGCTGGAGGGAGTTCTCTCTCCCATTTCTCCCATGTTCCCACCCGTGGGGTATGGTGAGTCTGGGGCCGAAGCTGGCCGTTCGTGCTTGCTGCTTGATGATGGCTCATGGATGCAGGGTTACGGCCAGCATAAAGCTATCTCGTCTAGACTTATGACCAGGTTGAGGCAGGCCCGGCCCTTCCTGGACCTGTCAATGGAAGATGTCCGTAGGCATGAGATGTAACCCACACGATGCTGGTCCATTCACCCGTCAATTTCGCGGGGGAAAGATCTCATGGGGCCAAGTGAGGGGCTGACCTAAACATAGATATTTCCAAAGGATAAGATGGATCTGCCAATATTCTTGTGCCTTCATATGAACATCCCGGCTCGGGTCTTCCACGGCGGGCGGCCGGAGAACCCTCCCTCATGGAGCCGGCGGGTGAGAGCGAGATTGGTGTGAAGGTGGGAAATTGGCGGGGAGCAGTCCGTACATAGCAATGGATCCAGTGGATCTAATTGATCTAGCCATCCATAGATTCATAGATGTTTTGATTAACACCAAGCTAGAACCGTCCACCACTCAAGGTGATTGATCAACGAACAATTGATCATGAAAGAAAAGAGTTGTATTAATACTATCGATCGGGCCTGGCTAGCGTAGCACGTGCGGTTCACTGTGTTAGTGTAGAACATCGATGGATCGAATTGAATGAAGCGTATTATGAGGCTTCAATGTTTGGTGGTTGTTCCTGGTAGAGGCTGGCCTTGCACCAATTGAGTGGGTGATGCACTATTATTCCTTGCCATGTGCCGAGGGGCTTTGGGTGGATCAACTGACGAGGGATCCGATCACGTCAGAATGGATTCAATGCCCGAGTTTGCAGAGTGACTGATTATCGCCATTCTTCTTATTCCATTCTTAGACAGCACCCATTGTCAGCGACAGAAGGAAGAAAGGAAGAAGAATAAAACGAGAGGTCTTGTGTTTTAGGCTCGAGACACCAATCTTAATTTACACCAGCGTCGCGCCTGGAGGTTTCTCTCCTCATCTCCTTGCCGCGTGCTCGCTTACCCAACGGTATCGATAGGCAAAGCCCACCACCCGCGGACCACTATCAAGTTGCCGAAGCGCTGACACAAGATTCCCCGGGCGGGCGCAGGCAGAGTGACCATGGCCGGCAACCAGAAAGCGTAAGACGGGCCTCCAATCTAGATAGAGCCTGTGGTCCCCCGAGTTCGCAATGTACTTCGTAGCAGCCGCTGACGGGACGTCCGCCTTCTCCACAGCCCCGTTCACATCATCTTCATCGGCGCTGGAGCCGTAGGTTGTTTCTACGCGTCCCGGCTTCATTATGTACGTCGTCTACCCGAGATGAGAAAGGCAAGATAGCTTGTCCCATCTCTCCCTCGCCACCCCTACCTAGCATCACGTCCTTTTCCATTGCTAACCGCTGCGCATCTCCTTCGCCTCCTTGTCTCCGCCCGCATAGCCCGAACATGGCGTGCACGTTTCCCTCGTCGCCCGCTCCAACTACGCCGCCATCCAAAAGGATGGCGTGAAGATGGAAACCCATTCCTTTGGCGACTACCTCTTCCGGCCCCATGCCGTCTTCCCTTCCGCGGACGAGGCAGCCAAGAGCGCCTCGGCCGCCGGCCATGCGTGGGACTACGTCGTCGTCACCACCAAGGCGCTTCCCGAGCGCGGCGACGCCTCCGCCCTGATTCAGCCCTCGTCGGCCCCTCCACCGCCATCGTCGTCATCCAGAACGGCGTCGGCGTCGAGGCCCCTACCGCGCGAGGTTCCCCCAACCCCATCGTTAGTGCCGTCACCGTCATCAGCGCCGAGCAGACCGCCCCGGGTATCGTGCGCCAGAACCGCTGGACCCGGATCAGCATCGGCCCGTACACCGACGGCCGCGGCACCGGCGACGAGGGTACCGCTCGCGCAGGCGACCGCGCCGTGGCTGATATCGGACGCTGGTGGGGCGACCTCGGCAGCATCCGAGACGTCGACCCCCACGACGAGATTGACCTCCAGCTCGTGCGCTGGCATAAGCTGTGCATCAACTCCGCCATGAACCCTTCCGCCGTGCTCTCGGGCGGCCGCGGCAACGCCGACATGGTCGCTGATGCGGAGCTGCGGGAGCACTTGACCGGCGTCATGGATGAGATCCGTGCGGCGGTGCCCAAGATCCTCGGAAGGCCTTTCCCAGACTCTCTCGCCACTCCGGATCGCATCATCAGGAGCACCGAGCGCAACACGGGGAGCAAGCCTAGCATGCTTCTTGACTGGGAGGCGGGCAGGCCCATGGAGCTCGAGGTGATCCTCGGGAACCCTGTGCGCATAGCTAGGGAGAGAGGTGCCAGCTTGCCGAGGATGCAGACGCTGTATGCGCTTCTGCGAAGTGCTCAAGAGGCAAGGGAACGGTCCAAGTCGGATGGCAAGGGACGTCTCTGATACGCTGTCATGCTCGAGCTGGAAGGGGAGGACGGCCGCCCCAGTGACTGGCCGCTCTAGTGACTAGCCATGGCATCAGACGAATTCCTCTAAGTGAGGAGAGGCAGCAGGCGCTGCGGTGGCCTTGGGGTCGAGGCGGACGGTCCGTGTATCTTAGAGATCAGCCCTAGGTTGCTACGTAATATTCACTGTCCTCCAAATGCGGATCTTGCCTCGATGTTGGAAGTAGAAACAAAAAAGGGGTTCAACGATTATTGGAAGCCTAGTTTGGCTGATTGCGGGATCCCCCACTCTCCCTCCTGGCGATCGTGGTGCGTACCTTGTTCGCCACCGCCACCAAAGAGGCCTCCTTAGCCTCGATCTCGAAAGGACGGAGGCGAAATTGTACGCTTGCGTCCTGTGGCCGCGACTTGAAAAAGGGCCAGCCACATTGCTGCCCAGGGGGTCAAGATGCCCGAGCTGTCTGACGCGGCCTGGTCCTTTGCTTCCGGATGTCTTCTCAGCCGGACCTTGGTGAGATGGGCTGGTGTAGCGACAGACGTGGAACGGGCGAAGAGGAACAAAGCTACCCGACTCTTTTTTTCTTGAGGATGGGGATACTTGAAAAATTAGACAGAGGACGAACACAGAGAGCTATCCCGTTTCGAGGGTCGCTTCCTCGGGGCAAAGACGACAAGGCAAACGGTCCCTCCCTCCCATGCTTCGCCCGCGCCGGTTTTTGATTCGAGAAGAATACGCTCCCGAGCTCGCTCGGATCACGGGTGGATCGCCGAGACGACATGAACGCCAAAACGCCTATGCCGTTGTTTCTTGAAGTTGGGATAAGCCCCCTTGGTCTGATATGAAACTGGCAGGGCCTCTCTCAGCTCTCGAGGTTCAGTTTGCCACCGGGTATGAGGTCCTGTGGCACGTCAGATCTTGCCCCGCGGTTCGCTTTCGTGATGTTATGACGGACGGACTTCTTTTTCCATTATTCAATGCTATTATCACCTATTGTTATCATTCCCAATTCTTACGAGTCTCTCATCTAAAAGGCCCAGAACACGGCCACTAAACTCTTCGGGTACTTGGAATAGAAAGAAATATGGCCATCAACATGTATCAGAAACCGCTGATGATACGCGTGTTTCTATGTGCCCGCTTCACGATCGCTTCCTCTCGCGGCCAAAAGGTTTCGAATTTCGAGGGGCTTTTATGAAATGAAATAAAAAATAAAGAATAGCGCCGGAGGGGCGTGGGGAGCTCGGCGGGATGGGGAAACGCCTTCCGGAGGAGGAGGGGAGCAACCGTGGCGTCGGTTAAAGAGCCGCACGATGACTTCATATCGTACAAACCTTGGTTGGTGCTCCATTTCCAAGCTCCCTGTCTGTCTCTCCTCTCCCTGTCTCTCACTCATTCATTTCTCTCTCGTTTCTTCCCATCCCTACCTTTTTCCTAGGTGTACACTCTAGTTCGAGGGAGATTTCTAGACGGCGTCCAAGACTTTACATGCACGTCTTGAGAGCTGGGGTGTAATATTAACCAAAATATTGATGTCCCCTTCCACTCTGTGGCCAAGTATAAAGAGTTCGGTGGCACTAATCGAGGCATGTGGAATGGCTGGGTCTGCGCCATCTCGCTGTCAAATTTTTTTTTTCAAAAGAATTGTCGTTAATCTAAATCACTTTGATACTTGAATTGGCGTTGGCGTCGTCGTTGGATGTGCATAGGAGAGTCGGGAACGATGGAAGAGACTACCCTATGGAGCGACTCGCTCTCTCTCCGTCCCATGTCCTCGATGAGGAGAACGGGCCTATGACATCGGAGTCGACGACTCGACGCGTGACGGCAACCTTCTTTTCACGGTACCTTCTCGTCGGGATTCCTATTTCTTTAAAAAGACCCGCAATAGCGGGGAAGGCGACGGACTGTTTGATGGATGGGTTCGTCGCAAAAGACCCTGCCCATGATTCAACTTCGTAGGTTCCAGGCCCAGATATCTCGCTCAGAGCGGGACGAAAAGAAATGGGGAGGGGGAGGAAGGGGGATGCGCTCAACGCTGGTGGTCCTCGCGCCAGACGACATCAATTTGGCCTCGTAGAAAATGCCCTGATGTAGCGATCCATTGTATCGACAGATGGATCAATCAATGGACCTGGCAGGCAGGCCACGGATGGAAAAACTTGGTTCGCAACCGTGATCGTGGCCGTGGCCGTGACCGTGGTCGTGACCAGACGGCTGAGACAGCCGAGCGACAAAGGTCCTGGGCTAGTGTTCAAGTTAGACGAGCCAGGACATAGCGGCACCATAATAATGCCTGTACCGAGGTAGTGTCATGACCAAGGAGGGCCCGGCCTCCACTCCCAAGACGCTCCTGTGGTGCGATCCCGATCGGATCGAAGCAACCACCAGGCTAGAACTAGAATTTTGCAGCGGTTTCACGACGGACTGACGACATTGATCGTCGCCCACCAGCCCAAAAGAGAAAGAGAGGGGGTTAAAAAAGGCCTATAGATGAACGGGCTATTGGTGTAGAATGGCACCTTGCAAAGCGCAAGACGGAGACTCGGAAGCAGGACACAAATTCTTCACGTTGAGCGCAGGCACTTATTCTGTAGACACAGTAGACATGGATCGGGGGTAGACACAGGCGACGTAGAGGCAGAGAGGCAGAGAGGACAACGCACGTAGACAACACATCGACGCCTTGATGCACACGCACCAACGAGGGGGCAAGCAAACCAACACAGGCATACACTACATACACTACATACACACACACAATCACATAGAATGCAACGGATCCTTCATCCCCCTTCAGGGAACACAAATACGGCTCCCTGGTGTCAGAAAAGAAGCAAAACCCCCGCCGAAGAGAAAAAAAAAGAAAGAAAAGAAGGAGAAAAAAACCGGGGTCTTTTTTGACGGCTAAGGGGCCCTCACCATGCAGGACAAGGTCCACAACCGACCCTTCCGTCTCGAGGTCTCGACCTCGCTTCATCAAAATTGACTCGTCCCTCTCTCTCTCGTCGAAGGCAGGCTCGAAGAAGCAGGAGCACCCTGCACCACGCAGCGATGGTTTGGTGCTGCCGTGCGACACTGGGATTGCACGCCCGCATTGAAGACAAGTCCAAGGCTGTTAGGACCCGGGAACCGCGTTCTAGATCCATCTATTGATGGTCTGGCCCCTTTCACCTCGAATCCGCTGATGGGGGTGGATGGGGCGGCACCCAAGGGCCAAGCAAGAGACATGTCGACATCCATGGATGGATCCATAGACGACGTATGCAGTAGATGCAATATCTCCGGTATACATACGTACTGTGGGTGGCCCAATCTGCACTCTTGCCTTGGCCATTCGGATGACGCTTCGACTGTGTTGATGCGCCAACATGATGAGAGACGGAAGAAGGCCTTCTCAAGAACTCGAGGGCTGGGGGAGAGGGCTAGACTAGTGGAGAGGGTGCATGGGCACCGGATAGGCTATTTAGTATTATCACCATTCTTCCCTAACGTTTACGCAAAGATGAAGCTTATGCACACTCTAATAAGAGAAAAGAGGAGAAAGAAAAAGAAGAAAAAGGAAATGGATTAAAAAAAAAAAAAGGCTTCCTCATACACTCTCTGCGTTGAATTGACGGCTTCATATGATTAGGTGCAGAGTTTGCTTGTGAGGTGTGATGGCATCTATGGGCTGGCCCTATCGTTGTTGGAAATTGCTTTTTCTTCCTGCTTGTTCTTTTGAGGCATGCGGTCGCGACAAACACTCGGAGTAGCAGCAGGGGAGGGAGAAAAGGGGGATGGATGAATGTTCATGTTCCGTTCCTGAGAATGGATCGAGTACGAAGTAGTGCTACCACGTACTTCAGTACATGTAGGCTCTCAAGCTCTTCATGGCTGGGGAATGGGAAATGTTGGGAGGACGAGAGCACTAATAAACGTAATATTGATCCTCCTCTCGTTACCATCCGCCCAACAGCGTTCATCATTGCCAAGAAGAGAAGAAGAGTGGAAGAGAGTGGAAGAGAGCCAAGCGACGAAGATGGAGCCGGAGCAGAGTCTCCTCTCTCATTTATGCTCTCCTGCGGGCCCGTTCCCCTCACCTCGTTAGAGAGCGTTCCGTGTTCCTGGTAGTTTCCCCGGCCGTGCAGGCACCCAGAGAGGAGGGGGAACTGGCGTCGAGGGCCGAGAACTACAAGTAACGTGTAACGAGCACAGCTTGCACAGGTACAAGTATTGGTCTATCTGTACGAAGTATTATTGCTACAACGGACCCATCCATCCATTGATATTGGTGGAGAAGAAAAACAGGTGTAAAGTTGAGCCGGTCAGTCAGCATGTGCACTAGCCACCGACCAGCCCCGAGATAATGGCGAGTGGCGAGATGGTGGGAAAAAGGACCCCGCCATCCTGGGAGGTCAGTGGCTGCTGTTTCTATGGATCTATGGATGTTGCGCCGCGTTGTTTCACAGTGCTCCTCGTTCTCCAGGGACCAATGCGCCTTATCACATTTCCTTAATTCCTGAGAGACATGGTATGCACAGAAGTTGCTGGGAAGAAGGGGGCGGGGAGGGGAGGCTCTTGAAGCCCGGAGTGGACCGCCACCATCCTGGATCGATCCATTTGATCTTTTTCGCTCAGTCCCAGTCCTAGGCCAGCGCCCAGGGACTGGACGCCTGCTGACACCACTGTCGCCGCCACCCGAGTGCCCCGGAACGAGACATATCCGTCTATCAATGGACCCATTGATGGGTAAAAACAATGGGGACAAGGGACAAGAGGCCGGATGTGGGCATGACAGGACCTTTGCCGCGCGTCGTTGTGGTCGTTGAGCAGACAAGAATTATGAAAATCATATGGGTATTTGGGGGCCGGCCACTCTTGTGCTGCTTCTCGAGATCAAGCACGCGGAGAAGGTGGATGTTTCAATGTTCTATATTTTCCTTTCTTTGTCTTTTTCCTTCGAACCGCAAAAGAAGTTTTTGAAACAAAGCTTCACTTTCCCCGGGACCGGGATATTGGAAAGATCAGCAATTTTGCTCTATCTGACAGGTAGCGGAAAAACTAAAGGTGATATTCAATATCCACTGATCCATTATATATGGTAGATAGAGTGTAGAGTGGAATAGCGAGGGACATCGGGGTTTGGTGAAGCACAGGCTACTACTTGTACAACGAGCAAAGCACAGTGTACACGCACACGCACATGCTCCGAATCTAGCACTCATCCAGAATCCCGCCGGCCCCATCGGTTGAAGTGGGTTGAGGTGGGTTAAAGTAGGTGAAAGGGAATGGGGGACACAGAAAAAGATCCCGTCCATTCTCTCTCTGCCCCATTGTCTGGAGCTTCATCGTCGATTCTGCCCACAGTGCCGATGTTTTGCGTGGCCAAGAGGTTTGTCTCGCCATCTTCACATCCTATTGGCGAAGGCGACCCGGTCTAGAACGCCCCCTTCCAACGGTCCCTTAAAGTTGCAACCCCGGCTTGCCCAGTAAAGGAAGTGATGCACAGTCCACTCTTGAACAGCGCAGCCTTGATCGGGCATGGGGCACCCGCCGTCAATCCCTGTGCGTGTCCATTGAGAAGGGCAATGGCCGGCCTATGCAAGTGCTTCTTCTCTGGTGCCGCGGTGCTGTGGTGCTGTGGGTGCTGTGGCGCTGTCTGGTGCTGGTGGTACCTCCCAAAACCCAAAATCCTTCCATGGCGCCGGCTATGTCCCTCTTCTCATGCCCCCCACTATTGCCAATTGCACTTGGAGGGCGTGGCGTGGCTGCATGTGGCCAGGCCATCATCTGCTCCAAGGGACTAGTGGTCGCTGCCCCTCGCTCTCCTGCTGTACCCGTCTCCCAAGCCAAGCTCATGATCTTTTCAATGTTCCGGCGACTGGAGAACATGTTCAAATACACCCAGCCATACCTGTTCACAACTCGCTCTCGGTGACCTTCCACCTCGACTCGCGCACCAACCAGACTAGGCATTCTTCCCTTCCCGTCTCCACCGGTGAACCTCGGTGGACCAAAGGAAGAGAAGAAGAAGAAAAGAGGAGAGAAAGAAAAGAAGAAGAGAGGAGGAAAAATTCAACCTAGCAAAGTGCTAGGTTCTCCAGACTGTGGCGAGCCCCCGCCAACTCTAAAAACATCGTGACTGCAACGATAGCTCGTTTAGTGACCAAGTAGCCTTTTTCAATATCGCCTTGAGAAACACCAGCTCCCAGATCCTAAAGCGAGGTTGGAGCTTTCCTTCTCTCGCGCCCAGCTTACGCCAAATTCTCTCTGCGATATTGAACGTTTGACGACGACAATTACCCCAATCGTTTTCTCCCGGTTCCTCGTCTTAGCTTCGCAGGTCGTGCTTGCCTTTCTGTTGCCATTGATCGGGGGTTTTTTTTTTTTTTTTTGGCTCTTTCTTTTTTCCATCTCTTTCTTTCTTTCTTCCCTTCGTTTTCGTTTTCTTTTTTTTCTTCCCGCGTCTCTCTTTTGTTTCTTTCTTCTTCGCCTTCACCTTCCCCTTTCTCCCATCTCTCAATCCCCCCCGCCCTTTGCCCCGGCCTTCTCTGCTCGTGCTGTGCTGTGCTCTTTGCCCCGCCACGTTCGGTGTGAAACGGTTCAGCGCACTTGCTCTGTAGAAACTCTCCTTCACCGTTGGCCGGCCCGAACCTAGGACCTTCCATGAGGCCTCGCCCAACAACCCCCGACCATCTTCCTGTCGTCTAGTTCACGCGGACTTTCTGATAACCGTATCTGTATCCCGCCTGTGCTTGTTAGGACTATGGTCAGTCAGTCACCGCCACCGCTCCTCGATGGCCATTCATCCCCCAGCTAGGGAAGCTCCCCGCCCCTCGCGATGAGCCCTCCTCCCCTCGCGACGGCCTGCCGGCGTACCACCACCCATCCTCTTCGACTATGGGCCAAGACCATCACCACCCCGCCGATTCCCATGATAGAGTCTTCCCCGTCGCATCCATCGTGAGAGTCGACTCTTCCACAGAGCCTTCCGCCCTCGCCCTCGCTCCCGATGTCGCCTCGCCTCTGGATGAACCCCTACCATCCCCTATCCCTCGCAGTCTCGCTTCTCCTACGACACTCGCGCGGCTTCAGCTCCCCATTACCCTGCCGACCTCGCCACCTCGTCGTATCCCACCTCTCCCACTCCTAAATCCCCTCCCGTATCCATGTCCGGCACCTTGGATCGCGTTGGCTCCCCCACGATGTACCGCTTGCCAGTGCGCCAGCCTCTCCTTGGGCACCAAATGCACCGCCGGATTCCGATTCTGCGCCCCCTCCCCTCGCTCCAAGTCCCCTCCCAACTTTGTGCGCATACCGGGAGCACCGTTTCCCCCGAGTTGATCAAAATGTCAAAGTCCTTCTCATCCCCTCCACTCGACGACCACGGAGCGGGCGCCGTGGTCACGAGCCGTTTCAAGCACGTCGTTACCGACGAAGGCCATGCCATCATCACTGGTCGCGACGGCCAGTTTCTTCGCTGCGAGGACGAACCGATCCAGGCCCCGGAGCGGTCCAGCCCTTTGGCGTTCTCGTCGCCTTTAAAGAAGAGCAGACGGGCGAGCCAGGCCGGTTTGCCGTTCGTCTTGTCAGCGAAAACTCGGAGCGGGTCTTGGGCTACACCCCCGCCAACTCTTCCAGCTCGACAGTTTTCTTGACATATTTAACGAGGAGCACCAGGAAACCCTCTCTGCGCACATCGACTTTGTCCGCGAGGAGTCTGCCGATTTTTCGCTCAGCGGGCCCGAGATCTTTATCATCTGGTCCAAGTCGCCCGAGGGAAAGTCCATCAAGCATTGGTGCGCTATCCACATCAACTCTGCCCACCCCGACCTAGTTATATGCGAATTCGAGAGAGAGAACGACCCCGACTACCCCCGCGCCCGCCCGATACCACCCCGCCGTCGGAACCCAAGAACACACTGTTCCACAACTATACCCCGGAAGAGTTGCGGGAAAGCACCGAGATCCAGAGCAAGCCGCTCCGCTTGCCCCAGCGAAAACGTCCTGGCCGGAGCACCGATGGCGGCTTTGAAATCTTGGACCTCATGAGCCAAATCCAGGACCAGATGGCCGAGGCGACCAATCTGACCCACTTCCTCAAGGTCCTCGTCGGCATAGTCAAGGATCTGACCGGGTATCATAGGGTCATCGTCTACCAGTTCGATTCTCAAGCTAATGGCAAGGTTGTCGCGGAGCTTGTGGACCCAGCCCACACCGCCGATCTCTACTACGGACTGCACTTCCCCGCCGCCGACATACCGAAGCAGGCCCGCGACCTCTACAAAATCAGCAAAACCCGCCTTCTCCACGACAGGGATTTGGAGAGCGCCAGGCTCGTCTGCCGGAGCCAGGATGATCTCATCACCCCTTTGGACATGTCCTACTGCTACCTCCGTGCCATGTCCCCAATCCACCTCAAGTATCTCGCCAACATGGAAGTGCGCGGATCCATGTCCATCTCGCTCAAGGTCTTTGGGGACCTGTGGGGTCTCGTCTCCTGCCACTGGTTCGGCGAACACGGCATGCGAAATCCTTTCCCCGTCCGGAAAATGTGCCGGCTCATCAGCAATGTGGCCTCCCGGAACATTGAACGGCTCTCGTACGCGTCCTCTCTCCAGGCCCAGAAACTCATCAACTCGCATTTGGTGGATAAGAATGCCTCCGGATACCTTGTGGCGTCTTCGGACGATCTGCTCCAGCTCTTTGACGCCGACTTTGGCGTTATTTCGATTCTTGGGGAGACGAAAGCGCTCGGAAAAATCACCCAATCCCAGGAAGCGCTGGCGATGCTCGAGTACCTGCGTCAACGCAAATTCTCGGATGTCATCTTCTCGGATGATATCTCGTCGTATTTTAAAGATCTCCATTATTCTCCTGGATTTTCTGTTATTGCGGGCCTCTTATATGTGCCGCTTAGCGTGGACGGCGACGGCTTCATCGCCCTTTTCAGGAGGGGCCAGAGCCAGGAGGTCAAATGGGGAGGCAATCCAAACGAGAAGCATATGCGGGCCGGGGTTCCGGGGCTGCTAGAGCCGCGCACCAGCTTCAAGTTGTGGCGGGAGATCATTCACGGTAAGAGTCGGGAGTGGACCAGCGACCAGGTTGAGTTGGCTCGCGTTTTATGTGTCGTCTATGGTAAGTGCATCCATCCCCTCTCGCGCCTTTGGGCTGCGGGAAAACGCCTCGAAACCCGAGACTTGGGTCGGCTGACGGAACTGGGGCACATTAGGGAGATTTATCCAGGTCTGGCGGCAACAGGAGGCGACTGTGCAGAATACACGGCTCACGAAGCTGCTCCTCGCGAACTCGGCCCACCAGGTTCGAACACCGCTCAACGCCATCATCAACTACCTAGAGATTGCCCTTGAAGGCACACTCGACCAAGAGACCAGGGACAACCTAGCCCAGTCGCATTCCGCGTCCAAGTCTCTCGTGTACGTGATTAACGACCTGCTCGACCTCGCCAAGGCCGAGGAAGGCCAGGTACTGTCCAAAGAGGAGATTTTTGATCTTCCCGCCTGCATTCGCCTGGCTGTCGATTCGTTCGTCGTCGATGCTCGCCGCAAGAACCTCCAGTACATTGTGGAAGAGGACCCCAGCGTACCGCCGCAGGTGTACGGGGACAAGTCGCAGCTCAGGCAGGCCATCTCCAACGTTATCGCCAACGCCATTCAGTACACCGACAGCGGGTTTGTCCGAGTGGAGTCGTTTGTCGCTGAGGCGGCAAGCGGCAAGGTTCGCCTAGAAGTTGCGGTCCAAGATTCAGGTGTTGGAATGACGACAGACGAGATGGATGGGCTTTTCCATGACCTTGAGCAGGTAAATAACGGAGAGACCGAGGGTCCATTGAACGAAATCTCGGATCGGAAAATGCACAAGCTCGGCCTTGGCCTGGCCGTGGTGGGCCGCATCGTCCGAAACATGAATGGCCAACTTCGAGTTAGGTCAACAGTCGGCCAGGGCTCCTGCTTCGTGCTGCAGTTGTCTTTCGACACCCCAGATGAAGAAGAAGAAGTGGTGGAAGGGGGTGACGACCGCGATGAAATCATGTCGGATATTCACGACCAGCGGCCAGTTGCGTCAGTCACCCTAGCCCAGCAGCGGCTCAGCGCCCGACCGTCCATGCCGGCAAGGACCCCAAGCTACGTCGGAGTGGGAGAGGAGAGGACGCTGGTTGGGGGACAGCGCTCCATCTCCAGCCGTCAACCAAGAAGATCGGGAGATGACTTATGACAGCGGACCCGAAGACACGCCAAAGGCGCCCACGCGTCAACTGTCTACCCTTCTCGAAGTCGAGCCCACCTCCGGATTCGCAGCCGCGTCATCGCCACCTCCAGAAGGCCCCCGCCCCTACACTAGCCCGGCGTGGCCCCTCTTGACTCAAATCATACCACCACCGCAGGAAACGGTTTTCCAGAGCATCGAGGAGGATTTATCCGCTTCCAGGGTCTCCGTAGAAGAGATTAGGTCTTCTCCAGACGTGAACAGCGCCGGGACGACAGGCCTTCGGATCCTCATCGCCGAGGACGATCCCATCAACATCAAGGTGTTGCGCAAACGTTTGGAAAAGGTCGGCCACCAAATCCATCATGCGGTGAATGGCGAGGACTGTGCGATGGTGTATGGCCAAAGCTCGCCGCAGTTTGACGTCATCTTGATGGACATGCAGGTTAGTGAAGTTCCTTCCCCGCCCTTCCCCCCTCCGCGCCTGCACCCGTGCTTCTTGGCGTTCCCTCTCTAAGGGGGTTTGCCCTTTCCCTTGTCCTATTCTCTTTTCTTTGGTGGCTTTCTTCTATAGGTTCCTACATGTTGTTCTTCTTACTAATTTGGCCCCTTCACGTGTATAGATGCCCATTATGGACGGTCTCACCAGTACGCAAACGATCCGCGGCTGGGAAAAGAGCCCAAACGCGCTTGGTCTTTCCCGCCTCGCAAGCCGCAATGGGCAAATACCAATATTTGCCGTATCGGCGTCTCTTGTGGAGGAGAAGAAGGACTTGTATCTCAAAGCGGGGTTTGACGGATGGATACCCAAACCCATCAATTTTGTTCGTCTTCAGTTGCTGCTTTCGGGCATAGCAAATGAAGAAACCCGACTCAAGTGTCTATACACCCCTGGCCAGTGGGAGGGCGGAGGCTGGTTTCGACCAAGTCCTGGTGAAGGAGAAGCGCTTTAAGGTTGGGGAGAATCCGCGGCCAAGGGGAGGCTTTCCCGCCTGCCAGCGCCTCTCTTTCTAACTTGTTTTCGAAAAGCGTGCGCGCGGCTGGGCCTGCCCTTGTTTGTATATGATTGGAAAGTGAGTTTGGCGTCGGCGTTTGCGGTAATGCTTAATTATGGCGCTTCCAGCGCCAAAGGGGAGGATGGGTTCTAGGGGTTTACGATTCCCCAGGGCCTTTTCTTTTTTTTTTTTTTCGTTTCGGGGTCTATCTGGCGCGAGAGTCTTCATCCCGATAGGAGATGGGATCTCGCACCTAGACCATACGGCGTGGGAGGACGGACTAGTGTGCACAGGCTATTTGCCAGCAAGGCGTTGTATCTCTCGGAGGGAGGTTCGCCTTTTGTTTTTTTATTCTTTCTTCCCCACGCCTTTTGGCATGTTTCCGAGCGCACTCCAACCTAGAATAGGCAGAGAGGCGTTTCTAGGGATCATGAGCACTGGGTGGGCAAGATTGGGAGTACATGACCCATTTCGATGACCGACGATGTGAACGGTATACTATGCGCGGGCGTTTGCGGGTATGCGTCGTGTTCGCGCGGGCGACGCCAGCGACTCTGATGATTAGCGTGCAGTGTGCGTATGTACACTCGGTGCCGTCGTCCTGTGTTCGGCGGGCCCCGGACCTAATGTACCGGAGAGCCGAAAAAAGAACCTCGAAAGAAAGAGGGGAGGAAAAGACGTGCAAAAGATGGCTAATACTAGAAACACGAAAAGATTTCCATTTTGAGAGCAATCTTTTCAACACAATTGATCACACACAAGTCTGTTGACATTTGTATGTAGCATCTTAGTCTTTATATCGGTTTATTTCCAAGTGGATTAGACGGGCGCCTGATACATGTTGATACAAGGGGGGTTTCCTAAAGGAAACCGACAAGAGAAGACAGGCAAGAATCAGGGGCCCAAGACTAAAACGCAGACGAGGGGAAGAAGATTAGTCGCATCTATTCAGAATCTATCAGCACCCAAAATACAACATCTCTCGAAACCCACAAGGTCCTCTCCCTAGCTCCGAGTGTTCACCTCCAGCTTCTTCTAAGATGACATGACGCGCTGTCCCGTCTGGAGCTAATGTAGATAGCTCGAGGTAAGCAAAGGGTACAGCTTGTGATGGCTAATTAAAAACTAGGAAACCGAGATAAAAGAAAAGAAAAAAGGAAAAGGCAGTAGGCGACGCGGAGGTCATAAAAGTGAGATACGCGCGGTATATGTACAAGCATGGAGACTCGACATTCCAGTAAATGACAAAACGAGGAGGGGAAAAGAGTTCGGCCTCTTCTATAAACCATTAGCTGACATAACGAGACCACTTTTTTTTCTTAATAGTTTTCTTCCTTGATGTTGTGCTCTCCCACAATCATGAGGAACACCTTGTCAAGGGTGGTAGGGCTGACGCTAAAATGCTCGATCCCGAGCAGGTCCCGATTCTCTTCAAGCTCAACCACGAGGCGTCCAATCGCGCTCTTGGACTCCGCCCCAGGAGCGATAGAGGGGGCGGCAGTGATTTCGCCGTCGCTGGGGTGCCGTCGATCTCGTGCGAGGCAACGGCAGGGGTGGGGCTGTCGCCCTTGCCGAGGACGGCAGCGGCGGGGAGGGAGAAGCGCGTCTGGCCGTGGTACGTCTTGTCTTCGATTTCGGCCTCCGGGAACCGCTCAGCGATCCATTCGCGAACGCGGAGCATCTCGGCGTCCGAAGTGCGAGGCGCCGTCTTGCTGACGAGGTGAACGTGCAGAATATTGCCGAAGCGTGCGCGGAGCTCGTCAATGGTACCGAGGGCAAGCATGCTCTTGGCGAGGATGCCAACACGGCCGGCGAGAGCGTCGGCCTCCTCCATGCTATGCGTGGTGAGGAGGATGGACCGGCCGGCAACAGTGCCCTTTAGAGTCTTCCACATGATGCGCTTGGCAGCGGCGTCGAGGCCCGACGACGGCTCGTCGAGTAGCACAACCGTGGGGTTACCCATGAGCGCGATACCGAGCGACAACTTGCGCTTGTTACCACCAGACAGAGTGTGGGCCATGCGTGACGCAAAGGCCGAGAGCCCGACGCCGCGGAGGACCGCCTGCACGTTGTACTGGACGTCCGACACGCCGCGAACGCGCGCGTAAAACTCGAGGTGTTCGCGTACCGTCATCTTATCCATAGGATCGAATTGCGGGCACACACCGAGGTGCGAACGCGCGCCAGCGAGGTTGTGCGTGACCGACTTGTCTTCCACCAGCACATCGCCGCCTTTCTTGTCTGGGGCGATGTCGCCTCGGATGACGGAGATGGTGGTCGACTTGCCGGCGCCGTTGGGTCCCAGGAGAGCAAAGACCTCGCCGCGACGGACGTCAAAGGACACGTCGTCAACAGCCGTAAGCTTCTTCTTGAAGGCCGGTTTGAAAGACTTGCTGACGTTCATGACCATCAATGGCAAGTTAGTACCCTGGCCCGTCTCCTCGTCATTAGTCGTCGAGGGTGGGGCTTTGCCCTTGCCGCCACGGGCGATGAAGCTGCGTCGGAACCATGAGCTGAATGAGCCGCTGTCAACGATGACGAGGATGAGGAAGTAGACGAGAGCCTGCATGATAAGGTAGAGAATAGGCCCGCCATACAACTCAATGCCTCCGGGTGTGGTCGAGATCGAATCGCCGTCGCAAGTTGTCGAGAAGATGTTCAGCGTGATAAAGAAGGCGCGGACGACGCTCCCGATAGGGGCCATGAGCGAGACGGTATAATTGATGATGAGGAAGTAGCTGTCGACCTTGGTGACAGGCGCGTAGGCAAGAGTGGTCATGTAGCCGATGAGGTAGCCAACGAAGCAAAGCGCCTGGATGCCGGTAACCCACCCAAAGGTAGCAAGCTGGCCGGTGGCGAAGAGCGAGATCACGTAGCCTAGGAGGGTGGACGCCAGCCAGTAAAGCACAAAGATGAGGAAGATGTAACCCAAGTGATACCAAATGCTCGAAACACCGGCCCAAATGGCGGTGATGATGGCCGAGGCAAGGATACCAATCACAAGGTCAAACATGGTGTACGCGGACCAGAGAGGCGTAGGGCGGACGCCATTAGAGTACTCGAGACCGCGAACGAGGTGAAGCCTCTCCACGTTGGGGTACAGGGCAAGGAAGCCCGGCGTCAGGACGAGGGCGATACACATGTAGGCGACAAGCTGAAGGGCGTCGCTAGTCAACGGCGCCCACGGAACGTCAAAGGCTTCAAACTGAGTGACGATGGTTTGATTGGCGAGAATAACGTCAAAGAAGTTAAGCGCGTACAAGGTCGGGGTGAGGAACCCGTTGGCCCGGAAGGCTAGCGTGGGCGGAGCATCAGAACCGCCGAGCCAAAAGCCTCCTGGGAACAGGTCCTTTCTCTTCTCTTCAATGGCAGTCTTGAAAGAACCAAAGGTATCTTCAAATGTGACGTTTTGAAGAATGACAGATAGAAGGCCGGATGCGCCGCCCCCTTCCCCAGCACCACCGCCCAAGCTAGCGCCAACCTGACCGAAGAGGGTAGTCAAAGAAGGAGTCAGGAGTTGGATAGGGTTGACCTGCTCCAACTGATCGTTGGGCCCGGCGACGACGCCAAAGGAAAAGTCGACGGTCCCAATGTCATCCTCACGGCCGCCCTGACGGCCGGTTTCGGTAGGCGAGCAGCCGACGGCCTCCTGGCCCCGGATGAAAAGAGTGACAAGGCCGGCGGCGGCAACAGGAAGGACGAAAGCCGTAATGTAGGGGACCCAATTGGTTTTAAAAATGGTAACTCGCTTCCTGAAGAGAACAATGCCTTGCTGGAAGAAACCAAGAGGTTTTCCGTCAAGGAGATGAACACCGTGCTCATTGGCGGAGACGTCACTAGTGATGCCACCAAGCTTTTCCGACGTGGTCGCCTTCTCGTTCGTGGGTTCCTCCAACACTTCACGAACCTCTTCGGCAAGGTTTAAGAAGACGTCCTCGATGGTGGGCCCCGAGAAGCGGTAGTCGTGGATGCCGTGGGCCTCGAGAGACTTGATCACGCCGGCGGCCAAAGCAGAAGAGGGCGAAACGTAGGTGACAACGTCAAAGGCCGTCCTCTTCTCGACACCGGCAACATTGGGAGTCGTGGCGGGATCAATGCCGTCAATGTGGATGCGGTATCCGGCACCATATTGATCCTTGAGAGCAACGGGCGAGCCTTCAGCACGGAGAGTGCCCTTGGACAAGATGGCAATGTGATCGGCGAGGAGATCGGCTTCATCGAGGAAGTGGGTGGTCAAGAAGATGGTCCGCTTTCCACGCTCCGCAAGCAGGATATCCCAAATCTGGCGGCGACTGAGCGGGTCAATGCCGCTACTGACCTCGTCCACGCAGCAGACGGCACTGCCGCCCGTCAGCATCATTCCGAGTTGCAGCTTCCGTTTTTGGCCGCCGGAAAGGGTCTTGGCGAGGGCCTTGCGCTTCTTTTCCAGATCGACTGCCTTGATAAGCTCCCGAATCTCTTCCTTGGTGGCGCGGGTTCCGGGTGACTTGAGCTTGTTGAAGATGGTGATGTGTTGCTCGACCGTGAGCTCACCCCAGAGAACGTTTTTCTGGGGGCGATTCCAAGGCCACCCCTTCCATCGATCTTGATGGACCCGCTCGTGAGCTTGTTCATTCCGGCAATGGTGTCGAGGGTGGTGCTCTTGCCGCTCCCGTTTGCGCCAAGGAGGGCGACAATCTGGCCGCGGGGCGCAACTAGACTGAGATTGTCCACAGCGACCACGGGCTCCCTGTAGGTTGCGAAGAAGGGAAACCAGCGGGCGAACCGCGAGGGTGCGTAAATCTTTGTGAAGTTTTCGAGTCGGACAGCGGCGTCTCCCATATCCTGACCCTCATTCTCGGCACGCGCCATGGACCTGCCCTTGGTCGTGGTGCCGTATAGCCTGGATTCGATGAGGGCGCCGAGTAGAGGGAAGACGATGATTTGGCCAATGGCGATGATCCAAAAGACACCGCCAGCAAGGTTCCAGGGGCTATCGGGCGCGACCTCGAGGAGGTTGGCGGGCAGGTTTTGCTTCTCGAAGCGAGCGAGGAAAGTGGAATGATAGACATAGTTGCAAGCTGGGAAGAGAAGACTGAGGATGAAGACGGGGCCGGTCGCGGGCTTCGTGATGGCTTGGGAGAGAATGGCAAAAACGACGGTGATGAGGAGGGTGACGTTGGCGCTGAGCTGGGCCTGCCTGAAGAAAGAGGAGGCGAAGAGAGACATGGAGGCCATGGAGAGGCCTGAGAGTATCTGCCAGACGAGGACGATGGCAACGCTGGTGTTAGTATAGACACCACGGCGCATGATGAGAGCACCAATGACCCAGCCTGGAAGGTAGATGAGGGAAAAGGAGACGAAGTACGAAATGATGCGGGCGGCCTGGGCGTGCCATCTCCGCTTCACGGGCATCATGGCATCCAGAAGTCGAATCATACCACTCTCGCGCTCAGTGACAACGAAGCCGGCAAGGTGGTAGGTGATGAAGAGGATGCTGGTAACGAAGAGCACGGCGAAGGCGGACACGACGGTGCCCATGTAGATCTCGAGAACGCGTTGCTTGTATTCCTCCTGGTTCAAGCTAGTAAAGGGGAAGGCGTCGATGGAGCTTGGAAGCTCGCGGGGGCTACCGTCGCCGGCAACATCGATGGCGGAAACGGCAGAGTCGACGGCATACTGCAGGGGATGAGGTACACTTGGGCGTCGTTGTCGTCTTTTTCGACGTTGATGGTGAGGGCGGACAAGGCGCCGTCCATGCGCAAGGTGTAATTCCATACTTCGTTGGGGCCTTCGGTCGGAGAGGAGTGGAAGACTACGGCGCCGAAGCAGCGACTCACGCCGCGGAGCGAGGATTTACAAAGCTGCTTCAGGTCGTCCTCGTCTTCGGTTGTTTCCCAGATCTTGCCGGCAGCCTCGACAGAGGAGGACAGGGAATCGATGACGGAGTCGATATCGCCACCGGTCAAGCCATTGTTGACGAAGACGAGCGTATCCCTACCATCGTCGGCGGCAGCCTCGAGAGCAGATGTCAAGGATCGAATCGGCGTCGATTCCCCAATTCCGAAGGTGGCGACGGGAGCGACGAGGTTTTTCAAGAAGGAAAAGAGCGCGGTTAATATGATGGGCACTACCAGGGCCCAGATGAGGGTGTTGAAGGCATGGCGACCAAGGAGGATCTGAAAGTTCTTGGAGATCAGGGTTCCCGTCTGGCGAAGAAACGCCATGATGGGCGAGTAATCACAGCAACAGCCCCTCCCAGGTGGGATGTTGAGAGAAGAGGCGACTATAGTCTACACCAAGGGTGAGGGCGGTGTTTTTTTCTTCTTCTTGTGTTTTTTCTCAATAAGAAGGGTCGGAGGGAAAACAAGCAAGCCCCTCGTGGGTGGATGTCTCGATGAGCAGCCGCGATGCATCGGTTACTGATTATTCTGAGACTAGCATTCCGGGGGAGGGGCCATAGATCTAATATTAACCAAATTCATGGGGAAGGACCACTTGTCAGCGGGATCAGGCCAAGTCCCCTAGCACATTCCATTGACGGATCAATTCATTCTCCCAATTTACTGGTCCCGTCAACGGGAATCTCCCTCGCGTGGACCTATCAAGGCCAGCACGCATCAATTGATCTCCACAGTTTCGAGACGGGGCCTTGTTTCTTGGCCCAGGTACCAGCAAGAATACCAAGACGCGGAATCGGGGGAATTTGAGCGCCAGAAACCCCGCCGGGTTTCGCCTCCCCGCTGTAACTGTAACTCCCTCAGGCGAGCACCCGGCGGGAACAAAGACCAAGACGGCCGCCAGGCCACGCACACAACCACAGTTGACCTCTCAGTTCTGAGCCCGTGTCCAGCACCGTTTGGATCCCTCACGGCATACCCTCCATGGGTCAATCTGGATAGTTGAGGCTGTGCTAGGGACGACCCAGACATTAAAAGACAAGAGGATTAGATTGACCCGCCGTTTGCTCACCTACTTGGAGAACCTGTCTGCCCTGCCTCGTATCTCGCGACGATGGCTGACGTCTTACGTATGCTTTTGTTTCTTCTATTTCCTTTCTCACCACCATCGTGTCAACAAGGATTCTCGAGACGCGAGAAACAAAATCCTTGGCAGCCCGATATCGTGGGCGGACGACGGTATGGTAGTAGTGTCTAGATCACTTGGACTATCAACTATTACTGCCAACCAATACCAACTATCTGATTTGTATGCTGTAGGGCCGGGATGTGATCCGAGCATGGCCCTAGCATGGCCCGACTGTGAGGAATCGTGGCAGCGGGACGGATCAAGTCGAAATAACATTCAGCGGCAGCTATCCAGAGAGCACAAGCAATCATCAACAATTGAAGAGTGATCTTTCTGTTCTCTTGTCTCTTTCGGACTCTTTTTCTCTTTCTTTTGTTTCTTGAGCGACTGCACTTCAAGTTGAATTAATTGCTCATTGCCCCCAGGCCCGTCAATCCAACACCCATGCGGTGCTGGCGATTTCGCCTTCTTCGCCCAATTCAACGTCAGTGGCTCTGAAACCGAGCCGCCGGCATCTTGGCTGCAGAAGCGACATTTCGACGCTGTGCAGGGATTGGCCCGATTCTAGGCTCCCCATCTGAGGCACCGCCATCGGTCGGCGGAGGAAACCCGCCGACCCAGCGGATGAAGGAGAGGATCGAAGAAAAACAAAAGGGAATGTCAAATCAAATTGAATTCGTGCGTGAGCATGAGCATGATACTTGTACATGAACAACCAAATCCGAGAAATCTCGCTTTCTCGAACCAACACTCGCAAGACCTGGACGTCCCAAACAAACGGAGCAAGGGAAGGAAACAAAGGACACCTCCCTTTCCCTCCCGTTTAGCCTTTGTTTTTCCAACCCCAAGCTCCTCAAAAGGCTAACCCATACCGGGGATAGCTCCAGAGCCTCGGACTATCGCCGCCGAGTGGAGAGTCAATATTTGGACTTGGGGATGCCCGCCTTTGTCTCTCGCTTGGCTCTGGGGCCTTTCCAAATGAGGCCCACAGGATCTCCCCTTGGCATGGCGTCACACTGGGCATGTCGCCTTTCTTTCGCACCCGCATCCGTTCTCTTGATCGGAGCTAAGCAGAATTTTTCGGCTCTGTGTCTTGGCCCCTCTCAGTATGTTCGAGCGGTTCCTTTGTAACACATGTATAATACTTTATTACAGGCTTCTCCTTCAGGTTAGTGGAACCCTCACTTTGCCAAGGGTGGAGGTACTTTTAATACGACCCCCACCAAATAAAGAAATCAAGCGCGAGGGGAGAAAAAGATCAGTTGAATGAAGGACGGCAGCAGAGCCCATTCACTGGGGATATCGTAGATACACCTGCTCAAGCTTCGCGCTTCGGACTTTGCACGCAAAAAGGTAAATCAAAACTCCTGCATACCGGAGCGAAATTCACACGTACTTCGAGTTACCCTCAGTATAGAGCCTTAATATTCTCGCGCTCGGCGTCGAGAAAATGTCGCGGTTTCAACCCACGCGACCAAGCACAGCGAAACCCGCCGCCCGGAGCCGACCCTTGTCATCGCTCTTGTTACTCAATAAAAACGGAAACGGCCTAGCCAACGAGTTCTCGCAGAGACGGGTGCAGGGTCATGGCGTCCTGTCCGCTGCGCCACTTCGCAACACGCGTCGTTGCACAAACGCCGGTCAATCAACGTGCCCCTTGGCATGGCAGTTTACACCTCATAATATTACCTCTGCCCCAAGCAGCCTTTTCGCCATTAATTGCTCGTAGTACCAACCGGCCAGCCTCGTTTTTCGAGATTGAGCAGACCGTGAACATGCCCTGCCTTTCATGGCACTATGTCGACTTCAACCTGGCCTTTCGTGAGTTTGGTGCGAGAAGTCATTAATATGCGGGGCCTTCCTTCGCCTCATGAAGAATCTTTCTTTTCAAAAATTCGTGATGTGGCATTCGTGACGTGACTTTCTAACCTCTTTCCGCATCATCTCTTGGCAAGTTGTCATTTAACATGACATCCCTATCTCTTGCCATATCTTAATCTTCGCGGCTACTCTGTCAAAGAAGGAGACCCCCAATGATGTGACAAAAGGATGAGTAGAAAAAGGTGCTATAGATCCCCCATGCGCGTGCAGAGATAGTGAACGTGCAAGGTAGGAGGGGAGGACAAAGAGCTCTCGCTCATCCTAGATCATTCAACAAAGAAACCACCGCCACCGTAGTCATCCTCCTCCCTAATCTCGTATTCCTCCGTGACATCGCTCGCGGCATCTTCAATTTCCGCGTCGGTCAGGGCATGGCTACTATCACCGCGGGCCTCGTCATCAACCTGTTTCTCCGCCTCCCTCTGCGCCTCGAGGTCCTCATCCACGCCCTCCCAGATCTTTTGTCTGATCCTGAGCCCCATGAGCAGGCGCCTCCATGCCTGGAGACAGGCTTTCCGCTTCCGGTCCTCCTCAATTTCCGTTTCCAAGTCGACCAAGCCCTTGATTACCGCTCTCACCGCCTCTGCATACTCGGCCGCAACTACCACGCCGCTAAGTACCGCTGTGCCGTGGCGGCCCTTGAATTTGAATCCCGTCAGCGCTGGTGCGTAGTCCACCCCTAGTATGAAGGCTGCTCGCGCCGCGAGCTCGTGGTCCACGTGAAAGCCGCCTACCGGCACCATGTTGGGGGCGTAAACGTCAATGTTCCCAAACTTGTTCTTCGGCACCACCCCCTCACCACGGGCGGGTGGTGGAACTCCTCCGTGTGCTCGAGCAGGTATAGCGGAGTTCCGGCGTCACCCTGTACATTTTCGTCGTCGTCTTCGTCGTCTTCGCCTCGCCTGGTTTGTTTCCGCGGCGGCAACCATTTTGCGGGTATCTCGTTGTCTTTGACCACTCGCCCCGATCGATACCACTTCTCCTTGCTCCGGGCTACCATCACGTTCCTTCGAAGATACACCCTCTCCAGCGGTGCTCGTGATCCAGCCGCCACGGTCCCCACGTCTCTTGCATCGGCCTGCAGCACTTCGTTTCTCCGCAGGTGCCTCTGTAGCACATAGAGTGGGTGGTGTTTGAAATCGGCGATGTTGCTCGGGATGGGCTCCCGGGCCAGCGCGGCAGCAAGCTCATTATCTTCAATCTGATCGAGATCCGTGGGCCTTCGCCGCGAATATTTTCGAAGCGCTTTGCGCCACCAACGCGCCCCTTGCTCCTCTGCGGATTCGACCCGGAGCCTGAGCGTTTTCGCCGTGTAGGCTTTGGCATACCTCTTGGTCACATCCTTGACCGCTCCGTCCTCGTCAAATGCCACGACGTACGAGAGTGAATTCTCCCGGTCCGTCAAAGGGGTTCAAATACACGTGTCTTCCAAAAGCTCTGCGTCACCAGAGGGTCGACTGGCTGCCACTTTTGGTGGGCCACATCGAGGACCTCAACCCAGTAAATAGGGAAATGTGACTCTTTAATTTTTCTTGGCGTGCCGCCATGGGATTTCGAGCTTCGTGGCGAGGTAGTTGGAGGCCGGCGATAGTGCGAGGCTGTCGTAGATAGCCCGAAGCGCCGCCTCGGGGGCGTCGACAAGGCAGTAGAGGACCCCGAGGCCGCAGCCTTGCCCGGCGACGCTAAGTCGCTGGGCTCCTGCGCCGATACCTTGACCGCAGTCCGCGATGGCCGGGGTTTAGCTCGCGTAGGTCCCCGCCGAGGAAGGATAAAGGCTGCAATGAGCAGACGAGTCGCGCCCTCACCCCAGCAGTCCGAAGTAAGGCACAGTACAGCTGGGCACCCACATCGCGTGACCCATGGAGAGTTTTCGCCACTTGGAGAAAATCGGACCTGTCTAAGCAGGCCTCTAAATCGGTGGGAGGATCAAAATCGCCAACCTCATCGGGGTCCTCGGCCCAGAGGGCTCGGCGTAGGCCCCTTTCCGTAACCTGATACCTCGACCTGTACATTTGGCCCACTTCCTGTAGTCCGGCTTTAAGCGCCTCCGTCCTCCCGAACTGGGACAGAGTCCGGCTCGGGTTGAGGCTGTTTAGCATCCGTTGGCTCAGTAGCTTTTTGAGGCACCCCTGAACCTTGGCATCATTGCACCACCGATTTCTCATGGCACAATGGTAGAGGAGGCAGAGGACGTGAACTTTGTGCACCTCTAGGCGCTGTTTCTTCTCCTCCTTGCTCAGTGGCCGCTTCTTCCTCCCAAGGCCCCTCTTCATCGGTGACATGGCCGCCTTCTGAGCAGAAAGGTTGAGTTCAATATCCTTCCGTTGAGGTTCAGGCAAGTGGACAGTCGCAACGGGCGGTCTCATGTCAACGTCCTCGAATGCAACGCCGGGATTTTTGTCGTCATCGTCGTCATCGTCGTCATCGTCAGTTCCTTCTGAACCCTCGTCATCCGAGGTCATGTAGACGGTCTGTATCGTCGGTTTAGGTATGACGACGTCTTCAAACACGATGTCCTCCTCCTCCTCCTCCTCTTCTTCTTCACTCGTCTCATCGAGTTCCCTCGCCACTTTTGTCTCGACTGATGCTGGCCCCGCCGAGGGTTGATCAAGTTCGGGCGCAGTATCACCAATCTCCAGCGTCCGGCGCCGCACCATCCGTCGCTTCAATGGCCTCGCCGGTTCAATCACCTCCTGATTGACGCCGGCCTCGGTCAACATCTCTCCATATATATCTCTCGGGGTCGCTCGCGGATCCTCGATTCGGGGCGTGTCCGCCGTAGGCTCCTCGTCGATCTCCTCGGACCCGTCATGGCGGAAAATGGGCGTGCGTGGTCTTGGCGACTTGCCAAGCGCAATGGACAATGATCATGAAGTTGAGGCCAGTCGAGGGGAAAAAGAAATTAATAACCAAACGTGACTAGAAGGTCCCAACCAAGGGGAACCATGCTGGTCAAAGTCCCAGGTCAAAGCACGGCAACAAACGGTGACGTATGTCCGGTGTGGATCGGGATTTCTGAACCTGTTTCACGCATGGATGGCAACTGCGACCTGAACCGCGACGCACTTCAAGATGGCGGGGCGGAAACTTGAACTTGGCGCGGTATCACGTGGTGGCTCTGATTTCCCGTCGCTGGGCGTGCCTTCCCCCAATTCTGGGCAGGTGCAATGATTGGTGCTGTCAATGGGGGCGTTCATTCCAGAGGAACATCGGCATCCAATATTTCGGCATGAAAAGGGATAGTCCGGCCTCAGCTGCACGGCCTGCATGATTCTAGTGCAAGTCAAAGAGTGTTTCTAGAACAAAGAGGAGGGGAAAAATCAACGTGATAAGATAGACTCAAGCGTTCGGAAATATATTTCCTCCATGGAGAATAGGTGTGCATACGTACACGGATATATAAATCGATGCATGCCAACCACCATTTATTTTGTTCGACGAGCCGCGTAAACCTCCTAGTTTCTCCCATCGCGGGGCTTAAGGCAATCCACTATCACCACATCGACGAACCATATCCCCAACTCGATCAAGCTTTTTCGTCAACCAACTATCGCCACGCGCATTGCCTCGGTGCGCCAACATTAATTAACGTGTCAAGTGGGCAGTTATTACTGGCACCATTGAATACGGCGTGCTGTGTTAACTTCCACGCCATCTCCCTCTTTCGAAGCAGAGTCACAAAACCCACCTTTCAAAGCCAAAGATATATCCATATATGAAAAAGAAAGAAGAAAAAAGTGTCCCAGGACCGGACTCCAGATTTTAAGGTAATAATCGTGTCATGTCTCATTAATTTCACAATGCATATAGTTCTAGTTTATTTGGTACACGCCATATCTGGCCGCCATCGTCTCGCCGTTGAAGCCCGGTATTTGGGCTAACCGCTCGCCTAAAATTCCATTTCGACTCTCCACCTTGTGTCCGTGAGAGCGCCGACGTCGTCCCATAACCGTTGAAATGTTTTTGGTCATGGAGGAAGGATGACGCGCTTTTAGTTGTGATCCCGCTTTGTGGGTGCCGACATGTCGGCCATATATCATTGCTCGTTTCTCGCCCATTTTGAAGAACCGCACCAACCGCACCGCCATGGCGAGCTGCTGCGTCCAGTTGAAGAGGTGCCAGAAATTGGAGGCGTGCACTATCGATATCCGTCCGTCAATCTTCTCGAGCCCTTCGTCGACATCGTCCATCATGTTGCCCACGACAAAGCCCGCCGGCGTCCGGTGCCGGTCGCGGAAGAGCTCGAAGCCGATCTCGATAAGCGTAGGATTTATGTCGAGGCCTATTAATTTGGATGCGTGTACCCCATCGTATGAGAATTGGCGAAGGGACTGGCCGACGCCGCATCCTAGATCCAGTAATACGTCAGAGGACCGCCACGAGGTTAGCCGGGATAACACTCGTTGGTATCGAGGGTCGCTCGACGGGTCGATGTATAGAAATCGCCATCTACCGATGCAAGGGTATCGAGTCGCGTTCCATGCCTTCTCTCGCTATAAATAACAAGGTGCCAAGAGCACTCCAGCGTTAGCCACCTAGTATCACCCGCCACATTGGTCCACGGCTCAGGCGCAAGCCGCTCTGCAGACCCCCACCTACGCCTCGCCGCTGATGATGAATCGCGAGGCAAGAGGTAGAGCTGGGGAAGAGTTGAGAATGATTTCGGCTTACAATAGTATGAAGATGTGCCTCCACCTCGGTGGAGTCTATCCCGCTGTATTCCTCCAAAATGTCCTTCACAGGCCCAATATCCGGGGGCAGCTCCTCCTGGTATATCAACTTCCACATTTCCATGAGATCCATGGCTTCTGCTATAATTCTTCGTCGTTCTGTTTTATTTTTGCGGTTCCCTTGGTCTCGTTCGGATAGGTTACCTCGGCAAGGCGTTTGTGGCGGAGAAAAGGTGGGTCGGGTGCCCGTGATGGTTTAGAGTTCGGTTGGAGAATGATGTCGTGTTCAAGAGGAGGGGAAAAGAATTAAAAAAGGAATGATGGTGGAATCGCCAGAGAAGCCGAAGAGGTATTAGAAAAGAGAGGAGTTCAACCTGCAGCGGGTTTCCGAGAGCGGCGAACAAGGTGTCATTTATCGCGTCGTCGTGTCAGATCCTCCTTTGTCCCCCAGTCGCCATACCGAAGTCCTGTATCATCAGCGATGGAGGAGGGGCATGGGGGTAAGAGATTGAGATGGGCTATCAGGAGCGTGATGCAGCCGGGCAAAGGATAGAAACGAGGCGTGGTGGTGACGAGTCAATGTCGTCTCTGGTCCTGGACGTCTTGAACGCTGCAAAGTCTCAAGGGCCGACGAAAGGGTAGTTGAACTGGCGCTTGCATAAAGGTAAACAGGATATTAGGGCAAGGGGAGGTGGGAGGATCGAGAGGGTACATGTATGATTATGTCGCTGACGGCGACATGGGAAATCATGGCCGCACAATGGTCGGTACGGAACAATGGATCAAAGAGAACAGCAACTCCTCCGTCAGCTCCGTTGCTTTTCTTGCGACCCCCAAGTGAGCGTGTTTGCGTTGCAAAAGCTGGCAAGTGACACAGGCGGGTAAACTGCAAAAGCCAAAAGGTAACTCTTCTCCTGATTTTAACATTTAAACGGGCCAGCGTCGCATGTCTTCTTCCCGTCCCCACTGCACTATTCTTCGTTATCCTGGGCCATTGGGAGTTAGACTAATCTAAATCCCCCATCCGGCATCCCCTTCCGGGTGCCTGCGCCGCTTCAGTGGGGACACAACCCACTCGACCTCTGTTGGTTCGCTTAGCTCGTCTCCCCGGGGGTCTTTGGCGCCCTCGGAGCCTCTGGAGCCTCTGGAGCCTAGTGTAATAGTAGTAGATGTCTTTTTGTATCAAAATGTGGTGGGCGCTACGAAACCTTGCCAGACAAAAAAGGGCCAAGGAATAAGCCGTAGGAAGACCGAGGAAGCCAGCGCCAGCGACACATCAGATTTTGTGCGGGGGCCGGTGCTGGCAACCGAGCTGCATCGCGCATGGGCCAGCCAGTACCTCCAGTGTCCCCCTGCAATTTCAGGAACTATTGTCGTGTTTGCGAGCGTGAGCAACGCACTCGAGAATTGTGCATGTTCCCGTTCCCTCTCGCCTCTGTCCAGAACAACAAGGTGGATCAATCTCCCATCAATCAGTCCTCGTCAGAGGGTCACGAACCACAAGGAAATGAGTACATAAGCGGCGATGCATGCCCGCTCGCCGCATCACGTCCCACGCACGGATGCTCGAAAAAGCGCGTTGGTCCGCTTTGTCAATTCAGGTTGACGACTAGAACACACATGCGTGCGAGCGAAGCTCGAAGCATCAAAGCGAGCGAGGCACCACTCACCCACTCTTTTCCAAGTCCCTTCCACAAGGTCATCTCGAGCCCCTTTTCGAACCTTCGCCGTCCGAGATTGAGCACTCTGATCCTCCGACACATCCTTGCCTGAACCAGCAGAGGATCGACACATGCTGGTAGGATAGCGCCACGTTTCAGTGGCTCCGGGGAGGGCGGCAGCAGGCGCCTTGTAACCAGGGTGCAGAACTGGCTGCAGCATCGATTGATTCGATCGATTGGTCCGCCAATCCCTCGTTACCCCCAAGCGGGCTTTTTCTGTGTGGATAGCCCGGCCAAGTAGTCTCCCACGTAGCGTCACGAAGGAGCATGCACTCTTGGGGGAGGAGCTTTCACCCGCCCCGTTCAACCTTTGTTAGAGTACGACATCTTGTGAAGCGTAATGTTATTACTTTGGATGATGTCGTAATTCTCGGAGAACATTACTCTAGTTTTGCTAGTTTTTTTCTTCGTTCGGGAGCGTCCTTGGTGGAGACGAAATCAGAAACCTCCGGGAAATTTTCCGTTTCGGGTTGACCAGGTTCCTCGGCTTTCAACAGTCCAGTCACCACTCCTGGCTGGCCCTATGGAGAGGCACCGCTGACTACCCCTGGGTTTGGTAGCTGTTTCCTTGTAATACTTTGAACTTGTGCATCGCAAGCCCAGCTCATCCTAGCTACACGTAAGGTTCCCTTGTAAAGTATCCGTTGCCGTTGAGTGACCCCAGTTGAAATGATGCTGAGCGATTGGGTGCCCATCTATTGTCAGCATCGAGGCGAGTGGTGTTGGGATTGAGCTGGAAGGATGATCCCGGCAGCTGAGCGAATTGCTTCGATGAACCTTCTACGGTGAGAAGAGGAAGACCACAACCGAGCCCACAGAGCCCACATTACACACGGCCCATGTCCGAGGGAGGAATTGGAGGGAGGAATTGATGGATCACGGGAACGGCGTGCAATCATCACAGATGGATCAATCCAACTCATTTTTATGCTCTCAAAAGTGCACAACCCCGCAAATGAAATGGATTGGTCCACTTAATCATCCTTTGTATTCCCTCGACGACGCCAAAGATAAGGCCACAATCCCAACCCCACTCGCCCCTCCATTCATCCTCAACTGCCAGTGCTGCTATTAGGCCGTTTTCTGTTAAGCTATCTGTCATAATAGTACACATACACTACCGAGTACTCATATCATTACAAGTACAAGATTGAGGCTCGTTGGTTTCCATGCAAAGCACGGGTACTCACGCCTGCCGCCGCGTGAAGGCCAGCCTCGAGACAAGCTCCTCCTCTTTACTCCTCCGCCGCCCGAGGGCTAAGCAGAGGTTCCCTGCCCACTGCGGCATTACCCTCGTTTTCCTCCATGTTCCTCCCCACTGATCTCTTTCAAGCCCTCGTTCTTGTCCCATCCTTGATAAAACTATGGTCGATGAATAAGCGATGCTCGCGATTGGTAAAGCTGCAGTCGGTGCAGGGGGTCCTTTGTAACGCTGTGGCCGATAAACAAGCAAACCATCGATGTTGAATCGATGCATGTTAAGTGTTGAACTTCCTTTTTGGTGATTGTTTTCTATTTTCATGATTTTTTTCCTTTATTTTTCCGTGAAGTAATCATGTTGGATCTCGGCTTGATCATCGGTTCGGCATCGGGATGGACTCGGGTCCTCGCGTTCGTGTAAGCGCGCTGGGCTTTCGGTTCTCGAGAATCATCGCAGGCAGCCGAATCGGGAGGTCGAGTGATCGTCACAAACCATGGGGAAGATGCCGCCAAATAGTAGAAGAAGAAGAAGAAGAAGAAGAGAAGAAGAAGAGAAGAAGAGAAGAAGAAAAGAAGAAGAAGAAGAGAAGAAGAAGAAGAAGAAGAAGAAGAAGAAGAGAAGAAGAGAAGAAGAAGAAGAAGAAGAAGAAGAAGAAGAGAAGAAGAGAAGAAGAAGAAGAAGAAGAAGAAGAAGAGAAGAAGAATGCCCAGCACATAGAAAAACAAAAAAGAAATCCTGACCATCTCAAAAGCAGAAACAACACAAACCTCTCAAGAGATCAAAGCAACGCAAGAAGAAGAAAAAGAAGCAGAAACCTCAGAACACTCCCCAAAGCAGCACAGAAGGCTGATGAAACAGTAGCAGAAAACTTACAAGAAACCAAAGCAAAACAGCAGCACAAGAAAGTCACAAGAAAGTCACAAAAAGCCCAGCCAGTCACAGCAAATCACAACAAGTCACAAGAAACAGAAGAAACAGAAGAAACAGAAGAAACAGAAGAAACAGAAGAAACAGAAGAAAGAACAAGAAACAGAAGAAAGAACAAGAAAGAAACAGAAGAAAGAACAAGAAAGAAACAGAAGAAAGAACAAGAAAGAAACAGAAGAAAGAACAAGAAAGAAACAGAAAGGAAGAAGAAAAAGAACAGCAACAACAGACGAGGCAGAGCAAGCCCGGCAAGTGCAGTCTCGATCGCGAATGAGGTAAGCGGTCACTTAGCCAGCTCACCCTCTGAAAGGAGAGGCGAATCCCTCGCCGGGGAGGCAAAGGAGAGAAAACCGGGCTTCCGGAGCGTGTCATGTAGAAATAACACAAAGGTGGCAGCAACGAAGGGGAGGATGGGGAGGGTGGGGGTGTCTCCTCGGGTTCGAAGGGATCTGGCACCGGCACTACCGTTCTTCCATGGCTGGAATTCACCAGGTAAGGAGGAAGGCCCAGGCCATACGCCTTCACTTGAGCGTCCTCCGCAAACTTCACCGACTTCTTCTTCTTCTTCACGCTAGGCACTACCTCACCCTCCGGTGCCTTGGTAAGGATGGACTTCGGTTGCCAAGAAACGTAGCCATACAAGGTAGAGCGAAGAACCGGCTTTCGTACCGGCCGGGGGATTGACGAAGGCGGGGAGGAAGAATGCCGATCAGGAAGAGGTGCAAGCACAGTGCCTGAGGGCATCTTCTTTGGGGCGGGGATGCGAGAGCGATCAAGGATGGAGGGTGGGGCAGGGGGAATGTAGGAGGCACGAACCCCTTGGGCCTGGGTAGTGAAGAGGCAATGAGGTAGGAAGGCACTGGCGAAATGATTGGGGCAAGGATGGTGCCCTTTGGCATTGGCACTGGGAGTGGAATGCGTGACTTGCGCCTCCCCACAATCGCGCTTGCACCTGAACCAGATCCAGAACTAACTGGTGGCGGCAACGAGGTAGGGGCGAGGCTTGAAGCCAGAGCAATTGCGCCATCCGGGATCAGGTCGGGGGCCACAGAGCTCAAACCGGGAAGGGGAAGTGTAACTGGGGAAGGCTCGGGGCTGGGGCTAGGCTTGGGGGCAGCGACGGGGGAAGGCTCGGGGCTCGGGATGGGGCTGGAGGCAGCGACGGGGACAATGACCGGGGCAGCGACGGGGGCAATGACGGGGACAGCGACGGGGGCAGCGACTGGGGCAGCGACGGGGGCAATGGGGGCAATGATGGGGACAACGGCGGGGGCGGGGGTAGCGACTGGGGCAGCGACGGGAACAACAACCGGGGCAGCGACGGGGGCGGGGGCGGGGGCAGCGACGGGGACAACAACCGGGGCAGCGACGGGGGCGGGGATGGGGGCAGCGGCGGGGACAATGACGGGGGCGACGGGGGCGGGGGCAATGACGGGGACAACGACGGGGCAGCGACTGGGGCAACGACGGGGGCAGCGACTGGGGCAGCGACGGGGACAGCGACGGGGACAATGACGGGGGCAGCAACGGGGACGGGGACGGGGACGGGGACGGGGGCGGGGACGGGGGCGGGGACGGGGACGGGGGCAGCAACGGGGAAGGTTCGGCACTTGGAACCGAGCGAATCGATCGAGACCGCACTTGAGGCTTGCAGGGCATAGGAGGAAAGGCTGAACTACAGTTCCCTTGGGTCGCGGAATCGACGACGGAATCAAATAAACAGGCACAGGAGCAAACAGGGGCGGGAGTACGGAACCTTCAGGCACCTTCGCCGCACGCGGGATGCGGGAAGGGCGAGAACCTTCACCGTTGCACTCGGTTGCAACGGGATCTACGAGCTTCTTCACGACTACGGTCTTCGGGGCGGCGGCAGGGGCAGGAGCGGGGTGGCAGCTAGAACCTTGGGGCGAGCAAAGTCGCACCGTAGGTCTTGCCTTCTTAACAGAAACGGCTTGAGAGTCTTGAGCCGGTGCCTTCTTATTCTTGCGATGTCGTTCGATATGCTTGGCCTCGGCCTACTTTTGCCTTGCAATTCGATTCATCTTGGCCGACGAGGCACTCAACCCGGGGTTGCTCGAAGCGAAGAAGAGGGGGATACGACGCGGTATGCGAAGATGCCATTGGAATCAATTAAGATCGAAACCTAGAAACCTAGTACACAAGTCAGAGAAAACTGATCAATCGTTGATGGGTCAGTGATGGATCAATGATGAATCAGTATCGAGACGAGCATGCTGAAGAAGAAGAAAAAAAGAGGAAGAGGAGAAGTTGGAGGGGCCAGGGAAGATATGGGAGGTATTTATAGGCGTCTGGAGGTGGCCCCGAGCATTGACTCATCCGAACGCGCGCGCGAGACGTGTTGGATAGAGTTCGAGGACGCGAGGCCGCGAGGCCATCTCGATCGATTTGCACGTGCGGTATATGTCCGGTTGATCGTACATCTCGATTAGGGACTGTACATAGAGCTTCCAGGACCTCACGGCCTTCGGTGAGCACGGGCAGTGGGTTTGGCTAGCCAAACACTTGAACCGTGCTCCCGCTGACAGCGAGTCCTCCAGGCGGTTGATAGATACCAAATGTATCCGGCCGTACCCATCGTCGTCTCCTAACCTCCAGATACATTGCAATTGACGTGAATCGTATGATTCTATTGATTCCTCGATCTGGCAATTCGCGAAATAAACAAACAATGCTGCCTAATGCTGCCACGGCCCTTTTCGTTCGTTAGATGAGCCGGAGAGGGCGATTTCCCTCAGACATCCATCATTTTGGATAATTGAACCAGCTGCCCACCAGGATAATTCATCATCCTGTGGCCTATATCACACCTTTCATCAAGTCATGAACAAGGCTCTTTGATAAGATATTGATGACCAAAGGTGGTATATGATGGAACGAAGTAGGCTGCAAGAAACTGAGCTTAATGGTCCATATATCTCGCTGCAGAAAAGCATGCCATATGTTTGAGCATCGCTGAACCTCGGGCTCTCCTGCCTCTCTCCCCGTCCTCGAGCGTGGGCGATATTTAAGAATCAGGTATGGAATCGCAATTAAATCGTGCCTTTTCAATTAACGAGCTGTTGAAAGGCTCCTTATTTTGTTAGAAAACTCCGTCCAAAAGTTTCGACTCGAACTCACCTCGACCGCGGTTTTCGTTTTGCGGCGCCGTCGTTGCGGCTCCGAATTCATCAACTTGCGTCCGCATCCCCGGACGTCGGTTCCAGCCCTACACTACAGCGGCGGTGGATGGAGAGGAGGAGCGGCATGTCATTGGGCGCCTGTCAGGGGTGGTCAATTTAAGCTCCTTTGTGTTGCGTCACACATGGGAAATTACCCTTGTTGCCAAGAGCGGTCAGTGGTGGCATGGAGGATGAAACAATGTACGCAGCCGGGCTTGGGAAGGTGGGGTTCGAGGCTTGAAGATCGGCGGAACATGGGCATGGAATCGCGTCAGGTGCATGGGCGCTGAGATCAGATGCACGCAATTCATGTACCTACGGGGCTACTCATGTGGTGCTTTTTTCCACTCTATTTTCTCTCTCACAAGTGCTCCGCATAGTCTCCTAGCACTACGTATCAATTGTTACATAAAAGAAGCAAGAAAAAAGATCCACGTTCCCTCATGTAGAAGGCGGCCAACCCTCCTTTCCCCTCAAGTTGGGCCTTTGCCAGTGAGCCACAATTTTCCTACAGCACAAGTCCAACCAAGCCGAGGCCAACCGCCCAGAAACCAGCAACGGCAACCTTCCCGGCAGCAGCGGTGACAACGATCCCGCCGGTTGGCGAGGCAGGCTTGCCCCCAGCGTAAGTGGGTACAGAGGAAGGGGCAACAGGGGTAACAGGGCCAGATCCATACCCAGAACCAGAGCCGGAGCCGGAGCCAGAGCCAGAGCCAGAACCAGAACCAGAACCAGAACCAGAACCAGAACCAGAGCCGGAGCCAGAACCGGACCCAGAGCCGGAGCCGGAGCCATGGCAAGTGCCGGGGCACGGCGCGGTGCCATTCCCATGGCCAGTTCCGGTACCCGTGCCAGATCCAGTTCCATAGCCGTTGTCGCCAGTATCAGTAGGGACGGTAGTTCGGTTAGGAAGCGTGCAGCCAGAAATTCCCAGAGATGAATCAAGAGAGACCTGGAAGATTCCCTCCGCAGTGGAGTTGGTGGAGGAGACGACGAGCTTTAGGGTGCCATCCGTAGTGGTATTGTAGCTAATGACGGCGGGATCGGCAGTGGTGGCCTTCTTCACGATTGACTTTCCAGAAGCGTCTTGTAGGTCAGCTTCGAGGGCCTGAGACGAGTGGGATTCGATGGTGAAGGTGAGGCCTTCTCCGCTCTGGGCAACGTAAGAGAAGGACACGGGCTCGGTCCCAGTAAGCTTGGCGATAGTAATTCCTGACAAGAGGGGCTGGTCGGCGCTGGAGTCGTGGTCACTCGCGGTCAGTCCGTTGCTGAGGAGGAGGAAGAGCCAAGGCTGGATGTTGGCCGCGTCGTGGAAGGACATGAATGTTCCTCCAGTCTTTAGGATGGCGGTTTCCAGCTCCGTGCCAGAAAAGGAGTCGGAGGGAGCGAGGAAGCCAAAGCTGACGCGAATGCCGGCAGTGCCAGCTCGGTTGATCTGTTCAATCAAGAATTCGGTATCAGAGTCTTCGCCGTCGGTCAAAACAACTATTCCCGAATTGTCTGCAACAGGCCCGCTTCCTGGTTTGCTGAGTTCGTCGATGGCCTTGGCAATACCACTACGAAAAGGAGCGAGGGAAAACGTCAGTTGTCCGAGTCTTCGTCGAAGGAAGTAGAGGCAAACGGTAGAAGGGGGTGGGCATCCGAAAGAACTTACTCTCCAATCCATGTACCGCCATCGCTGTTGATCTTGTCAAACGAGCTCTCTGCACCGGACGGGCTACCCAAGGGGTAAATCACAGCGGCCCAGCTGTCGAAACTATTTCATTTTTTCGCCAAGCGTACATGTCAGTTAACTTGACTCCAAGATAGCTTTCAGAGCAAATATTAGGGACTGAGGGTGTTGGAAGAATCATCACTTACTCGACGACGGTAACAAGATCGGCATTCTGGCCAGTGACAAGCTGCGAGTTCAATGCCTTGCCAGCGGTGATTCTCAGGTCCTCGGGGTCATTGTAGTACATGGAGCCCGAAGAGTCTAGGACAATGGCAATCTTCCGGCCGCCATTGCTTTGAGCGAGCTGGATCTTGCAAGTATCTTCAGGTGCCTGTCGGCGCCAGCCATGGTTTTTGGCAAGAGCGATGGGTGAATACGCCAAGGCAAGGGCAAGGACCTGCGTCAACTTCATCTTGGTAGATTGTTTAAACGAGGTTCAACTATAAAATAATGGTGTTAAATGGCCTGGAAAAATATAATAAAAGAATGATGGCTTTGCTTGAGATGCAAGCGACTAAAGAGATATTAAACGACCGGTTCCTCAGAGCTGGAAAAGAGCGAGCTGTGTAAACGAATGTGAAAGTTGGTGAGAAGCAAGCACAACCATCGCCATTCCCTCCTCTCAAGCACGTTCCCGTGTCCCGCCTTTATATAAAACCAGACAGCAGTCAAAAATATTTGCCCATTCCCTACATGTAGCGATGTCAACTTGTTTGAACCTCAAAAAGAAGCTTGACGGCTCCTATTCCCTTGCATCGCTGGCGGTGACATTTCGTCGGCGACGTACCACGGCGCCGGCCAACCACAGCATATTGATGACATCCGCGCCTGGGGCTTTGCCCACCACCCGTCTACATCCCCCGTAGTGTGTCTAGTGAGTAGAAGAGAACTACGATGCTATTGGATTGGGAATGGGCGAATGATATTCCCGACTCTTCACTTTTCCTTGCCCTTCATTTCAATCACAGGACTTGGGAGTTCGTCGCCCACTCAACTTTTCCCCGTCACTCGAGTCTCATCTTCAAGGCTGAAGAGCAAAGCCGCATCGGGATGGCGGAGCCAATCACATATTTTCGATCTCGCAATTCCTGGTAATGCCAAGAGAGTGCAAGGGAGAAATTTCTGGTGGAATGAATCTGTCGGCTGAGTCCTAGTACTGCTCGGGTGACGTTCTACGCTGTCGTTGCCCCTTCTGGAGAGCAAGATATACCGGTTGACGTATCTCGATTGACGCGGAACGCGTTTTCATGGCATTGTAGGGCTGAGAGAGGCAAATTACATCGGAATCACGCCATAAAATGTAGCCAGTAAAACGGGGTGAACTAAAAATGGTGGCTGTCTTTTCGAACTCGACTACATCTAGAGACCCTTCAGCCCATCTTCTGCAATGCCAAGCCTACGTGTAGGGCATACGAGAGAACCCGAGTGTCGCGGATGCGTCTACCAGATCCACGCCTCGATGTCACTACCCTCCTCTCCAGGCATCATGTGTTCGATTAGTCGCGAAATTGTTCTTGAGGGGTGTACTTCCATTTCGAGAAATACGCAGGAGTCGACCCATTCCCACCATTGCTCGTTGCGTAAATGCCCAAGATAGCACCTAGATCAACAGGTATTATTAGGCACTGCCAATTTTATACGGCGGAAGAGGGCAAACGGAACGATGTCCATGGGGGCGGAAACTCGGAAACTCACCGTTAAATCCCCAGCTCAAGTGTTCGTTGGACACGTCAATTATCGTCTGCACTTGAGATCTCGCGCTCGCCGGCCCAGCAGAAAAGGAGTAGTGCGTGTTGTTTTTGGCGCTTATCTCAAGACGCAAGGTCTCTCCTGCCCAGGCCCCTGGAAGAGGAACGACGAGCGTGTCGGGCACAGGTAGGTAGGACATGGCGCGGAAGCGTAGATGGGGAGCAAGATCACCCTCCTCTACCGCGCTTTCGTCGCCACCCCGAGGCCCAGGGAAGCTGGCCGTCTCTGACCCAGATGGAAGGTACACAACACCGAGGTCGAGGTGGTGATTTTGGGTGAGGAACGCAGTGATCCCTGCTTCCTCTTCTTCTTTCTCCGGGGCAAAGTCGAGGTCGACGCTATAGGTAAAGAGAGTGTCCTGCTGTTTCCGTCCAACGAACGCCTGTCCCCCTGGCCCTGCGTAATTTCCGTTTAAAGCAGTGAGGTTAATTTTGGATGGGTTGATCCGGAGGGTGTTAGGATGGCCCTCGGGGAAATCTCAAAGTATTCTTCGCTAGGATAACGCCAGAACTGGAAATGCGGTGGGAATTCGGAGTCGGGTGCAAAGTCGATATCATCCTCTCGATCCGAGACCCAGCGTCTGCAATCATAAAAATATAAGTTGTTAGCAAAGACTTGGCTTTTTTGTTCTTGTGCCTTTACGTCCTGCCTTCGGCTAGGCGTCTTGAGGAGCTTGTGTTACCTACCCAACACCATCCACGTCGAGATTCTCTTCAGGCATAGGCCACCCCTCCATAGTTCCTTGAATAGAGTCGATAACGGGAACTCTCCTCGCCCCAGCTTGCCGGCGCCATCACTGTTTCACGTCCCATAGGGAAATGCACGTAGTCGTCACCGCCACGGACGGAAAGCGCCACGCACCACCTATATAAATAAATGGACCTCGTATTAGAAAAGAGGGGCTCGATGCCAACCCATTCCCGAACCTCCCCACGGGGAAAAGATGCGCCACCTACCAGTGCCCATTCCCATCCTGAAATAGATCGGCATGGCCAACTGCTTGGACTATAGATAATGCTATGTCAGTAACAGCTTCTCTCCGTTCTAGAGGATAAGATCCCTTGTAGATTAGACGATCTCTGAGGGCGGGTGCTCATACACAAGCTCGTTGTATTCGTATTCGATAGGATGGGATTCGCAGGGTTTGACTCGAATGGTCCGGCGATGCTCTCGGATCGGGAGATCGTAACCATGTGGTCGTGTCCAGTGCCACCTGTGTCAAAGGGTCAGTTTGGGGAGGAGCGAGCGAGATTGAATTTAGGTATCCGCAGCTGTCATGCCTGAGAAAACGTACCCTCGGCCACGAGAAGATAATAATATCCATCCTTGAAGTAAATGTGAGGGCCCTCAGGTGCCTGGTCTCGTGTATCAGCTTTGTAAACGGGGCAGTGACGAGTTTATTCTCGAAATAGGAACACGGTTCTCACCTGCCCACCAGTTCCTTCCCACGTCACAGTCCAATTGCCAACATCGCCCGTCTCAAGGTCGATTTCAGCTTGGTGAATCCCAGGACTACAGAACCTCCAGTTAGAGTCGTAATTTCAGTCGCAATGAGGGCCTCCAATAGCGAGTTCCTCCCGGCTACAACGCACCTAACCCGCCAAGCATGAGCTGCTGTGACATAAACTTTACCATCCTCGTCCCAGAAAGGGGATGGGTCATAGCCCTCGAACTCGAAATGGATGGCGTCGGTCCACGATAGTTCGTCAAACGGATCCTCCGCCTTGAAGAAGATCTTATCCGCGAAGTCCAATATTAGCTCTGACCAGCAGCGAACTTTTGGAGGGCGATTCGTGAATGAGCCATTGTCTTACATTATCCCACCTTGACGCGTCCTCTGGCGCTTTCTCGTCATCGACTAATGTGGTGAAAAGCCAGAATGTGTCGTCCTGATATCGCAGCGTCGGTGCCCAAATACCGCTAGTTCACGTTAGAGTCACGCCTCCCATCGAGACCCTGAATACGAAAATGGCTCTTCGTACCTCGTCGAGCGGTTTGTCTCCGCTAGTCTCGGCAGCTGCTCCGGCCGGTTCAAAACATGGGCTACAGCTCATCAGCAACCTCGAGCTTCAATAACAGAATACGGCCCACGAATCCACGAATCCACGAGAGAGTTCGTAAGACAAGTCATCTGGTGACTCCATCCACACAACATACCAATCAGCCTCCAATTCTTAAGGTCCTTGCTGGCGTGTATCGGAATTCCCGGGAAGGCGTTGAAGCTCGATGCAGCGCAAAAGAACGTGTCATCCCATTCGGGTACGAAAATACAGCTGGGATCGGGGTGGAAGCCAGGAAATATCGGGTTGAAGTAAGTCGAGTTGCCTTGCTCCACCGTCAGGTCTCCTTCTTCGGCGGAAGAATCGTCATCCTGGGCAAAGACGCCGATTTGAGCGAAGCTTGCGCCCAGCAAACCCAGCAAGATGTTTTGAAGCGCCTTCATTGTAGACGATATTACCAGCGCTCAACGAGAGCAAGCTCTTGGCCAAAACTCGGTCTTGATGGCAAGAGGCCGACGATGGCGGTTTCAATTGAAGAGTAGCAAAAGCTGTCCAAAGGGGTTTCCTTTCTTCAGTCTCCCCTTCGTTTATAAATTATTCTCAACCCGCCTCGCACTCTCTTCGAGCCATTCGCCCGGATTAATCAAGCGCAGAGCGAGACTGGCAGGGCCTAAAGACTCCCCTCTCCACTTTTTACATGTACTCTCCATCTGGCCTCCTAGTCTCCATGTCCCCCAAAGATTTATCCTCCTGCCGTCGCTTGAGAGGAATCCCCGCACCTTGAATTGAGGCGCGTCGTATCCTGGCCGGGGTATTGTTGGAGTATTCTGGTTTCGGGGACGGGTAAAAAGGCCGGATCTAAACCACAACGGTCAAGGGAAGCGAAGTGGGCACTGCGGGGAACAACTGGTTTTTGCCGCGCCGCTGTTAAGGCTTCGTTATACTCAAGACCTTTGACGCGCATTCAGTATGGCTTTAGAGAGGTCGAGGAGACCGGGCTTCTTGCGGGTGTCTAGCTGACATTAAGAACCTCGGCACGTCACTTCACACGTTGCAAGGTCGCAAGGTATCAATTTTGGTATCGTTTTATTCGTGATGTGCAACTAGAGAGGGCTCATGAGAAAATGCTGCTGGAACTCGTAGTCCGCGCCTAGGAAAATAAACAAAGGAAACCTATAACCCTTTATGCTGCGAGCCAACCCTGGAGGACTTCGGATATCATAACAAGAAACCCGGCCATGCCTTCCATGTTGACCTGAACTGTGATGAAGAAAGGAAATGAAAGGAAATGAACGGGAGGGAAAAAAAGAAGGGGAAACGAAACTCCCTAAACACAAGGCGCCGTGAGTCTTTGCCAAGGGCCAGAGCGAACTTTGGATCGAACGGCCCCTTAAACACTCTCGCCAGCAAGATATAGCAACCTCTTTCCTTTCTTGTTTCTTATGACTTTTCTTCTGTTTCTTTCTCTTTTTCTCTCTAAAAAAGCCCCCTCAAGACTCTCGTCTATCTATAATTGTCTCTTTATTTCGTTAGGAATCCGAGGTAGTCGACGACAATCAAGGTGATCATACTAGTGAATGGAATATTAGCTCTCCGATTACCATCTTGGGATATACAGGGTGGCATCAACTTACGCGTGTGGCGCGATGCGGATATAATAGGTTCCGAATCCGCGATAGAACCTCAAGGGCCCTTCCTGCTTGGCGACCTTGGCGAAGCAGTCTAGCATGCCACGGTAGGGAAGCTGTCCGTTAGGGCCACGCTGCTGCTTTTGAAGGCGTGTCTTGACAAAGTCAAAGGGAAGACTGAAGAAACTGGCAAAGAATCCGGCGATAGCACTCGCGCACAACGTCCTGTTCTTGGCGGATAGTGACGTATGCTGCTCAAGTTGGGCCTTGGCCTCGCTGAAGAAGGCTAGCTGACCAAAGTTGAGCGCCATGGCCCTCACTACAGTCGGCGCAGCTCCTGACCAAAGAGCCGAGATGCCCTCTGATTTCGAGATGGAACGGAGAGCGTCGAAGACGGACGTGTAGTTCTTGCGCTCAGCCGCAGGCTTGAGTCCATCGCTTTGCATGCGAATCAGGGCCAAGTCGGCGGGGTTTCCTATCATCGCCGCCAGGCCACCCGCTACCAAGCCAGCGGTGGCTCGCTCGGAGAATCCAATTTCACGTCCTTGTTCCTTCGCCCTCTTGCTCATTCCACCCATGAAGGTGTCGAAGAATCCAAGTCGTGCTGTCGTGTACACGGCTTGTCGTAGGAGGCCAGCAGAAAGACCAGTGTACAAATCGAGAGCTCTGCCGCTCGAGATAATGTCTCTCGTGACGGACAAGGGGCTGGGCTTCGGGCCTCCAGCAACTCCTTCGCCAGCGAGCTGGATACGAACCTTTACCATATCGATGGGCTGCACGCAAATGGTGGCAACCATGCCGCTAATGCCGCCATTGATGAATGGGAGCGCGGCGCGCATAAAAGGAGTATGGAGGAAATCTGTGGCGACAGCCGACTTGTCTTTCTTTCCGGAAGTCATGATATCTGATGTCGTTTGCCTGGCGGCATCAGCAGAGGTTGCAAGACCTTGGGCGGGCATTTCTTCTAGAAGTGCAGGTTTGAGTGGAGTAGAGGCTGTGGTTTGAACAGAGAAGGGGCGAGCCTCGAGTGAGATCGGGAAGGGCCAGCACAATGAAACTGAAGAAGGTGCCTTCTGTTATACTCGGAAGGAGTGAATTTGATGCTTGTGCGCGGGATATACTTTTCCTCTACTCTGTCCAAGATTCTGGGCCGCGCGGTAAGACGGACCGAGGTCTAGCTAACAGAAGCACAAGGGGCGAGAAGAGTATGAGACTGTTGGGGGCGATCTGAGGAACGAAATCGACCGCAAACTAAAGAAAGCCTTGTGAAGATCTGCCTGGTGAAGAGAGAGGAGTGTTCCGTCAGCCCGAAAGTTTCCGCAGAACACGAAGCAGCACGAGGAAAAGAAGCAAACGAAAGAAAGAAAAAAGCGGAACAAGACAACATTATGGCTTTGTGCCTCGGGACCTTTGCTGCACGGGGTTTCTTGAGCTCTATATGCAGAGTCACGAAACGAAGTCTCGGAGTGTAGGACGCACTCAGACTGGGCTTTCGATACTAAGGAGCAGGAGAGAGCCACTGAGCCCACCTCAAAAGGGAAGCGGTAGGAGCTGGATTAACAGCTGGCTGAGGGGCTCTGATCGTTCCGAAGACTCCTTGATCAATTGATATTCTTTCCGTCAACGCGGGTGACTTGCCCACTTCATTTGATTCTTCCCCGCCCTCAGTCCCCGAGCGAGCTCGAAAGTTGCTCAAGGTACCCCTAAGGGCCGAATTGGGATCGAGATAAAATGGACAGAAACAGGAGCTGCGCAACTCTTGTTGAGCCATGTGGTGTTGCCTAGGCGCATCAATTTTTCAACATGTGAGAACTGACCACTCGAGGTGGTTTCAGTCTCCACGCGAATGACAGCATCGGTCGAGAGGAGCCACTCTCAGGCATGTGTATGTTTCGAGGGCGCAAGACGCCAGGTCCCCTCTACCTAACGGAGTGGAGGAGAAACTCTGCGACTGCGCCAGTGGTTGCGAGCTCACACTCGATCTCATTGTCACTCTCTTGAGACTTGGAGGTTCTGATGGACAAATCGCGGTCCGACTGAAACAGTCGAAAGCAGAATCGGGAGACCGGCCACTCTCGGCCGCCGTCCCGCGCTCCGCCTGATAGGTCTCGACTGCTGTGGATCCGCGGTAATATCCTCGTCGACCAGTCTCGTTGTGGCGATAAGAACCAACGGCGCCCTGTTATGACGACAGTGGTTTTTTTCTTCTTTGAGTGAAAGAATTTGACGGGTTTTCTTGCGCCTTGCACGCTGGAGGATTCCTCATCTCTTCAAAGTTCCTTTATTTTCTCTCGTTTCTCGTTTCTTTTCATCTTTTCTCGCACTTCATCATCTCCACTCGAGACAAATGCAGAGGCGGATACGACCGAAAACACGTTCGCGGCCTGGAATGCAACTTTGCGACTCCATTGTTAAGCCACCTGCGGAAATTCGCGGGATCGAGAACCCGAGCTTATCTCAGTGGGGCACTTGGATGACGGTGTTTGCCATCCATCCCTTCCAAATCCAGAACTTGGTGTTTTGCAGCCAAGGACTGGTTGGTGGGGAAATAGGAAGGGGCAGTACGCCAGAACGCCCAACACGCACTCCACGTGTTATAAAGGTGTAGCCTCCAGTTGAAACTGGGATCTCATGCGCCTGCAGAAGCAGGATAACCCCAAGACAAGACGAAAATGAGAGATCGGCGAAAAAGAAAACGGAAAGAGGGAGGGAAAAAGACAAAGCAAGGAGAGGGTGACATCATCGGATAGGTGCGTTGGACCGTGAAGGAAGCAAGAGCAAGCGCTGGGAGTATGATGACTCTTTGTGGTTCAATCTTACCTTTGTGAATGTGCTATGTCAGCAGCGAGTGGTATGCAAGTTTTTAGAGGTGGTGCTTTCGCCAATGGCAGCAAGGGCGAAACAAATCTGTCTCGGAGTCGTATAAAACGGTTTACCTCGACAGCTTCTGTGCGACAACAACTGCGGGGTACTTGAGGCACTGGGGGCTTCTTTGAGTTGGAAGGGAGCTCTCGTCTCGCAATCCAGCAAGGCTCTCTCGAATTGGTGATCAAAAGAGTCCTTTTGATTTCAGATGTTGGATCCCAGAGGTAGAATCACAAGCTCTGACACTGATGCTACGTTGTTGGTCAATTCTTCTGGTGCTCTGAGGCAAAGGGAGTAGACCTAGGCAGTCAAGCCGGGAAAACGCGACTAACAGCTTTCCGATATCGAGTATAAAAGCAGCGAGCTTCGTTAAACGCTCCCTCTTGTGAAGAATGGCGAGTTGACTAGAGTCTTGCAGCGCCGCGGTTCGCCAAGGGGAACCGTTTACAGCCGGACGTGCGAGGCTCTAGATGAGAGAGGAAATGGAGCATCCAATGCTTTGATTCCAACGAGCAGCAGGGCTTGGAAGTGCAAGAGATGGTGTGGTAGAGTATTGAGGTATAGGAAGTGAGGGGCAGAGAAGAGAGAGGGAGAGACAGAGACAGAGAGGGAGTAAGAGTGAGAGTGAGAGTGAGAGAGCGAGAGTGTGTGAGAGGAATGAGATATGAACCCCTTGATGGCTGAATGCACTGGATGAGGTAGAGGAACAGGTGAGGTCTACTTCTGGTGTGGCATTGAACTTGAAGAAAGTGAACCCAGTCAGCATCCACAAGAAGATCGTGGTGCTCTACTAGTTTATATTCTCGCCGTCCACTCAAAGGGAAGAGGGGGACACAGCATCGAGATGGATGCCCCGGCAAGTCTGACGGAGCGCCTTCAATGAATGGCGCAGGTTATTCCCAGCTTGGCGACTGAAGTGGATAGCCATCATCTGTGTACGGGCCATAGCGGCAAGTTTGTACGGAGTACAAGGTGATGATTGGCATCATCTTCCTACCACACGAGTAGCGTCGGGGAGGGGCTTGTTTGACTTGGTTTCGCGACCCTCATCCCGTACCTCCGCGTTCTAGATGTACATCCACCCAACTTCGGGTATCCAGTTCTCAGCGCTGGGCAGTGAGCCACTTCACCCTCGGTCATGGGGATGGGGGTTTACTGGGGGAAGCTCTGATGTAATAGGTCACACATGGTTGGTCGCATCATCCTTTTCGGTCTGGCGCCCGTACAGTGCCCTGATGATATTGAACATTGAACCATTGGGGTTTCCCATGAAGGCAGCTCGTCCATTCGCCGCGTAATTCATTAACAAGACCTCAGGGTGAGGGGAGGTATTGATTTCGCCTGGAATGACGGCGCTCTAGTACGAGCGAGGGATGGTGCTGCAAAGGTCTGGTGTAGCAGACTCGCGAGTGCAGCGTTGTGGTGACCCGCCCGGCGGTAAAACACAATGAAAAAAAGACCCTGTTGCTTAATTCGGGGGAGGTACCTGGGTACAAGTACACCGAGTTCAAGTACGTCGTCATCTGCGGATCATCAGGTTCATTGTTGGTTTGGCGCATCACCTTTGGGAAATCCTGTCGACGGTGCACTGTATCAGTCATAATCAGGAATCTAGATCAATGGATGCTAGCCAACCGCCCTACTCCCTCCCCGCCTGAACACTTGATGCAATCGACCCCTCCATCTCAGATGCTCCGTCCCCCCTCCCTTTGCTCTCTCCAAAATCCCCATCAACCAAATCTTGCAACGTTTTTGAATGTTTACTTTGGATATGCGTGAGAGTGCCTGAAAATCACCGTATAGCCCGGGCTACTACTACCTTCACTCACAACCTCTCCTGCCTAGAGCAAGGCACCTCGAGACGACCGTCAGGAGCTCACCTCCTCATCTACCAAACGTTGATACGGGACAAGTGGGGATTAACCAAGGCCCGAGGAAGCCTAAGACATCTACCATGGATCCTCGAAAGGATAGCTCCACATGTGCACTATTTCGCCCTTGATGGTTGACGTCTAATAATACCATTTGAAGTCTCAAGGGTTTCGCGCAAAAGAAACTCCCACCTTGCCTGTACGCATCTGGTCTAGCATCGAGCAGAGTCTAATAGCCAGGCTCTCTGGAGTTAGCTCGGAGTCCCAGCATCGCCCTAGAGGTCCCCACTACCCTGCAGCTAAACAGGGACAGACATTTCAAAGTCACAATCCCTGGCCAGGCCAGCCAGCCTGGGCGCCATCAAGTGATGCGTGAATGAGGGGCCCCTCCACTCTGTCCCCGTTCACTCGCCCACTTGCGGCCGACATCCGTCTCTCTTCCATCCGGCGGACAAGTGCTCCATGAGATGAATCCGTTCCTTGATAGGGAAAGAAGGAAGGATAAAAAAAGTGCCCCTCTCTCAAGGGGAATGAATACCCCTATCGTCCAATCACACATTGGCCCAGGATTGTCAAAATTGATGCCAGGGTACGCAGGCTTGGAAGATTGCCATGGGAGGCCTGGCCTGTTCTAAGCAGTTGATCCGTGGATATGAGCCATCCAAGTGGATGCGTCGGCTGCCTTCCGCTTTCCGTGCTAACCTCCCGTGTCGGTAATATCGTGCGGGAGCTCAAAACTTGCAGGGTTCAACGACAACAAAAAAATTGGTTTCGAAGAGGTCTTTTGTTTTCTTTTTGGGTTCTTTTTTCTTTCTGGCTCCCCCAACCGTTTACAATAACAGCCTAGCGTGGACTGGACCTTGCACCTTTTCCGGCGTTTAGAAGTTCCGCATCAACTCAAGAGAGCTCCGATGCAATGATACGCAAGGATACGGGCTATATCCGAGGTGCGAGGTTAAGACACGGCGGCCAGCGGTGGGCGTAGGCGGGCGTAAGCGGAACAAAGGCGGCTTTTGCGGTTACCGTGACGCGATCCTCAAAGCCAATTCATTGCTGGCTGGCCATCGCATCATACACCCGGTCTCGTTATAATATCAAGAGGCAGGACAGGAACAGCACTGGTTGACTGGACACGTTTTGCTTCCACGTTCTCGGGAAAGGAAAACTAGGTTTATGAAGTTGCCAGCCTTGCACATGCATGCCTCGAGCTCTCCCGGCGAGGGCGACGAGCAGGCCATAAACACGAGATCTTGGCCTGCTAAACAGTTCATGTTCTAGAAAGCCTTCATTATTAGCTAGTCCGCCTCGTGTTTATCTTCAACATGACGCTGGTGCCCAGTCTGACACATGCGTCTGCGCAACTAGGACATTGGCCACGGTCATGCGTTGACCCCGTCGACATGTTCTATTGCCTCATAGCTTCTCGCGATAACAACGTTTTGAAGACAAACCTACTCCATCATCCATTGGCTCTTGGCCATCTGAAACCTCTCTTGAACCCTCAACCCTCCCCTCCCGACGGCTCCACGTTCGGGCAACAGGAGAATTCGGCTGTGGGTACGCCGAATTGGGCCGGATTGATCCGAACGTTGGCCCGTGAATGGCTCCCTCTGTTTCCCAACCATTGGGGCGCTGAGGCTTAGCCACCTTTCCCGGCCTCCGACACTCTTCCCCGACGGATTACATCATGGCCTATGATTGGAGCTTGCCCATGGGCCCGAGAGCTGACGGCGACCAGCACCGGGAACCAACAAAAAAAAATCCCACTCGTCGTCTATCGTCGGGATGTGGATAAGCTCGGTTGACTCCACATTTGATTATTGCTCAACTTTTTTCTTCTCCTCACTGTTTCTCATATTTTCTTTGGTTTTTGGACGGGACTGAGAGAAGACAATACGATCCGCATTGACTCTCCATGGATTGTTGGGAAATGGGTCAATGATGGGGGAGGTTGCAATTTCAACCCACCCAGGGCCAGCTCGTCGCGGCAACACTAAATAGCAAGACGCAGCACCGCAAGACACCCTCCCGTTGATGCTTCAATAATACATTGATCGGTCAATCCATGCGAAGCACCTTGTCTCGAAGAGCAATAACAAAAAAGGTGCCACATTGATTTTCAGTTAAACTCTCTGCATCCGCTCTAGCTCTGCCTTCCGTGTATTCTGCTCCAGGACACAGGACAGTGTGCCCAATAGGAGACCTCTCAAATGCAAGCTTCAATGCTCTCGTTCTTTGTCATGCCGACATGAGCTTCCCCCGCATCTGGAAACGGGTGTGTCGAGATGGCCCGGGTCAGTCACAGTCGTTTCTCACCCACCACCAGGATACCCTCCCACCTGCACCCCGGCACCCTCTTATCTAAGGCCGACCAATGCTGGCTCGCGGGGTTATGCAGGCCGTCCTGCTCCTTGACCAGCTTGGAGTTCTTGCTGCTTCGTTTTGTTTTGTTTTGCACAATTGTTGCACGACATGGTTGAAGATGATCATGGCCAAGTATTCTCTACAACAAGCTTCTGTACTCCGTGCTCCTGACTGTACACGCAAAATTCAAGAAGAAAACCGCCAGGAACCAAGAAGACGGACGGCATCCCAATATCATCCAAAGAGGCGTCTCAATGTCGTACAACGGAGGGGTATGCATACCTCTCGAGAGCTTCCCTCTTTCTTCTGGGCCTCTTTTGGTGACGAGAATCTCGGTTCTTGATCAAAAGTCCATTGATCGCGTGCCGCACCTTCAATTGGCTTCGCCGTGCCTGAGTGCGGCAGAGGTTCCAGTTCATGGACTCAGCTTGTGGAAAGCAGTTTCCCCTTTGGTCTGGTTTGGCGTTAGCTTGGCTCCTGAACGCTCTGGCTATTGCGCTTCCTCCGTGAGTGGCGTACAAGCTCGGGTTAGCCTTTTGAGGCTTCCAGGACGCGCCGGCTAGTGCCTGAGCCATTGTGGCGATCCGTCACATCTGCGGCGGAAAACATGGCGAGGGCGCAACAGGATCCTTCAACGTTGTGTTCACGCCACAGCCCATCTTCAACCAGGAGGAAAGGACCTAGGCTCAGGTCCCCGGGGCTGAGAGGTCGGTAAGCGCTGTGGTTAGGTGCGAAGTGACCCTATCGAGTCTGAATTGAAGCGTGAGCAAGGTGTGGTATCTCAGCCATCGCTGGCACGATGACGCAAGGCCGCAAACTACAATAGATTCGGTCTAGTCAAAGTGAAAAAAAAGAAGTCACCCCAGAAAGAATCAACTGATCTTTAATGGGCGGCCAGAAAAGCGAGAATTCCACAGAATTTAGCTGGATATGACATCTTAACCAAGGTAAACGGGGAGACGGGGCCTGTTTAGGGCTGCCTTCTCACTATCAGACCAGGGAAGCTGTGACACACTCGACCTTTCAACTCTAAGCCTCGCCTGTATTCCATCATCAATCGGTCCAAGTATCTACTCCCATAGATACATCCATCTATCATTCACCAGTTTCCCTTAGCTGACTATCAAGTTGATCCATCCCCCTTTGACCCTGGAGCCTAGCCCAAAGACCACCATCAAGGTCCGGGTACCTGCAGCATGTGGGCAATAGGCAACAGACTCTTGGAGATTGTTTGGGAGTTTCTTGTCGGGCTGATGATCAGCGAGTCTGCGACATTACTCGCTTGATGTGGGAACATCTACGTAAAGCGAGGGGAGGTCTGATATAAGAGTATGTCGTGACAGCTCGGCGTGCTCCCCTCTCATTCAAAGCTCATCAGATGCTTGGATTTGTCTACCATAACCTTAGTAGTGCGTGTTCATTATACTGAGGTCGAGCTACGCCTTAGCTCTCTTTCCCTGTGAGCGTCAAGGGGCACTGCAATGGCATTTCCCGAGAACTTGGTAACCACACCCATAACCAAGGTATTGGAGTAGATTGTGTATGATACGGTGGGAACCGTTTTCAGACTCGATCTGATATTGTTACCTACATACGTCTTGGACGCCTGCATGTAGTGGAGGGAAACCTCTAGGTGGATATATTTCCCGTACTTGTAGTCAAAGGATGGACCTTCTATCCCCATAGACACTCCGCAGGCCCAGCTACGCCTCAGCGGGCTATTGTGGTACCTCGTCCTATTGAGTTCTCGCCCTACTCTCGAAAGCCTAAAAGATACGTCATGGAATAAAGGCACCGATACAATTCTGGCGTGTCTGTCGAAGGATACATTTAACTTAGAGGAACGAACAGCCATGGAAGGTGACGATAATTCCGGCGAAGAAGAGTTGGTGATCAGGGGTTCGAATTGAGCGCTCATCGCTACCCTAGCGCTCATCATCTAAATACAATAATGGCTATCTATGCTGGTAAACTTTTAAAGGCTAGATTGGTTACCCTCGGAAGGGCGAGGAACCTTTTCCGGGTGTCCATCCTGACCTCGCTCCAAACCCGACAACACCGCCGTGGCTTGACCCAGGGGCTGTTGCCATATTACCACCGCCGGCGGCGTTCTTGGACGGAGTTAGTGGGGGCGCAGCGCTATTACTATCAACTGGCAACGGCGGAGTCTCTATCCGTTGCACTTCTTGCCCATCGCGGCGCGGAGGCTTGAACTGGACCTCGCGGCCGGTTCGATAAATGTCCTGCAGCATTGTCTCGAGAATACCGGCATCTTGGAATTCAAGGAACTTGCGGTACAGTTTGAGCGCAGTACGAGCATCCTCGATAGAGTCGTGCGTTTCGAGCTGGATATCCTCCTTAAGGAGACACCAGGCAAGAAAGGCAAGCGACAGTTTCCGCAATCGTGACTTGAGATAGAAAATTTCAATCGTGTCAATGACCTGGGTTTTGGGGATATGGATGTTTATGACGCGGAAGTCCTGTTTGAGACCGTGGCCGAGGAATTGGCATCCGAGATTGAGCAGGATCCATAGCTTCTTGTAGGCTACCTTCAAGGAAACGAGGTTCCTCTTGGATAGCCTGGGATCCAAATCGCCAGACGTGATCCCCGAGTACGATGTCAGGTAGTCAACGATTGGTTCCTTGACGTAGATGTAATCGTCGATAAAAGGAAGGCCCTCATCCTCTCCTTGCCCCCGAACCACGGAAACTCGCGCAAGTGCGTACACTATAGGCCGGATAGTCTCCCTTTCTCCGTCCGAGTTCACCTCGATCTCGGGTTGCCTCACAGCAACAAACTCGGTATCAAGGGCAACGATTGTGTCCGCTGCTGGAATTTCTGACTCAGGGTTGAGTACGCGAGCTAGGTCGCTTCCACGAACATTCGGTCTGGTACTCCTGTTAGCTACGCCTTCTCACATTTGTACTTTGGGCTCGGTGACTAAGAAGATTGGAAGGCATAAAGAGAGGAGGCTACGGCTTACCCAGGCTCCCGGTAAAGGAGACTTATGTCAAGACTGTCTTTCCATGTATTGTCAATCTTGTGATTCGCGTCTTTGTGCTGGAATGTCAGTACACAGGGCATTTTCCAGAGGGCAAACCGAAGTGCTTCTTCCTTGGAAACGGGCTGGACTAGGAAGTCATTGAAAAGATGCCACTGGCTCCCGTCTACCGCATTGGGCTGAGACGGGGATACTACTCAATAAGTTAGTAAAAAGAAAAGAAAAGAGGTTGCTTGTAAGAAGTTGGCTGCACTTACCGTCTACAACGGCGACGAGGTGCGGATTTTGCCCTTGAGCATCAACAATGTTGGCTGTGATCCCGATCAAAGAATACACCTGGACCGCGTGAAAGCCTCGTTGAAGGTGCAGCTTCAAATCTTCGCCTTCGTAGCAAAAGAACTGGCCTTGGTCGACGATAACACCAATTTCATCTGGGATCCAGCCTGGCGTAGACCATAGTTGATTGTTCTCGCCGTCCCTTGCATCCCGGAGAGATGTATTCAAGACTAATACCGAAGGGGCTTGATGGATTGTTTTTCGAGTAGCAAGGTTTTGATATCTTTGGCATCTACTACACCAGCCCTTGGAGGTCGTCTCCCTTTCGATACTAGTTTTAAGTACCTGAGAAAATGTAGGCCTCGTAAACTTTTGGTTGCGGCTTAATATTTTGGGCTACGTTCGCATTAGCCGTTGTTTCATGAACGGGTCACGGAGGGAGTGCGATCGATATCAAGGGTGGATGGCTCTACTCACGCTCGGCGGATAGATAAGATCATTCACAAACGTAGAACCGGGGCGTGTATATTCGTTGGCACATTTGGTGCATCTGATGTGACTGGTAGCCTCGGTTGCTAGGACCTGGTTGGGAAACTAATTAGAATCGAGGCGACTTTTCAAGGAGGTTGGAAAAGATGGCAAACCTCTTCCAGAGTTGTTGATGCGTTCTTGGGAGGCACTGATCGGAAGTCCTGAACCATCTTATCCAGTAAAAACCTAGTCAAGCCTTGGATCATTGTGGCGTAAGAGGAGCCGTGAGGGTCCTCCTCTACAAGACCTAGCTGTGCAACTACACGGGGTCAGGTTAGTTTAGAATATGTAGTCGCAAGACTTGGGGTCTGGGTATATCGAACCTTGAGGTAGATTGCCTAGCGTCTTCAACATATTTGTGGCTTGGCAGATGGATCCTTCAGCTTTTGAAGCATGTCGAAGAGGAACCCTATCTCACAAAGCAGACAATCCTCGTGTATACATGAAGTGGAAGCATGGTGTAGCGCGAGGTTTCGAACCGCAGGGGTAAAATGCAACAACTGCAATAACGGATTGGCGTACGAGTTTGCAATGTGTATCTCGAGGCCGGAGTAAGGGGTCTTGTTATAAAAACTGCCTTGGTTGTCAGCGCATACCGGAGAGGATCAAGAGGCCCCCAGGACCAGGCAAGGAGATTCAATCGTACCCAAAGTCAAAATCATCAACACCGAACTTGCTATACTTGATTTCCACATTCCGATACCATGCGGGGGCGTCGTCTGAGCCTGTCGCATTTGCTAAGTTCGTGAGCAAGTGTTCAACATGATCTTCTGATTCCGCACCAGAGACCGCTTTTGCAGACTCTCGGGCCTTCTCGCTTAAAAACTTGGGCGCTTGAATCCCCGAAGCCGTCGCCTTTTCCACTTTTCTCGTTTTATCAACTTGGTTCCGGCGCAGACCCCTCGAATTACGTCCGTAGAGTCCAAAGTCTGCGGGCATCAGACTGTCTATAAACTGGTGATCAAACTTCGTCGGCGGTAGCCCGACCTCTGAAATGGTCGTTGGCCATGCGGAGAGGAGAACTTCCCGGTAGTAAGGCATGCCAATAGAGTTGAGAGGACTTGACCCCGGAGGAAGCGGCTGTCAGCATGCTCGAGAAAATTGGGGCGCGGGCACAGCAGTCGGTACTCACGTATTCACGTTCCAGTCAATCTGCGAAGGCTCGACTGGGTCGGCAAAGACGGTGGGGGTGGGGTAGTCGACAAAACGGATTTTAGAAGGCGATCCCCATAGCTGAATATTACCCTCTACGTCGGCGAGGGCTAGTGCCTCGCCAGACGGCGCAATATCAAACATGCTTAAGAAGTTTAGGACGTTGGCCTGTCGAACATTGCTAGTATTCGGGTTTACAAGGTCAAGCACGTGCATCTGACCCTGCTGGGATATCACGATGCTCGTTGTAGACATCCGAGGATGCATCCGGACAAAGGCGGCGCCAGCAGGGAAGGGAATGGGCGGGGTCGAGGACATCTTTTGATGTCAAACACGTTGAGAAAGGGGTCAAGCATATAACTTTGGCCACCTCGCAGAGAATAGCCGCAGGTGACGATGAAATCGTGCTGGGCGTCCATGTTATTGATCATGGCAGAATGAGCTAGCCAAGTCTTCACCACCGTCAACGAAGTGGGATCTAGCAGGTTGACCGAGCCGGATTTGGTGGCCGCGCAGATATATCGACTTCGCTTCATGATGGAATAGTGGCTCTGCGTTGGACACTACATGAGGTGTTAGAAGAGCCTGTGAGCAATCACAGCAAGAACAAATGCAAACAAAGGTGACTGTAGGCCTTTCCACTTTACCTTTTTCGTAATCTCGCCCTTAGCGAGGTCAACGATATACATAGTATCTTGCCACCCAGCAACGAGGAGCTCTGTATTAGTTTTTGTTGTGAAACTCATGCAACGCAAGTCTTGGAACTCTGGGAGTCTAATCCACCGCATCAGCACATCAGCACACCAGCAGGGGAGAGGGCAAAGACACAAAATTAGAGGGAAAGGTAAAAGATGTCCATACTCAAGATGCCATATGGGTGGCCCAGTTCGGTTGGCCATGTGTATATAATTAGATCCCAACGCAATCACCCCTTTGTCATTGACTAGAACTTGATGAACCGATCCAGTCTTATGGGCCTTGAAAGATGTATAGCGCCTTAGATCATTGCCATTGAAGGAGGCGACGCGTCCCTGTGACATGCATAAGCGTGTGTAATGATAGGGTATATACACAATACACCAGCACTTACAGAGCTATTACCGGCCCACAGGAGATTTTGGGTTGAGTCAAAGATCATGGCAGTCACTGGGGCCTGGCCGACGTGAGGCCCCATCCCAGAGGGCGGAAGGGTTGCCCGAGCCACCTTGAAGCTTGAGGTTAGCACCATGATTCAAGATAGAAGATATCAGCCGGCAGTTTGCAACTATCAGGATGAACGCGCGCTAGCTCTTTATCCAGGGAGGAAGGGGAGTGAGGAAGGGAACAAGTGGGGTATAGATACCTCATCCCAATCTGCATCCATCCTGAAGTGAACGGACTGATCGAGGCAGAGGTAAGAAATTAGTGCACCAATTCTCGTAGACAAGCCTGCTAGGGAATCGCGGGGTGAGATTTATTGTGAGGAGTATGGCGCATAGATGAGGGATGGAAGTCATCTGGGCTACGCGAAAGCGGTAGCGCGTGGTGAGGTGGTAGCAAGCCCAGCGTGGGGCAACAGTCCAAGACCAAGAAAAGGCTCCTGTTTGACTAGATATGAAGGATATGGAAGGCTAATATTGTAGTATTGGCAATGCAGTTGATAGTTCCAAGAAAGGAGAGGCCGTGATCTTTTTTTTTTCCCTCCGTCACCACGGTCGCCCGTTCAAGGCCAAGCTTGAGTGAAGTGGGTGGGTATTGCCTGCTCTTGATGCAGGAGATCAATCAATCAATCGTGGGACGGACCCTGTAGATACAGTACAATGATATACGCACTGTACACGAACACTTGCACAGACTTGGGTTGCGATGTGGCGGTAATGTGGCGCATCACGCCGAAGCGCAAACACAGCCTGAAAATGAAAACACCATTCCAGGGTTGATCCTTCAGGTCCTGCAAGGGATAAACCGCTGGTGTTGTGTACCTCCTTCGAACCTCCACTATTAGCACTGCACTGAGGCTTCCAGTCTTTTCAGAATGCTGTAGAACCCATCACCCGTCATCTTCAAATCTTCTAACCGATTGTGTAGCTGAAAGACCGGCTCGTGCATACAAAGAAGGAAATCCTTATACCGCTAAAGAAAGGAAAACTACTGGTGCCTGCGAGAGCTGTAGTATATCTCTAGATATATTATATTCTCATGTTGGGCCACTGGGAGCGCTTCGCCACTCATATCCTCCTATCCAAACCGTGATAGAAACCCCTTGATGCCATGAAGAGGAGATAGACAGATCTCCGGGAAACCCCGAATTAAGCAGATATAAAGCAAGAGGTCATTATCATTTACCCAAAGCCGGCCCTAGTAGCCTCGCCGTCGCTTTGCCGCTATCATCATGTCGATAAATTCTTCCCTGTCAACTCCGCCCTTGCCTGTAAGGTCTGCCTGTGCAATCATATTCGCCATATCTTTATCGGTCGCGGTTGTCCCTTGCTTAATCGTCGAGTTTACTATGCGCAAATCCTCGAGTGTGATCATACCATCTCCGTCCTGATCAAACATGTCAAACGCCCGACTGAGCTCTTCGCGGGGTCTCGATTCGCTATGAGAATTGAGGCGATTGATTCGAAGGCTTGCGCGGTTATGCGGAGACTAGGTCCTGGACATGGCTCTCCGGGCGGGTGCCATGGTGGTGCAACTCCATTCTTCGTCAAAAGATCGTAGACTCGAGGTTTCGGTAAATCGAACCCCAGGGTCTTGAGTCCGAACTTGAGCTCATGGTAGTCGAGATATCCGTCATGGTCTTGGTCGAAAAGTGTGAACTAAACATTATATGCGGTTAAAGAGATATTTCCAATATGCGTAAGGATTTAAAGCTCAACGAGCTCAGGACGATTACCTACAGCTTGGGAAATTTCTCCTCTTTGCTCATCGGAGATCTTCTGGTGGTCTAGAGATTCTTGAGGGTTCATCTCGTGGGACCGGCCGGGCTGGAAAGCAACCCGGCTCTCTCTAGGATGAGCCATGCCCGCGAATCGAGGGGTGGGGGTATGAGGTTGGTGCGACGGATGCGATGGGTGTGATGGGTGCGATGGATGCGATGGATGCGACGGGTTGTTCATTACTGTCAAAGGCTCAAGGCGCAAGCACGAAATGGGTCGCGAATATCAGAGTCGGCGAGCGGGTTCAGTAACCTCGAAGCCAAAATTTTCTACGGGAATAGGGTAGATGAGAGAGTTGGGGAAGGGGGAATGTGCGAGACTCGTCGCCGGGGAGGGGTTGGAATCTTTTTGTTTCTCTTGGCTAGAAGATGCCACCAGCCAGGCCGTGGGTGGGTTGAGCCGCACAATTGCTCAAGGCCGTGGAGCAAAATGTATCTTGGTACTCTGTGACTGGGGTTCAATAGGACCGGTCGACAAAAGCGCGACACCAACCAAGGAAAGCTGTAGTAAATGGAGAAACCGAGAACCAGGCGCTCCTTCGCGTTCCTGACGCGACAACCTTGCACTGGGGTGTTAGGTGTGGCGGTTCGAGGATGGACATGAGGGGAATGAAGCGCGTGAGGGCTGGTCGTGGCTTATGTCATCACATGAGCAGCTGCTTAGAAATTAGTACATGAGATCTAGGTATCTCTAGGCAGGAACGCCAGGCAGCCGAAACTTGATTTCTAAGTACTTTACAGTATTTCATTGGTCCATAACAAGCTATTGACCAATCAGAGACTTTAATTCCCGGACAGCTTGGCCGTACCCAAGGAATAAGGCAGAAAATATTGCCTGTCTGTTGCTTCCAACCACCTTATGACCTCGAGGAAAAAAGGACTGGAGCAACCGGCACAACCCTTTTTGCTCCATCCCTAATAGCTCACCCTCTCCCCGAGGCATCGCCCTATCGACAACGACGAGCTTCCCACAGGACTCTAGCTTCTGTGAGAAGTATATCTAGTTGACTGGAAGCCCTTACCGGAGCTGTCTGCCCCTCATTTGTTTTCTTTTCTCTTCATTTTCTCCCTTCCATTTCCTACACGTTCTTCATCATCACCTCCCATTCCTTCGCACACTTTTTTCCTATCCTCCCCCATCTGGCCTTTTGAGCATCAACCAGCGCCATTGCCATTTCCTAACCGCGTCCTAGAGCGACTCGAACCTCGACCTTGCTCCAGAGAAAGAGAGATACGCGAATCCTCGCCGAGCACCAGCCGCGAACTTAGCCCTCTCTCTCCGCCCATACCTTCCCCAGTCAAGCGAGGCTCGAGCGATCTCGACTAAATTTTCCTTTTTTCCTTCGCAATTAATCCATTAACCTCGCGTCGAAGACGATCCGAGTTTCGGTTTGCGGGCGACCTATACCACAACAACGCAACTCACGGTCATTTATCAATGTGTCCTTGTTGATCGCGTCCGCCCAACCCAAATCGAATCGCGCAAAGGGTTCCTAAACCGAATCATCTGCGCGGTTTCCCTACACATCCCACGTACTATTGCTGCAGTCAACGACGTGAAGATAGTCGCCCATCATGTCCTTCGGTGGCTTCGGTGGCTTCGGCCAGTCGAATAACAACCAGTCCTCTGGGTTTGGTGGCTTCGGCTCGAACACCAACAACACAACCCCAGGTAGGTTCTCAACCAGTCTTTTGTCCCCATGTCCATCCAACCCGGCCTTATCCTTCACATCTGCTCACCCAGATTCCAGCTTTTGGCGCGAGCAGCACTACAAGTGGTTTTGGAGCCAACGCCAATACGAATACCAGTGGCGGAGGTCTTTTCGGTAACTCAGGTTCAGGCGGTGGCTTTGGGGCTGGAGGTTCGCGATCACCCTCAGATTCTCATTATTCAGTTTTGATACGCGCGTTGCACACTTGACGCCTTGCGCATATCGCTTTTCGACGCAAATTTGCTGTCGGATCATTGTACTTGAAGGCTAACCTAATGACTTAAGCAGGAACTTTTGGCTCCAACAACACTGCTAGTGCCTTTGGCAGCAAGCCCGCGTTTGGGGCAGCCGCCCCACGACCGGTGGCGGTCTCTTCGGCTCATCCAATACCAATACTACTGGCGCAAGCACCTTCGGCGGCTTCGGATCCAACAACAATACCAGCAATGCGGCCACTACTGCCGCTTCAGGGTTTGGTTCGGGCACTAGTGGAGGTCTCTTTGGCGCAGCCAAACCAGCATTTGGAGCCAGCTCCACTACCACTGGAGGGTCTCTATTTGGCGGCGGCGCTGCCGCTGGTGGATTCGGAGCTTCGAACAATCCCGGCATCGGTGGGAATGTTGGAGACCCGCCTGGGACCGCGAATACTCCGTTCCAGGCTTACGTGGAACGGGATGGAGCGTCGTCTACCCAGAACTCCTTTCAGAACATCCTATTCCAGGACCCTTATAAGAAGTGGTCAGCCGAAGAGCTGCGCTTAGCTGATTACGCCCAGGGCCGGCGACACGGCAATGCCACCGGAGCCGGTGCGTTTGGTGTCAGCTCTGGGTTCGGTTCAGGTACAACCTTTGGCTCTAACACCCAGCAGCCATCGGCCTTTGGCTCGAACACTGGTACCACCGGTGGTGGTCTGTTCGGAGCAGGTAATAACACTACAGCTACGAGTGGATTTGGCGCCCAGGCCAATACTGGCACCTCGGCCTTCGGTTCCGGAGCCACTGGCGGTGGTCTTTTCGGCCAAGCCAAACCTGCAGCCACCGGGGGTCTTTTCGGCTCTGGTACTTCACAACCAACCCAAACCGGTGGCCTTTTCGGAAGCACTGCCGGCACTGGTGCCTTTGGAAACACAGCATCAAACACCACCGGTGGCTTCGGCGCTGGTACCACGGCAAACGCCGGAGGCGGTGGCCTTTTGGATCCGCCGCTCAGAAGCCAGGCTTCAGTTTTGGTAATACCGCTGCCAATACCGGTACTGGCTTTGGCGCGACTAACACCAACTCCACCTTTGGCACCAACACCGCTGCCGGGACAGCGCAAACCGGCGGCGGACTCTTTGGCGGTGCTGCCCAGAACACAAATGCAGGTGGAGGCCTTTTCGGCGGTGGGGCCACCCAGCAGAACACCCCGGGCGCCTTTGGTGCGGGGGCTTCGGTGCCCAGAATCAGCAGAAGCCAGGTGGCCTGTTCGGTGGCGCTGCGACTACCCAACCTACCTCGCTATTTGGCAGCGGTGGGAATACAACCGGCGGGTTCGGACAGACCAACACAGGGACCACTGGTGGTGGCCTGTTTGGAGCGAAGCCTGCCGCAGGGGCGACCGGTTTCGGTGCAACTGCAGCTCAACCCGCTGGGACAGGAACCGGCCTTTTGGAAGCCTGGGAGGCAACCAAAATCAGCAGGTCGGGCAGTCATCCCTCTTCCCCTCTGGTGGCCAAAACCAAGCGAAGCCCTCGCTTTTGGTGGTGCAACACAGCAGTCCACCGGTGGTCTTTTCGGCCAGCCTCAGCAGCAAGGTTCCGTGTTCGGGAACCCGGCTGCTGTTCAACAACAACAGCAGCAGCCCCAGGGGTCCCTCTTTGGAGGCTCAATTTTAGGTGGTTCCCAGGGCCTCAACTCGACGCCCCAGTCCCTCACCGCGAGCATCACGGACGTCTCCGCATATGGGACTCCGTCCCTCTTTTCTGCCCAGGGTGCCACTGAAACAGCCAATCCTGGGCCTTTAGCCACCCCTCTCTCGTCAAAGTCAAAGCCTCGGCGGGGCTCTGTACTCCCGATGTACAAACTAAACCCGGCATCGGCCCGATACGTAACACCCCAGAAGAAGGGCTTCGGCTTCTCTTACAGCACTTACGGCACCCCGGGCAGCGCCACGAGCACATCGAGCACACCCGGAGGTCTTGGCAGGAGCTTGCTTGGGGCTAGTCTGAACAGGGGATTGAATAAGAGCGTCTCGACCAGCAGTCTCCGAAGAAGTTTCAATGCGGAAGACAGTATCCTCGCGCCCGGTGCATTTTCTGCTAGTGGTGGCCCAAGATTCTACGGTAACACCAACAGCGCCAAGAAACTCATCATCAACAAAGATATGCGAAGTGATTTGTTTGCCACTCCGACCAAAGAACGACCCCTTCTCGAGGCAGGCACCGGATCCCGCAAACTGTCCAAGCGTGTGAGCTTTGACACTAGCACGGCCGAGAACACCGAGGATGGCGACCAGACCCGCACCCCCACGCCTACCAGCAATGGCGCCCTTATCCTGCGAGAAACTGACAACGACCAAACCCCAAGCAACAGCACCAAACTACCCCCAACAAAGCGCCCGAGATGGAACAAGTCTCTGCGAATGAGTTGGCTATTGTTCATGAGGAGCCCCAGCCTGACGTGCAGACCGCTAGACATGCTGGTGCTGACTTGGCTCCTGGGGCCTACTGGATGCGTCCTTCCAAGGAGGAGATCCTTAGCATGAACCGGATGCAACGCCAGAAAGTCTCCGGCTTCACCGTTGGTAGACGCAACGTAGGTCAGATTGCATTTAAGACGCCAGTTGATTTGAGCAACATTGACCTCGATGATCTTTTTGATGGCATCGTCATTTTGGAAACCCGTTCGGCTACCGTCTACCCGATTGCGGCGAAGAAGCCTCCTGTTGGCAAGGGCCTCAACGTTCCCTCGCAAATTTCGCTTGAGCAGTCCTGGCCCCGTGGCCGCGACAAGCGCCTAACAACCGATGCTAAGAGATTCGCGAAGCACGTTGAGCGTTTGAAGCGTATCGAGGATACCACATTTGAAGGCTACGACAAGGAAACCGGAGTGTGGACTTTCTCTGTTGAGCACTTCACTACTTACGGCCTTGACTATGATGAGGATTCCGAGGGTGAGACCACGGCCCTTGACGCTCATTCTAGCGCGCCCCCACTAGCGCGCGCCCTCAGCAGTCCCCGAGCCGGAGGACGCTGATGATACCTTTCACTTTCGGAGAAACACGCGACTAGTACCCGGCGCCTTCGACCCAAGCCATTCCCGTTTTGACGAGGACAACGAGGCGGAGACCACCGATTACACTGGCGAGCCGTCTTTTTAGGGGATAGCTCCGCGGGTTCGGTGCCACAACAGCTGATGCTCTCAGTTGAGCAGCCTCAGTTTGGTGACGAATATGACGAGTCTGAGAACGAGGAGATGACGGGCACGTTTCTCAGGCCTCATCCTGCCGCGGAGCGAGACCAGTACTCGCCTGACGATGATGACGCAATGCAAGTGAACGAGACGCCGGGTGGCATTCTTCGTGCAAGGATGCGAGCGATCAAGGACTCGGCCGCACCTGTCAAGGTGCAAGTAGCAGACGGGAATGATTGGATGGATATGCTTCAGAAGACGGTCAGTCCTCAAAAAGGGACAGGGCTATGCTCAAAAGTCTTCGGGATTCTGTCGCCCAGCATCCCCTGATTCGCCTACTATGACAACAGGAGGCAGGCGTGGCATTCCCCAAGCACCCTCCGACGGCCGAGGGTTTGCTACCAGCATTGATCTCATGAATTCCCTTTTCGAAAAAGCCAAGGCACCGCACCCAGCTGAGCGCGTAAAAGAGCCCTCTCGAGGATTCCTTCAGGTCGGTAACCCCTATCTTGTAGCTTAGCTTCTTTGCGAGGATCCGCATTGAAAGTGCAGTGGTGGAATGGTGATGTTGTCGTTCCTTGTTTCGCATTTGGTTTTAGCCTCCTTCCCGATTCATACCTTTGTTTACTCTTGCTAGTGAATTGCACCTGCATTAGGGTTGATAGTCAAAACTCTTTTTACTTCGTCTTTTTGAGTATCATGCTGAAACATATATCGTCTTATAGTGGCCTTACGAACGGCAGGCCAAGGTCGTACAGCCCTCGGACGAGGCTGCAAACATTTCGAGACCTCGCTGGGGCCCTGATGGGACTCTTGTTCTACCAGGACTCTCCCCGACTACTGCAACTCATAGTCGCTCAGGTCAAGGTCCTGGGGATGTGCTTGTACTTCAAAGACCGCGCCTGGAGGAGGAGGCCCCAGGTGTGGTGATGGCAAAATTTGCAAATGAGGTAAGTTGCAGCAGACCCATATAGACTGCCCGGTGTACGTAGATGAAGACTAACCCAGTTGCATTTAGCTTTCGGCATCGGCACTTGTCACGCAAGTGCGCCAAACCAAATTCGGAGTGCTCGACGGTGTCCCCAAGGCGTCGCTCAACCTTGCCAATATCTCGTCGATATTCCAGGAGCGCAATACGAGCGACCCCGGAACACTCCATGAGAAGCTTGTGTGGGAATTGGCCAGTATCTTATTCGATAATCTTTCAACCGACGCCACAGGCCCAGAACATCAAACCCGCAAGGCGGACCTTGGTCGATTCTGGACAGCTTTAGTAGCGGACGCGTCCTCCCGATCAACCGGGCTGGCCAAATCCAATGAAGAAAAGGCAGTGGCCTGTTTGGCGGGTCACCGTGTGCCCGAAGCATGCCAGCTTCTCATTCAAGGCAGGGACTATCACCTCGCGACTCTCGTTGCGCTGATTGGCACTAGCGTCTCGTCGAAGAAGATCATGAAGGAGCAGCTACAGGAATGGCACGATGCCAATCTTCTATCAGAATTTTCTCAGCCTATTCGTGCGATTTATGAGATGCTTGCCGGTAATGTGGGGGTCTGCGAGGGGAAGAAGGGCGTTCCAGTCGAGGATCGCCTGGATTCCTTCACCATCTCAGAGGAGTTTCAACTTGATTGGAAGCAGGCCTTTGGGTTGCGACTATGGTACGCTATCGCTCCTGACGATGACGTCTCAGTTGCCGTCAAGCTGTTTGAGGAAGACGTTTTGCAGCGAGGAGAGGTGCCCCCCTTCCGTGGTTTGTCGAGCAGGCAATCGAACCCCTCTGGAAAGACCCCAATCCAAAGGTGCGACAAGACCTTCTTTGGGGCCTCCTACGCCTCTACTCGGACCCCTCCATCACACTAGATGAGGTACTTAACCCGGAAAACTCTCAACTCTCGCCCCTTGATTTCCGCCTTTGCTGGCAACTCGGGCAAGCACTATGCTCGACCAAAAGGTCAGTTTTGGGGCAGCCCAGCTGGCAAAAGTGATGCCGTGACGGTTCGCTTCGCTTCGCAGCTCATAAATGAGGGCAGCTGGCTCGAGGCTATCTATGTCCTCCTCCACCTCGAGGATGCCAAGGCGAGAGAGATGGCGATTCGCGAGAACCTGTGTCGACACGCAAACCTCTTAGGCCCGGAGACGGGGGATAAGGTTGCTACCCTTACTCAAACTTTCAAGATTCCTGCTGCATGGATCTGGGAAGCCCAGGCACTCTACATGCGCAGTGTTGAAGGAGACGCCATCACCGAGGTCCAGTGCCTCATCCGAGCCGATCTCTTCATCGAGGCCCACCGACGACTCGTGGAGCAGGTCGCGCCCCAAGCCATTATTGAGCGTGACTACCAGGGCCTGTCAGACATTCTCTCCAAGTTTGAGAGCAAGGAGAATCAAGTGGCCGAATGGAGCCAAGGTGGAGAGGTCTACCAAGACTTCCTCTCGCTCATGCGCCACCACATTCAACACACCAACGCACCAACGCAGCTCCTCCAGAAGCTGATATCCAGCCTTCCCGGGCTCCAGAAAATGGGCAACTCAAGTATATACAATGAAGCCGCATTGGCAGAGATGAGCAGTCTCGTCGCCAAAATCATTTCCGATTCGCCACAAAAGGACCTGGTAAGCGTTCTGCCCTGCTTTCTTTTTTTCCCCTCTGGGCACGACCCAAACTCTTTCGTTGTAGTTATCTAACCATGCTGATCCAATTCTAGGCACCCCTCCTTCCCAAGGTTCTTTCCCTTCCCCTTACTGAGGATAGTCACCTCTCGCACTCTGTCAGTCTTAGTCTAGCGTACTACAGGGGCATCATGGCGCGTTGAGCAAAGAGCGAAGAAGAGCTAAAGGACGGACAGAAAGGAGGAAATGGAAAGAAAAGACGAGAGGAAAAACAGAAGGGAAACTGAAATGAGGAGTTTGGCGGGTAGGATATTCCCGGAAGTAGCAGCAACTTGGTTTTCAGCAATAATGGATTGGTTGGCAAGAGGTGGGATCCCTCAAGTCGGATAGTGCCTTGCTGCATTAACCGATAGAACGGAGCCCAAGGAGAATGGAACTGTAGTTTTCTGTCATTGTAGACTAGTTTATCATAATGCTGGCCTTTACTAGAAAAGCGCCCAAAAAGAAAGGTTTTCCCCCTTGACTTTGTGCCTTATCTTCCAACATCAGAGGAATAGCGTTTTGCAAAGCAATCAGGCCTCTCTGCGCGCGAGTGCTACTGTTGTCTGCTTATGTAATGCATCAAGTGAAGAAGCAAACGTCGAAGCTCACAGCTCAAACCTGGGGGCAGAAGCTTTACGTCAGGTTTGCGCGCGCTTGTCTGCAAGGTAAATTATTGGTACACTCTCTACAACCTACCCTGAGGGTACCCTCACTTACACCCAAGCCCTTGCGTGGATCCATTCGACTATACTCTCTCTCCAAGGCTTCATTATTGAGGGATCCAATGCGGCCATCGCCCATCCGGACTCTTTTCGCCTCCCGGCTGCTAGCTCGTGGCCATGAGAACCCGCTTGTAAGTGAATCGCTTCGCGCAGGCCGGCGGCGCCTTTTCGAGGTTTGAAAAATACCAAAATCGCTCGCTGGCCAAGAGACGGAGAAAAATGAAAAAAAAGTGAAAAAAAACACAAGAAAGAAGCAAAGGACCCGAAGGGGATCAAATCGGCTAACCGAAGGAACTGCGAGGGGAAATTAGGGTCTCCCGCGATCAGGGACGCCGCCGAGCTGGCCTCGCGCGCCCAAGAAGAGGAGAATAGCTGGCGTCGGCAAGGTTGTGGCCGTGTCGTCTGCCAAGGGGGCGTGGGGAAGAGCACGACTGCGGGTAAGTCCCCATTGTTCACCGCGGTGGATTTGTAACCACCGGTCGATGGCCGATTTCGCTGAACTTGGGATCCAGCCAACCTCTCTCTCGCCTTTGCCCGGATGGGATTCCGCGCTGGGATTCTAGACGCGGATCTCTTTGGACCGTCCATCCCCACCATCTTCAGCCTCTCGGGCGAGCCGAGACTATCCTCTAGTAAGAAAAGATTTCCCTCCCCGCTAGGCTCCCCTCGTCGCCCTTTTTCAGCCGTGGAGCGAGGGAACACCTTTCTCAAGCTGACGCTTTTCTTTCCCTTTTTCTTTTCTTCTTCTTCTCTAGACAACCAGCTCGTCCCCCTCACAAACTACGGGGTCAAGACGATGTCCATGGGCTACCTCGTCGGGGAAGATGCCCCCGTCGTATGGCGCGGCCCGATGGTTATGAAGGCAGTGCAGCAGCTCCTCCACGAGGTGGACTGGGGCGGCATCGACGTTCTCGTGCTGGACCTCCCGCCTGGCACGGGTGATACTCAGCTCACCATCTCCCAGCAGGTGATTTTGGACGGTACGCTCCGCCGGGTCCCCCTCCCTTGACCTTTTTCTCTCCCTCCCCCAAAAAATAGAAGGGCGTAGGAACACAGCGCAGCTAACGCAAACATGACTCGTCGTGCAACACCCGCAGGTGCCGTCATCATCACCACCCCGCACACCCTGGCCGTCAAAGACGCCATCAAGGGGATCAACATGTTTCGCACCCTCAACGTGCCCCTCCTCGGCCTCGTCCAAAACATGTCTCTGTATACCTGCCCCAGCTGCTCCTCCACCCACCACATCTTTGGCGCCGCCGACCGCGCCCTCAAGATCTGCGCTGACCAGGCCATCGACTTTCTCGGCGACGTGCCTCTCGATCCGAGCATAGGGGACTCGGTCGAGGAGGGCAAGCCCGTGGTCGTCGCCGAGCCCACGGGTAAGGTGGCAGGCATCTACGCGGACTTTGCTAGGCAGATCGCGGCCAAGATTGGGCTCTCATAAAGTAAGAGCTAAGGGGAAAGGAGGAGAACTAAAGAGAAAGCGCTTCTTGAGATATAGCTTTCTTTTCCACTGCCAAATCCAAATGTGGAGAGGCTCAGGCTGTACTATATTGATGGATGCATCCATGTATATTTTTTTCACCGACTTCATGTTATTGCCCTTGAACATTGATGTTGCATTTATATTGATTTAGCTTTGGGGCATGCTATCCTGGAGCGTCAGAGAAATAAAAAGGGCTATTATCTAATCATAACTGAATCTGGTTCACGCCCTCTCGCGAACAGCCGCGGGTTCCTCCCATGTCCTTTTGGTGAGAGATCCATTGAAGTGAAGGTGAATTCTTCGTAACCATGTTTTGTTTCGCATTCGCCCTCCCGGGGACTCCCAACGCCAAATAGGTTAGCCTCCGCGTAAATAGCATTTCAGGCAAGGGTTACCGGAAAGATAAAAAAAAAAAGTTTAAAAAGACACTGGAGCCCTCTTATCGGGGTGCCGATCTGGCACATGTATAGCCGCTTGCTTCATTGCGGGTACGCATGTCCCTTTGGCAACGAAGAGGGACGAGCGACGAGGGCGAGGAGGAGCAGAGCAGCGTGGTATATATCGCGGAGATCTCTCTTCTGCATAATCGAGACGGGAAAATAGAAGAAGCCCGATTCCTAAGAATTGAGTTTAGAACTTGCTTAATCGGCCTCTTCATTTGTCTGATAGACGTGGCGGCTGCGGGTGGGGTCCTTGCGCATGGCTTGGCCAGAGCCAGTGAATCCGACTAGATGACGCGTATCGCCGTTAGCTACATGTCTAATGGAAAAGAGGGTGCGTGGTAATGCGATATTCCCTTCTTTCTTCCTTCTCTTTTTCTCGTCTTCTGTTGATTCGATTTGATTCGAACACAAAGGGGAGGTGCAAGGGATGATAGGATGGAAACGAACCTCTTCCGTGAATACCCTGCGGGGTGCGGAACATGCTGTCCTTCTTGGACTTTGAAGCCTTGGACTTGGAGCTAAACTCCTGCCACTTGCTCTTTCCGGCTTCGAGTTCCTTGTTAGCCTTGATCTTTTTCGCCCTGGGAGGTTTCCCAGCTTGGGGGTTCGTCTCAGCTTCATTTCCCTTGGGCGGCTCGGGGTAGCGGCTCGCGGCCGCGGACATGACGATGCCATTATCCGGCGCAGGGGCCGGGGCGGACGAGAAGGAAAAGGCCTGCTGGGCAGCACTAGAGGGGTTAGCCGAAGCGCCGCTAGGGTGGATGCGCTGCTTGACGCGGCGGTGGAGGCGTTGGCAGTAGCTGGAGGACCGTCAGCCTTGCGCTTGTTGGAAACGGGACGGATGTCCTTGGCCCTTAGGGTCTCAGTGCCCTTGTAGTTTTTGAACTTGACTAGGTAGATGGGGGCCGAGGACGAGCCCGTGATGGAGGTGATGCGGGCGGGCCAAAACTTCCTGTCGCCCGACAGCCACTTTGCCGAGACTTCATCGTTGACTTGGTAGGCGATGGCGGGTTCCTCTTCAGCAGGCGCGCCGGCTGCGGACGAGGATGTGGCGGCGGCGTAGGGCGAGGCGGTGCTTTGGGAGCCGGACGGCTTGTCTCGCTGCCACCGATCTTGGGGTTGGGGAGGCGCGGGCTTCTGGGACTCGGCGGCGGGCTTGGAGGCTTGCTTGGGTTTCAACTCGGATAGGGACTCGTCGAGAAGCTGGATCATGTCCGCCAGCTCGGACAGGAGGCTCTTGAGTTCGACATTGCCTGGGTCGTCTCGAAGTTGTGATTTGACGATCTCGAGCTGATGGGGTCAAGTAGGTTAGCGGCAGCGCAAGCACGTGGGAAGGGCATCGGCCAGGAAAATTCGACGATGGCGGGGGCGCGGCGCGGCGCGGGACGGGGTGCTGTCACTGACCTGTTCTTCGTACGCCTTCTTATCCTCTTCGAGGCTGGCAATCTGGCTGGCCATTATGAAACGGGAGTTCAGGGGTAGAGAATGGCGCGTCGGTGAGTGCACTAACAGTAGTCTACAAGGAACAGTCACGCTCGGGCGATGGAAGGGGTAAGGACGTCGTGGTGTTGAGTTTGTTGCGAAGAGCTATGGGTGGCGGCGGGGGTGTTGGATCCAAATTAATCGGGACCAAATGCGATGTCGTTGGGGCGAAGAGAAGTGGGTCATCGTTGTCAATCTGCCCAGTGCTTGCTCTGCGCTGAGTTCGCACAGTACAAGCTGGCAGCGCACAATATCAAGGACTTGAGCGCTCTAGCGTGCATATGCAATTGATCTCTGATGAAATCACATCATTCATATCGGATAGATCCAGACGGATCAAGTTAAACACAGCACGCACAGTATCACTTGCAGACTTATAAAATCGCGAAAATGAAGAAGAAAAAAGAAAACGAAGACTGATGGGGCCTTTGGCCAGCCAGCGCGATCCACCGGGTGTTAGACATCAAGGCCTAGGATCAATTGATCCATGACCTCAAGTCCCAAGCCGTCATGTGATGGGGCGTTGAGGCGGACTACGAGGAAGACAAGAGATCTCCCATTGTATCATGGAATTTGGACGAATGAGAACACCACAAGATTGATCCAATGTGGTGAGCCGGACCACCACAGTCAACCAACTCCTATAGACCTACAGTTCGTGCACGGTCAACTAGTGACTACGAGCTCGACGAAGCTCTTCCAGCTTCATATCAATCCGGATTATACGCTGCCCCCATTTCGTTCAGCAAATAACTGCGTCGCTGGTTGATGAAATGTGTCATGTCCACATTGATGTTAGCAGCGCCGATGCGCTACGGCGAACAGCAGCTTAGACACTGGGATCTCCTTCAGTAGCCCTTGAGACCAGTCTCGCTTCGAGCACTAACACGTTGATGTCACCTCACTCAAACCCACTCGATCAGCGTTGGTATATCGATCCATTGATACGCTCCCACATTCTCCCCAGTGACAATCCGGTGCTCCTTCGTTTTCCTCTTCTTCTCTCTATTGCCTCTTTTTCTTCTTATTTCTCCTTCCCCTTCCATCCCTTCCTAGATAAATACGGATGCGGCGGGTCCGACGGTGTCACATCATCCGCATCGCCACGGCCATTTCCCCGACCATTTCCACGCTCGTCTAGAGTGAAAGGGGGTTGAAAGCCAATGAAGCAAGCTTTAGAGCGGCGTGCGTGATAAAAGCTTGATCTCTCAATTCTGGCCGGTTAGCTTTTGTATACTCCACACTCGGCGAAATTACCCAGCACTTGAGCCCAGCGCAGTCTTGCCGTCCCGCCAGTGCCTGAAATAATCGCTTCCCTTTTCTCATAACCGATCCCGCCCATCGGTTAACGCTCCTGTGCTTCGTTTGGGAAACACTGCTGCACGGTCGGCCCACCAGCGCCACACGGACAACGGACGCGCCTTGTTCCTGGCCGAAGCAAAGCGCGGGGCTGCAGCCGGGGGTGAGTCTTCGGCATTATTATCAACGAAGCCCGCCGGGTCGAATGAAGCATACACCAGACTCTTACGATACGCCGATTGTAAGACCGTAATACTCCCTCCCCGTACAGTTGCGCGCAAAGTGCACCTGCCTGCCTCTGCCTCTCCCACGACGCTAGTGTTCGGCTTGTGCCTTGGGAACCTCGCTCCACTACGCTACGCTACGCTGCACTAGTGTAGTCGGTTCGGGGCCCGGGTCAGACTTGCCAAGCGAGAAGGCAAAGGAGTCAGAGAGAGCCCTCACTTAGAGAGCGAGCGGCCCCAAAGACCTTTTGCTGACTGAGACCGGCTTGATTCCTAAATTCCCGAATCAACGGGATCCCTTGACTTAATTTCGCATTGCACTTTCAGAAGCCTAAGCTCTTCCGCTCCGCAATCCTCCCCATCTTCCTATCCCTGGAGCTCGATCTGTCTCTTTGATCTTTTTTTTTTCCCTCCCTTCTTCCTTCCTCTTCCCCCATCCTCACCGCTTCATCTCTAAAAATTCTCCCTTTGCCTTTCTCCCCCTCTCTCTCCGCTATACCAATTCTTCTCCCAGCGCATTCTTCGCCCGAGGCCTTGACGTACACTCTCAAGAGAGAGCAAAAAGAAATACGGAAACCGCTACGAAGGTTGCGTGAACTGCAACCAACGCCGGCTCAACCCGCGGCGGAGCCGAAGGCGGCAGAAACGTCAATCAGGTTTACTCGAAGTTCAGGACCGGCGTACAAGTACGCGAGCCCTTGCGTTGGAGGGCCCTGGCCAAGGGAATAATCAATCACTTGCATTCTTCCCTGTCGGACTGCATGCGTCTGACAGGAGCAACACCAGCTTGATTATTACCAAAACGATAGGACGGGCGCAGTGCTATTAACCACCACCACCAAAAGCCACCAACCCAGCGACGCAAGGAAATCACCCGCGCAGGGGGAGGGCAAACCCAGGGGGTGGAGCAGGGGCGCAACCAAACGGAGCGGCCCCCAAAATAATAACACACAGGGGTTTGCAAGGGATTATCTCCCTAGAAGAAAAAAAGAAAAGATAACACAGGGAGGAAACATCAATTGAAAGCAAAGAAGGGGGAAGACCTGAGAAATGGCACGCCTTCAGGAGAGCTCGCATTCAGCACCAGGCCATGGCCAGGGTCAAGGCCTGGCTGCTAACTCGGGTTACATCACCACAACCAGCGCAAACGCCAGAGCGCCTCCTAATAATACCCAGTCGCACCTTGCACATCCTGCTGCACACCCTGCTCAAAACGATCATCGCAGACGCAATTCCCAAAACCTGCAGCAGCAGCAGCAGCAAGACGGGCACGTCCCATTGACAGACGCGACGCCCCTTTCCCATCCGAACCACTCACAATCTCCTTCCACCAGCTATATCGCAGCAGCAGCAACCACATCGGAAGCTCCTGCCGCTCCTACCGCCACCACAACCACAACCACAACCACCCATCCGCCGCAAAATCAGCAAAGATCATCCAAACCCCGAAACAGACACCTGCTGCCGCACCCCCGACCGGTCGGTTACACACCCGCGTCTCCTCATCAAAGGCCCTCAAGAATCATGGCACGACAGCCACAAAGGTAGCCTCATCCTCGCGTCGGCCTCATCTGCCCACCCACCACACTACTACGGGAACCACCGAACCCCCTCCCTTCCGCGACCGCTTCTCGCGCCCCCAACGGCAGCAACGGAAATAGCAGCCCGCGGTCCTCCACTCATCGCCGCGCCCACTCAGACGTGAAGCTCGCCCGCGAAGCCTCCGCCACCAATTTGAAGCGCAACCGTTCGCATCACGACGTTGCACGGCGCAACAAGTCGTTTGATCGCCTGCGCGCCCTCACCTCTGCGAATAAACCGCGCACTGGCAAGAGGTATACCGCCGTTAATCAACCGCGAGTCCAATTCGAGCTGGGGATTGGACGCGACGACGAAGACGAAGACGAAGACGGCGACGACGATAACGATAACGAGGTTGACGACGACGAGTGGGTTGACGATAACACTGGCGGCGCCAACACCCCAACTTGAATACGCCCCGCGACCAACCCTCGCCGCGCCCGCCTAAATCCCCCTCGCGCCCGCAACCGCAGCCGCCAGGAATCGAGATTCTACCGGCGGAACCAGCACCGAACCTGCCGACCCCGCCATGTCCTCTGCAGATCGCGAAATCGCGCTGCACAAGGAGTATCTGACGTCACGACTTCTGAAACGGGCCCCCTCACACGGCGCCCCGCCCCAAATCTCCTCCGCCATCGCCTCGGTGCCTCTTTCGCAATCGCAAAGCTCCTCCCGGCACCATGTCTCAAGACTCCACCGCCCCCGCCACGCCCTTGACCAACACCACCGTCGTGAATACCCCGCCAATGACGACGGCCTCACCTCCCGCTTCATCACCCGCCCCGGCTCGCACCTCCACCGCGAGGGCTCCTTTTACACCCATGAGCCCGCTCCGGATACCACGCGCTCCCTGGAGGCCAAGGCCCCTCGCCGCCCACGCTCCATGGCGAACCTGACCACGGCCTCGTCGAGCAAAACCGAACCCTCCTCCTCCGCCGAGAATAGCGACGACATGCGCCAGCGCAGTAGGCGCAGACGGCCCGCCGCGCCTCCCGCCGAGACGTCTCGTACGCAGCAGAAGCTGAACCTTCAGCGTGCCAGCTCCGTCATCGAGCCCGGTCAACCCCTTAGCGCCGCCGCCGTCGGCGGCCAGGGTATGGGCATGGGGCTCGGAATGCCTCTGGGTATGGGAATGCCCGGCGCTAACTCGCTCGTCAACATCCCCGGCGCCGCCTTTGACGGCGGCAGCTCTCGGGATCCCCGCGTGGGCAGGCTGTTGGAGAGAACCGGGATGGAGTACCGTGTTGTCCGGCGGTACCAGAACCCCGTCGTCCGATCGCTCAATCGCTTAGCCCACATTCAGGGTGCGGACCGCCCGCGCCAGATCCTCCCGCGGCGGCGCCAACGGCCTCGTGACCCCAGGCGTGGCCGCCACCCCTCCCGGCGGCCTCTCCCACGCCCGCCACGCGCGCACCGCGAGCAACCTGCCCCCGGTTCCTAGAAACACCGACCCGTCCCGCCGACCAATGACGCCTTCCCGGCCCCAATCCGCCCGTGCCATGAGCTCGACGACCGGATTCGATGTCGACGAGGCCGGCGCCATCGCGGACCGTCTCAGCGGAGTGTCTCTTGTTGAGCAGGAGGACGACAGGGTCGCCATCGCCTTGAGAAATCTGTGGGACAAGCCGCTGGACCTCAGCGCGAGTCAGTAGGAGGACCCGCTGGAGACCTTGCTGCGAGACCACGGGCCAACAGATGAGGGATATGCGGAGTAGTGCGACCTGTAAATTAGAAGAAACGGTCCTCTACTCGTCTAGCACCAGTCTAGAAAGACGGAATTCTCGCCGCGCGCACCTTGGGGAGGTGCCATTGAGGGAGTAGGAAGGAGAGGTCGTCCCCCTCTCGGCCACCACGGTAGCTTCGCCGCATCCAGGGCGGGTGTGTGCGCACATCCCTTTGTTTGTCGCCAGCTCTTTTCTGTCTTCATACCCTCCTTCTTATCTTAGGGCTAGAGCCGCCGTTCTTCGAAGGGTCTTCTAACTTTCCTTTTTCTTTTTCTTTTTCAAGTCTTCTTTTTCATTGGAGAGGTAGGAAAAAAAGGAGCGAATGGATCATGTATTTTCAGTCACCACATCTGTATGCATACAAGTAGATTATCATTATCAAGTCAGAGGGAGGAGAGCAGAGGGCAGACATAGGAAACCACAGCGTTACACTTCTTTTTTTTTCCCCTCAAATTCTTTCACCTACGATCCTATCCCTCTTGACGCATGGGTTTCCACCACCTTCAGCCTTCAACTCTGAGGGTTCGTTTTTTTCGCCCCTTCTATTAATCTACTATTTGAGATATAAATAAACACGGAGACGATCACGGGCGAGAACTAGTTTAGTTCGTCTACCCGGCAACCTTGCCCCTTCTTTTATCACGCAAGCTTTCTCTCCCTCGTTTTCCATCTCTGTGTCTCATCCCTTCCTCTCCCCCTCTCCCTCGTATTTAAGCATCGCGTCACTCGATACATGAGCATGGGGTGTCTCAAAAGCACAGCCTATTTCCCGAGGACGAGAAGAAAAAAGAATATTGGCCACTCTATTACTTCAGCACTAAGCTAACCCCTGCCGAGAACTAGTTTCTCAGCGCCCCTAGGCCATCGTCCGCCCCTTTTTTGCTTTGCTGTTCTTTTCCCACCTTCTTTTAGTTCTTTTCCTGCTTCGGGTTGGGCTTTACAGTTCAGAGTTCAGGCTCTTTCTAAAAAGAAAAAAGGCCCAGACTTCTCCCTGTGCGTTCCGTCTTTTTGAGGTTTGAGGGGGTGTGGGGTATGGGGAGGGGAGGGAAGGGAGGGAAGGGAGAGGGTTCATGATCAGCACTTGAGCCTCTTGGAGTGCCACTAGAACCAACATTGAAGATAAAAATGTATGTAGGATGGGAGATAATGGATAGTGATAAGAATTCGAAACTCACTACTCGGACGAGAGTAGAAGAGGATGGACTAACGATAAAAAAAAAGCATGCGCAGGTAAACGAGACAGGGAACGGGCGAGATGAGCGGGAAACACGAATGGCGCAGTAAATTGGATGCTTGTTGCAGGTTTTGGACAGCGGCGGGGGTCGAGTTGAAGGGGGAAGAACGCCCCAAGGACGACAGAGAAACAAAAGTAGGAAGAGCGGCAAGGAGCGAGATAGCTTGGAGTAAAAACAAATGAAGGATCGGCTTTGTTGGAGAAAGCGCAATCCCTCCCACCCATTTATGATAGCTGAAAGGAGAGAGAAAGGAAAAGGGACGAAAAGAGAGAAGGTGGAGAAGGAAGAGGGCGGAAATTTGGTGCCAAGATTGAAGGGATAAAAGGTGATAAAGAGGGAGGAGAAAGAGGTTCAAATGTGCCGAGGAAGGGAAGAAGGACACATCACGTCGAGATAGACCTGACGGGGAAGAAGAGAAGAAGACAAGCGGCGGTCATCCCCTGTATGATAGATAGCTAAGAGAGTAGGCTCATAGAGCCTCAGTCTCGCTTAAAATTGAATGAGATCTTGATGCGGGTTGTTTTGGCGCGGCTGGTTCCCGGAGAAAGGGTTGCTGGTGCCCATGCCGCCCAGTCCAGCCGGACCCGTGGCAGCTGGTACTTGGTTATAGGCAATATTGGGCATGCCCGTAAACTGGGTGCGGAGGAAGGGGTTGTTTCCCGTGGCCTCCGCTCCGATCCTCTGCGCGCCTGAACCGGCACTGTTGACAAAGGTCCCGGGGCGGTATGCTGGGCGGGGATCCTGAGGTTTCCGGTGTTGCCAAACGTATCCATGCCGTCTCCGGTGGCTAGGAGAGAGTTGAGTTTGGACTCGTGTTCCGTCAGCTCTCGCTGGGGTTGCTGGAAATTTTGCTGCTGCTGCTGTTGAACGGGCTGAGGCGAAGGCTGGCCAAAGGGCTGCGAGTTGAATGACGAAAGAGACTTTTGTTCTGGAAGGCTGCCAAGAGTAGAGACGGGGGTTCTCGTCGACTGCTGGCGGTTGAACGAGTTGGCGAATGGGTTATTGGATCCCGTGGGGGTGGGCGCGAGGCTTTGCTGCTGGTTGCCGTTGCTAGCCCATGGGTTGTTGCTACCCGGCTGCAGCGAGGAATCTTGCTGTGCCGGCGATTGGACTTGTTGCTGGGCGTACGGGTTGTAGCCCGTGGGCTGGGGTTGGAAGCTTTGCATCTGCTGCATCTGCTGCTGTTGCTGCTGCTGCTGCTGCTGCTGGCCATAGGGATCTGCGCCAAGCATGTTGTTTTGCATGCCGTAGCCGTTGGAGTAGTTCCCAGCGAAGCCGGTTGGTTGGGTTTGGAACCCCGTATACGCATTCTGCATGTAGCCTGTAGGCTGCACATGCATCTGGTTGGGGTCGATCGGGTTCGCAAAAAGTCTACCGTAGTGCCTTGCTGATAACCTTGGTTGAGTCCGGTGTACTGAACTTGCGGCTGAGAAGGCGTGACCTGGATGAGGTCATCGTCGAAGAGCGAAGTCGCATTGCTTTGCTCAAGCTCCTTTCGTCGGCGGTCCTCTTCTTCTTTGCTCAGTTTTATAGCCTTGGCGAGGTCGTCATCGTCGCTATCGACATTTTGCTTGCTTTGACGCTTCCTCTTATCCTCCTCTTCCTGCGCCTTGCTCGCCTCGATTGCAAGCTTGTATTCTAGGTCATCGTCGTCGTCACCGCCGCGCTGCCGGGGTCGTTCTCGCGGGCCACCGTGGCTGCTGCCGCTCGCGCCCGGTGGGCCGTACTCTTCCAACCCTGTTACCCTCGACTTCCATGATCGACGATCCGTCCGCTCGGCCCTAAGCCTCTCCTCGTCCATGATGAGAGAGGTTAATTCCTTGGCAGCAACACGCACTAGCGAATTTCACGTCAGTCGCTCCTCGTAGATAGGCGTAGAGCAGGGGCCCGGGTTATGCAACGTACCATTCTGTCCCACATCTCGACCTTCTTCATCTACATACTGGAACTCTCTCAACGTCTTTATGATGTATATGTTTTGCCGGGCCCAGGTGACGACTCTTTCGGCACCTTCGTGTAGACAGTAATCAAGCACCTTCAATGCCTTGAGCACATGCCGCCAGTTCTTTCCTTTATCGTTGAGCCTCTTGTCGAGCATGTCCATAATATCGACAAAATCGGAACCGCTACGCATGCGCAATCATTAGTTAGCAAGCGCGAGACGAGAATGCATCCAACTATCCCACTCGGTGCGCAATGGGGACGTACAGATTGAAGGTCAGCTGGGCGATCTCGCTCATCTGGGTGCCGGTCGGGCCCCAGCTGTCATTGCTCGTGGCTAAAAAGATGAATCGCCAAGCGTTAATAGGGGTGGTCCTAGACGATTGATGACAAGGGAATGGAACCCACCTTCTCGGACCTTGACCTGGACGCTGGAGTATCCTTTGGTGACATTTTTCACGCTTCGCATAATACCCGCCATGGTGGGCAAAAGTGTGCGACGGCGCCCTCGTAGCTATACAGAGAAACAGGTGATAATATCTCAAGCTGTCAACCGGCCAGGCGGGGTTTCGGCTCTAGTAGACCGACGTGCAGACAGTTCGGACAATTCGTAGTGATGGGGAATGCCCAACTTGGACCGCCGCGCGCGGGGAATTGTAAGGCTAAATCAGCGAATCCCGAATGAAGACCGCCAAGGGGAGTGAGGGGATGTAGCGGTTGAGATGGATGGTGGAGGCAGCTTCGGAATCTAGGTGGCGGGCCAGGGCGAAGAGAAAGGCCGTGAGTCGGTTTTCACGGAGACTATTAGGGCGATTCTATCGATGGCAAAAGAAGTGGTTGCTCGAGCAAAAAGCGACAGTGGCAAGTTTCCCAGGGCTGGGCGACGCGCGTTCGATCGTCGAAAAGAAGGGCAGAGAGCACGAGATGCGTCAGTCCAATCTCGAAGAAGAAGGAGGCCTGAGGTTGAAAACGGAAAGTAGGTGGTGCTCGCCCAGGAGGTTCGATACGCTTTCGGCTCGTGGGGAGTAAAAAGGCTGATGGGCGTATCTGGGTGGTGGGTGGTGGGTGTGGGCGATGGCTCAGTCACAGGACTTTCGAGGAGGAGGTTGTTGCGGGTAAGAATTGTTGCCCAGAGCTTTGGCCGCCGCTGACGCCAAATGTGTGGATTTGGGAGGGGGCTCTGAAAGGTCTGCGAGGTACCCGTAAGAAACCTGAACTGTTGGCTTGCGACGCAAGGTTCCGACGGGGCGAAACGGATGACGGTCGGGCGATGCACTAAAAGGGCTGGAAGGCAGACCCAGGGACGGAATGGGTCGGGGGTTGTCTTGCGCGATGTTAAAAAATGAGGGGAGGGGGCGTAGGAGTCAGGCTGCCATGGGCGCTTTGCACAAAGCTTCGGGATTTACACGTCGGTCGGGGAGGGCTTTTGGGGGGTTGTTCCCTTTTTCTTCCTTTTCCTTCCTTACGAGAATTATTGCTGTGGGAGGGGAGAAGTGGCAAGGGTCAATTGCGATCTTGGTGCCAGTGACAAACTTGGAGGCTGGTCGGTCAGGTGTCTTGACAATTGATCAATGATGGGGAGGTGGAGGCGGAGGCGGGAGGTGGAGGGTAGCTTTCTTTGTATTACCTCCTCAATCCCTCAAATTGCTCTTTGCCATGGTGGATCAATCGATTGTGCCTTGCTGACTTGGCTTGGCTCGCAAGTGGACTTCGAAATCGCTCGACAGACAGTAATCGCCCCCAGTTCCCCTTTGGTATTCTGTCCAGGCTCGGCCCTGGAAACATCAAATCGCCCGACTCCTGGTCGCAGACATGTCCACTAATCCATCGCCTTGCGCCTTTCAGCGTGTTGTTTTCCGCTCCTCGCCCCGTTGATCAATGGAACTGATCTCCAGATGCTGGGAGCAGCTATTGCCTACATCACTACATATACTGAGGGGTCGACCCTCATCAAACGGGATGGATCCGATGGATTTTGATCTAGTCCGGGTTCGTGCTGTATTATTGCATGGGAAATTCTCATTTAAACATTGAACCGGCCAGGGTCCAAGAGCAATGGGTTTAATCGTCAATAGAGCTCTCCGCGCAACAGAGCCCCACGAAGGGGGGCAGTGTTAGGGGTCTTGGCCAATGTTGAATGAGCACGACGATCGTACCCATCAGCCAGCCAAGGATCTAACCGTAGATGAGTTTCGAAAGATCAAGATGTTGATTTGGAATCAGTGGTCTTTCTCGAAGATTGAACCTTCCAAAAGCACAACCCAGTGTACTCCTGGCGCTAGGCTATTTTGTGGACATTGTGCTGAAAGGTGAAGATGGGATTCTCCATTCCATATGTAGTAGGTATGGATGGATCTTTGGATCAATTGGGAGATAGACCTACTCGTAGTACTTACTTCAGACGGTCAATTTGGAAAATAGCTCAGGTGTGAGGCCCAGTTCGCCGATGACATCAGTGTACACGTACTAAGCTTGTTCATCCCGCTGACGCACGGCACCGAGCACCACGCACCACGCACAACGCACAAACCCGACCTTGATCAAGCTCCCTCGAGAAGCTACATGCAACCCCCTCCCCCATGCAAAGGACGGGGCGTCGCAATGTTATCCCTCAGAAGTGATTTGAATTAACGTCAAATCCGTCCATCGGCCCCGCAAAGAGCCGCATCCATCAACACCTCCCAACGAACGCCACAAAGGCCCTTGCATTTGATCAGTGGAATCTAAGATCTAAACAGCAATACCTCAGTAGATTATCTTTTTATTTCGCCTACTTGGCCTATCTTAGCTCCACCGACGCCTCGTTCTTAAACTGATATTCTGTACAAAGAATAGATAGCAACGCCATGGGCCAGGACCGGCCACCAATATATTCTTACATATGTTCTCAATGAGGTATCTAGGCATGTGACGAGTAAGAGAGAGAGAGAGAGAGAGAACCTGCCGTAAAATAGAAGAAAAGAAGAAAAGAAGAAAAAAAGGATAAAGAAAGGGAAGATGAGAAGAAGGGAAAAAAAAAGGTGGGGGAAGAGAAGGAAGAAGAGTGATCCGGCCAAGGAAAAAGAAAAACGTGAAACCATCGCTAAAACCTTGAAATTCATTCGTCCTCACCCTCCGCATCCATATCCTCATCGCCAACACCGTCTACCACGATGCCGTCGGCCGCAGCATTAGCCAAGGCGCTCCTCGCCCCGCCACTGACCACAGCCCGGGGCCCCTTGACCACAACTTCGTCTTGACTGGTCTCCTGCCTCGGTGCAGCGACCTGAACCCGAACAACATCCTTCATTTCTTTGCCGTCGTCGTTCGACGATCCCGTTGCCTTCTTGCCAGACGTGAGGGCTTCCTGCCGTTGCCGCTCGATCCACGCTGGGGGCAGGCCGGGGCCACTATCGGCATTACCGTAGTCGCTCTTCTTCGTACCTTTCGGCCAGCGTCCAGGCCCGCGACCAGTTCCGCCCGTCTTACGGCGAGATGTGCTGTTTTTGCTTTTAGGCCGTGCGGTACTGGTCCGTCGCTTAGTGCTACCGCCACCACCACCTCCACCACCGCCTCCGCCGCCGCCGCCGCCGCCGCTAGCTGGCGCACGAGGTCGCGGCGTGCTAACCGCCACCGGGATACTGGGCGGCCGGATGACGGTCGGTCGAGGCTTCTCCACGCGACGTGAGCCCACCGTTGGGGAAACACCTCGAAGCGCATGGGCGGAATAGTCTCATACTGCGTAGACCAGGCGTCCTCCTTCTGCTCCGAGTCCGCGCCGGGCCTCTTGGTTCTCTCGTCCGCTTCGTTTTGCTTCCCTTGGTTATTTTCTTTGTCCTCCGTTCCGGGCCCGTTGACGAGGTCGTGCTCCGGCTTTAGTTGGTCATGGCCATTAGCCAGCTCGACGTTGGTAGCGGTATCCGGCAGCACCTCGAGACCCGTGGGCTCACCGCCGTCGTCGTCTTCGCGAGGCGCGATAGCCGTGATCGCCGGTCCGAGCTCAAAGTTCATCGCGCTGCTTCGCCCCATCACGTAGGGGGTCCATGTGAGCGCTTTCGGGTTCAGGCGGACGTATTTTTCGCCTCCCACTTGGCGACATACTCCCTGCAGAACTTCAGGTCAACCCGGAAAGCGTAGATTTTCGTTAGGGTCTCGGACCAGGCAACGGAGGCCCTCGAGCGCGGAGATGACGTCGTCGGCCGTCATGCCCGTGTCCTCTGAGATTTTTCGTATGCTTAGCCCCAGCATCTTGCCACTCCTTCCCTGGTCTCCCGCCTGTTCAAGAAGATATTTGCACATGATCAGGCGCCAATAATTGCGGTAAGAAACGAGGCCCATGTCGGACAGCGGCTTCTCGGGGACCCCGTCCGCTGTTCCGCCCGCGTGAGCAGGTAGGAAAAGTCGATAAGCAGGTTCCCGTATCCTTTTCGCTGATGGATCGGGAGGGTGAGGATACAGCTCACATTGTTCTGGCTGCTTGTCCGCTTCTCCTTTGAAAAGTAGCCCACAAAGTGATATCCAAACTCGTCGTACTCGCACAGGACGTAAAACAAGAATGGCTCCACGTCGTAGTACAGAGTTTTAGATCCGAGAAACAGCTTCGCCAGTAAGCAGAGGTTTTGACAATATACTGGGTTTTTCCTTCCGTCCACCTCAAACACCGAAACCGAGTCGTGCCGGTAAATCTCGTCGCCTGGTGGGTGCTTGACGGGCATTTCAGCTTATGCCTCCAGGCAACGTAGTCCGAGTTCATGTACTTTAGACAAAACTCGCAGATGTAAAGAACCCGATTCCGGCTGTACTCCTCCGGATACGGTGCCGCATACCACGTATCAATCTCCCAGCCGCCAAACTCAATGCACTCGATCTGGCTCGCCGGTCCCGCACCTTTCTTCGGCTTTTTGAGGGGCATTTGGATCTCTTCTTGCATAGCAATGATCCGCGCCTTCCATTCGGCCTCCGCCCGCTGCTTTGCCTCATCAAAGTGACGCCTGTCATCGTTGGAAGGTAGCGTTTTTGACGTATCTGCCTCTGCCTCGGTCAGGATCCCTCCGTAGGGCTTTCCTTTGACTTCGTCAGATTCCTTATCAAAAAAGGAATAGAATGGCTGCGAGTACGTTGTGGACACAAACGGCGCGATCATGGGTTCCGGACTCCACTCCTGCGCTCTCGAGCCATTGGTCCTCGACGGACGTGGGGTTATGACTCGATTAGACCGTTTGCGCTCCGGGAGGTAACGTTGTGAAAGCGCCGTGCGGAGCGCATCGCTGTTTACTCGTATTGTCACCAAGGTCGAGGATGAAGACGGCCTTGAGACACTAACCGCCTTTGCCGCGCGAGCCGAAGTCGAAGTGTCCGCGCTGCTTGCGGGCCCGGCGAATCAGATCCGGGTGTTCCTTCCGAGGACGTCTGTCGACCATCTGAGGGATTCCGCCTGCGTTTTCGGAGGCTTGCGGCCCCATCATCTACCACCTCCATCGGCGATGTTTTGCGCTTCCGGAGGTGCCGTGGTGTCTCTGAAACGTCTCCTTCCGATGTCGAACGGCTTTCCTGGGACGGAGAATGGCCGTCTCTCGTGTGGAATGCTAGTGCGGACACAACATCTCCAGTGGTAGATACGCCAGATTTGCCGTCAGCTTCAGCTTGCAAGGAATCGTCGCTGGCATTGGACATGGCGCGGTCTTCATCGTCCTCGTCGGCACACTCTGGGCACCTCCAGCTACTCGCGGCTAAGGATTCGGGTTAGTGAACGCAAGTTGTGAGGGGGTGGAGCCACTTACGGATTTTGGGGGATGCAGACCGTGCAGTTCGGGCGCAGTGTTGGTGTGCTACATGAATAGTTAGCGATCAAGCTACTCGGCCTAGCCAGGGCTTCGGGGAGCAATCTTTACCTTTTTCTCCACACGAGGTGCAGGTGAGATAAACTCCCGGGTCTCCATCGGTATCCGCATCGCTCTCTTCTTTGCAAAGGATACAGGAATTCGCCGGCTCGCTTACAGACCGCTCATCATCATCCTCTTCTTCGTCGACCTCGACAGCATCTTCCTCCTCGTCTTCCTCCCACGGTGCATCGTCCTCGGAATCGCTTCCGACACTCTGCGGCTCTGAGGCATCACTGGCAGAATCGCCCTCGTCATCCGTCTCCCTGGCCTGACCTTCACTGCGCCGACACCTTCGTCATCGTCTCCATCATCTTCTTCACCTTCGGCGCCGTCCTCAATATCATCTTCAACAAGTTCGCTAGTATCCGCAGGGCCTCCCGGCGCCATCTCATAGCCATCATCGAATTCACCATCTGCATCTTCTTCTTCTTCTTCCTCTTCTTCCTCGTCTTCCCCTCCTCATCCTCTACACCGTCGCTAGCGCCGTCTTCCCAGGCTCGGGAGCCGTTCCTAGTCTGGTGGCTTTCGGCCATCTCCAGGTCGTCTGTGTCTCGATCACCGTCAAAATCCATCCGAGACGACTGGTATGAACGACTCTTCTTCGTATAAGCCCCGCGCTGCGAGTCGTCATCCTCCGAAAGTGCGGCGCTCTGCTGGAGCGCTTCTTCAGTGAGCTGGGCGTGCTCCATTATTCGTGCACTGCGGCGCAGGCGCTCGAGAGGAAGCTATATCGTGAAGGTGTACTATTTGTGTTTAGAGAAGCACGTCCATCTCAAGCAGGCGGGTTGAGGCGGTTTATTGGCGAATCTAAGCGATGCGCGTCGAAAGTCGCTCCCAAGGACGTGAGGAGGCAGGGTGGTAAACGACAGCCTTGCGACGCGCGAGGGCCGTGTCTCAGGTTAATGCAAGCAGTGTCAACCACCTGGAGGGCGGTATTTCCGTGTAATCGACAACTTAAAAGGAGCGGCGCGTAGCCACCAGAAATTTAGAGTCGAGAAATTGCGTTGTGCAGAGATACGAAGCTCAACCATCGGAAATGCCATGCTGCGGCGGGTTGAGAATATGTCACATTCCGTCGAGGTCGCGATCTGGCGGTTGATTACGTAAGGCACTCGTGACTCGCCAATCGCAGAATCGACAATTTGATTGCAACAAATGCAAGCCAGCTTCAGCATCACCAAATTCAGACCCGGCGGGACCTCACCCTTACCTTTGCGGAAACCCTTGCACTACCCAGACGAGACCAAAGGCCTTCGGGAAACTATTTTCGGGAAGCCATTCTCCAGCCCCTCTGTTCGATAGAAGGGTACGTCTCCCATCACTCACGAGACCCCCAATTGACGACTGAGAAATATATCAACTGACCCGTCTATCCTCAGCAGACAACCTTCATTGGAGCTCCTTTCGCCTCGTTACCGATTGTTTATCCCCGATCGATATAACAAAATCCGCCGCAATGCCTCTCCCCTTCGAAACGCTGATTCCTTATGGAATCATGGTCGTCGTATGTTGAACCGAGGTGGTTATTGGAATGATTGGAAGCTAATTTGAGAACTGCCTTCAAGATGTTTGGCGCTACCGGTATTGGCTTGGCCACCGTCAAGCACTTTGAAAGCGGAAAGAAGCGACCGAGGTACTCCGTAGACCACTGGGATAGGGTAGGGAGATACCGCCATGTTTTCGCCTCGGATTATTTGCTAACGTTCTTGTAGCAAAGTACATACCTTCGAATCACCCCGCGAGCCCGCCATTGATACTAACCCAAGAGTAGTGATGGAGCGAGACATGCGGTTGACCGGCTCTCTCAGAGGCCAGACCGACAATCCAGTTGCCCCGCCGGGCTTCGAATACAATAACCCCTGGAAGGTATGGCATCTCCCCGGCAGATATGAGCCGACCAGCCCGAGTTGCTAACAAAACATGACTGCAGTTGGAGAAGAGGATACTCTAGACGGTGGATATCATATATTCGGTGTGGTATAGACTAGTATTGACACTTTTCCTTTGTTCACTGAGAGGGCTGATAAAATCAGCCGGTCTTACTCTCAGAGACGAACTGTAAATATATGCCTTGAGGACATTAGAGGCGCCCCCAAAAACATTCAATAACGCAACCTTTCAAATTGTTCCCATCCTTTCGCCTTGCGCCGCCACGTTTGAGTGAAGTGGGATAGCAGTCTTGGATAATCAGCTTTATTTTCATCTATATCTGTATTTCCGCTCTATTTTTATTCAGGCCTTCAAGAAGCATACAAGCTTGACAAACATCCTGGCTCGACATGTATCCGCAGCGTTTGCATGTTCCCTTTGTCTGCAGAGGCTCCCCGTTCTTCACGGCCGGCTTAGGTCTGGCAGCAGCTTTCCCGTTGGCTTGTGGATTCTTTGGTCTGGAGGTGAGATCTATCTCTAAGGAGTGGTATTTGGTTTCGGACTGGGGGCAGGAGGCTCCGGGAGGTCATCAATTTTGTTCGCAGAGCCGCAACCTTTTCCAGTACTCCCGCTTATGGCTGCAGGAAGAGCTATACAAGCGCATGAAGACTCTGAGGAACCGGGCACTAGTCGCGCCATATCCTCACCGCTCCTAACGATATCAAGAATGGCCGTAGGGCGGACGCGTTCAAGGTTCTTGATCAAACTCCGTGCTGTTCCGCGGAAAGCCTCCGGACTATAGATGCACTCGGTACTAAAATAGAGGAGTTTCTTATGGTGGGCGTAAAGGACGATTTCCTTTTCGTACGAGTATTTCAGTGGCTTACTGCGCCTGACATCTCCCGAGCCGTCTCCGGTCACTATACTCGTACTTCTCGCCAAACGAGGTAGATCTCCTCTGAGTAGGTTCATCAAAACAGTCTCGGCGATGTCGTCAGCATTGTGCCCAGTGACCAGATGCGAAATGCCCAATAACTTAGCCCCGCGGTCAAGTGCCTGGCGCCTGAAGACCCCGCAGTAGGTACAGTTGCCTTTCTTGCCAATAGTCTCGACGACTTGATCCATCGTCCAGCCATACAGCTCGGAATAGCTCACTATTTTCAGCTCCATATCGTAGTCGATAGAGTTTTGCTTCACGGTTTCTAGGAGTCATCACGATACCCCGTGATACCCTCATCAATGCTAAGAAGGACTAGCTTCACTCCGTAGTTATAGCGGTCATTGAGCGTCTTGAGAACGGACGCTAGAACGGTCGAGTCCTTGCCACCTGATGCGCCAATAGCAACCCTATCTCCAGGGCGGAAAAGACCAGAGGAAGTGATAGTGTGGTGTACTTCTTCTTCAAATACTGTTATAAAGCAGTCTTTGCATAGTTTCTGGTGGTTCTTCGGCCGCTTCACATGCGCCCTTGAAACGCGGCATCGAGCGCATACGGTAGGCGCCATGTGTCGGAGCGGGGAAATGGAAAAATCAAGATAAAATAAGAGAGGAAGCGCTGCGCTGATGGGAAAAGTCGAGGCCTGAAAAGGGAGGTTGCGCAAGCAGAGACCGAGCCCGTAAATCTAAAAGTCGGATGGTGGGTATATAAAATTAAAATAAAAATAAGAACTAAGGCGAAGAATCAAGAGTTGTCCGAAGTATTGGATAACCCCACCATCACCACGATTTTGCGATGCGCGCGACCCTCAGTTGCATCTAATGGCTTGGAGCCAGACGGACGCATCAACTTGAACAGGGATCACGGGATTACAGTGCGTTTTAATCCCGCACTGTTTGATGCTCTTTCTGTGCACGGGCCAGGTTGGAAGAAAAACTGGGCGTGGCCCAAAATTTCTGTAGCCCTAATAATTCATTGAACGAAACCCCACATTGAAATTGAACATTTGGGGCATTTCGACATTGGAAATTTATTCTGTTTGAATCTTTTCCTCATCACACCCAACGCCCATCTCACGACAACCACCCCAGAGGCCGCAACACCCCTCAATCACAATGGTAAGCTATCACTATAACTTCAAATGATAATTCTTCACGCCAACGGGCTTCACGGTCGTTAAGGTCGACTTCCGTCAAACGATTCGACTCTCGACCTGCCTGGTGAAATTCCGCCCACTTTCAACATCCTGAAATATGGATGGGGTGATGACTGGCTGGAGACTTGGGCGGCTTTGCTGAGAGGCGGCCGCTCAAGTCTCGTTAGAGATTAAAAATTGAAGACTGAATCTGGAAGACCATTTTCGCTGATGTCTTTTCTTTTCTCAATGACAGCCTCCCAAGACTGGAAAGAAGGTCGCCGCCGCGCCTTTCGGCTCGCGCAGCGCTGGCAAGAAGGCCCCCAAGGTACGTTTGCCCCCATGTGCCATACACCCCCAACGCCGGCTTCGGAACTAATGACTTTGGTTAGAACCCCCTTCTCGAGAAGCGTCCCCGCAACTTCGGTATCGGCCAGGATATCCAGCCCCGCCGCAATGTCTCCCGCATGGTGAAGTGGCCCGAGTATGTCCGTCTTCAGCGCCAGAAGAAGATCATCTCCATGCGCCTCAAGGTCCCCCGGCGATCTCCCAGTTCCAGCACGTCCTGGACCGCAACACTGCCGCCCAGGCTTTCAAGCTCCTCAACAAGTACCGCCCTGAAACCAAGGCCGAGAAGAAGGAGCGTCTCCTCAAGGAGGCCACCGCCGTCAAGGAGGGCAAGAAGAAGGAGGACGTCAGCAAGAAGCCTTACACCGTCAAGTACGGTCTCAACCACGTTGTTGGTCTGATTGAGAACAAGAAGGCTTCTCTCGTCCTCATCCCCAACGATGTCGACCCCATCGAGCTCGTTGTCTTCCTCCCCTCCCTCTGCCGCAAGATGGGCATCCCCTATGCCATCATCAAGGGCAAGGCCCGTCTCGGTACTGTCGTCCACAAGAAGGTCAGTATTGCCCACATAGGCAACCCTCGTTCTTATTTTCGGCCCTTTCCCCTTCCCGTGGCCCTCGCGACAAGCTCAAAGACTAACAATTATCATTACTTAGACCGCTGCCGTCCTCGCCGTCACCGAGGTCCGCTCTGAGGACAAGAACGAGCTCTCAAGCTCGTCTCCGCCATCAAGGAGGGCTACGTTGAGAAGCACGAGGAGGCCCGCCGCAAGTGGGGTGGTGGTATCATGGGCGCCAAGTCCCAGAACAAGACCCTCAAGAAGATCAAGGCCCGCGAGTCTGCCCTCAAGATCTAAGTTATTGAAGGCTTGACTGCCCAACACCAAAAAGAAAAATGAAGAATACCAACTGGTTTGTCAATGATGATGACTTCGATTCTACATCTCGTCATAGCCGATTGGGAAGCACCCTAGGATCAGAATTTACTTTGACATTCCAACCACATAACACACACCCGCCCTCTAGACTCGCGGGACTCTGGCAACCGCCGAAACTCGGCTGCAGGGTTCTGCTTCTTCTTTCCTCATCCCATGAATGTTTCACAAAATTGAAGGGGGTATTGCTACGCTTGGTCATGGAAAATGGGCCGTTAACGGAGTTGCCATGTTTTTGTTTTCGATTCTCCGTTTGAGGTAACGAATTTCAAGAGCTGCATAAGCTGTAGAGGCATGGATGGGCGAAATAGGACTTGTTTTTTTCTTCCTTCCGGCTTCCATTGTCTCCAACTCTTTCCACCAGTAAGCCCAAAAGTATGAACTCGCGTCTTTAGCACCCGTGAATGGACAAGATTATATCTTCCCCTGTAGTTATCATTCCTCGTGATCTAAGGTGTCCTTCATGGTCCCGTAGTTGGGGCCAGAAGCGAGTCTTTTGCAATCTTAAGTCTGCAGCAACTGTAGTCTTGCCCATTACCAAGACTGACATTGTGTTGTGCCGTACATATAGAGCACAAATACTGTGTGGTTTCCATAACGTATGAAACTCGTCTCAGTCTTGGGTTCAATTTTGCAGCAGAATCTATGATAGGAAGAGGTGAAAAAAGAAAGAGAAAGCAAGATTGTGGAGAGCTGATGAAGAAGAGAATGTGTTCTATTGACCGTCTGGTGGCACCATGTCCTCCTTGGCTCCAGCTAGGGTCACCGGGGCCTAGGCTCCTCACCCCGTGTTTGCGCAACTAAAACGCTCACCATTTCGACATATGCCGCCCCCTCGACTATTTGAAATAGGAAGCTACCTGCTCCCGCGGCCACAACTTAAACATGGCCGGTATGAAGCAGCGTATACGGAGTTGGAACGACGTTGGATACCTTTTTCTACTCTACAAAATTGTCGTCGGGGTTCTTAACCGTAGACAAGCTTGAAGACGTCGTTGTAGACGAAGTATGATCCGGCGTCATCCTGGAGGAGCTGGAAGGCTTGGCAGTAGTTCATGGGGCGCTGCTCTTCGTCGACCTGTTCGCAGCGCGGGGCGGAAAAGAATTCCAGGCACAGGTTAGCCAAGTCATGCAGACGCGTTTCGGGATTGTGTAATTGCATGAGTGCGCATGGCCAGCAAAGGGGACCTTTGCCGCTAGAGAGGAAAAAGAGGAGAGGATGCAGTAACAACGGGGAATGTCTGCATGTCTGCACACAATGGACTGAACGTACCAAGAGCTGGCCAGTGACAAGGATGAAGATTCCGCCGTTCAACGTGGGCTGGGCGTCGAGGGTAGAGACCTGGTGCTTCACCTTCTCGAAAGGGAGACCCTACGAAGGGGAAAAAGAAGCTCGTTAGTAGCCGACCCTACGGTAAAGCCATCACTCGCAAAAGTGGTGGGAGAGGGGATACGTACGGCAAGCTTGTCAACGATGGCGTTGATGCCGAGGACCGATGCAGACTCGAAAGTCAACATAGATTGTTCCCTCTACATGACGACGCAGAAAGTTAGCCTTCACGCTTCGTAGTGTGCGGACACACAGAAATCGACTCTGCCGTTCTACTAAGACGGGCCAAACGTACGTAGAGGGCGCTGAGAGACTTGCGATCAGCATCGAAGGAGTTGTAGTAGAATTCGATGAATTGTTCTATAAAATTATAAAGGTCAGCCTTCTCTAAACTTTGAAGTCCCCTTGTCACCTTCTAGAGAAGGGGAAGAGGATAGTGACGCATGCGAAACCTGGTGCTTGGGAGTACTCACTAGCGACATCTTCGAAGTCTATCAGAGGAGTAAAAGCGCGTCTTGGTTAGCGAAGCCATTGAAAATAAAGCAGTCTCTTTTGATCTCGTTGGGTGTGTATGTTTAGGAATATCCCCGCGAATGTCTTTGCGCATTTCTCTCTCGCTCGAAGCTGCAATACGAAGCTCGTTGCGGAGCAGCGACAGCACATCGGTCGGGGGTGAAGACATGAAGCAAGGCGGGGTTGCAAAGGAGGGAGGGGCACGTTGGAGGGGTAACCTTGGGAGGGGAAAAAATATTCAACATACTGCCGGCCATGTTTGCGATTGTGTCTTGGACAGAGGGGTATCAAGGTTCGATAAAGGAGAAAGGAGAAAATCTATTAGAGGAAAGGAAAGAAAAAACACGGACGAGGAGATGGGGTTTTGATGCGAGTAGCTTTACAAGCTTGTTTAGGAAAGAGAATCACAAAGGGGGAAAAGGGAGGAAGTGGATGGATGTATAATAACAGCCCAGATGGAGCACCACCGGCGCAGAGGGAAAAATACAACGAGCACGGGGATAATAAAACGGATAGGCAACACACTCCCACACCACACGGTTGGGCCCTGGCCTAGGCAATTCGGTGGGGCATGGAGGGAAAAGGCGAGAAATTTGGCCAAAACGGCGACCGGCACAACCCCTCGACGGGCCTGGTAACATAGGGAGAGGGTAACAAGATCCCAATCCGTGACAGGCTTGCCCCGTTGGATTCACTCGAGCTAGAGAGATTTTCTGTGTGCTTCTCACACCCCTCCCCTCGAGGCTGCTTTTGATCGTAAGGGGATCAATGGCGGGGTAAGGAAACCTAGAGAGCGAGAGAGAAGGCGGCACTCACGCGCGCGCGCACGCCGGGTGTTTGACCGTTTCCCCCAAAGCTCCGTCGAATCGATGGCCAAGAAACGTTGCCCTTACATTCCTCATCTGGTTGCAGAACAAGCCCTGACCTGAACATTAGCCCGAGCCGTCAGGCATCACATCTATTCGTCTTCCTTCCCTACATTGCACCGCTGTGCGACTCTTACGCATCTAGATACACCCATCAAGCCATTAGATATAGATGTAGTTTCCGGCACGATGAAGCCCAAGTTCAACGGTCTACGCATCGCCACCAAGCTGGCCCCACCGATTCTCCAAGCCGCTTGTATATGCTACGTAAACGGTATGGGTAGCCAAAAAGCCCGAGAAGGCAACGGTCCGGCACCAGACCGTCTTAAATCTTTGGGTCCATTCAGCGCTACTGGATCGATTATATTCTGTATATAGGAAAACAATGTAGAAAGAGCTCTGCACTTGAGAGCTTAAGGCCTTCAAGCCTAACCTAACACTACATGTAAACAGCAGGCAGTAAACCAACAACCCAGTGTAGGCTGCACCCCTCTTCATCCATCCATAGATCCATTCATGAATGAGGCCCAAGTAGACGGACTCGGTATTGAATAAAGGAACAACCCTTACTGGCCGCTGCGAGACCGGATACGTGCAACCTTGGCCGAGAATTTCAGGTCTTCGGCGCCCTATGTCGTAGCTAGCTTGAAACTTCCCTCCTTCGTAATTAGAGATATCCAGCCCCCTTATCACTTATCGCCCCATTTTCTAGTTCATCATCGTTTTATTCGTTGTCTTTCCAAGGCAGCCGTTCGTTCGTCTGTTTGCTCCCGAGCATGCATTCCGCGAACAGCCAGTACCGTGGCTGCTTCCCACAAGGACTTTGCACAACAGTTTAGTGGCTCGCACCCGGTTCTTCGGTGTGTACGATACACGCTGGATCTGTGCAGTCGGTTCCTGGCATTCCCGTAGGCGGCGTGGCATCAATCATCGTGGGGTGCTTGCCCGATGACGTTGGATTAGTTCTAAGGTTGTGTCATCAACGAGTACTTGTAAGGCAGCGTGTAGCTTGAAGGCATTGGGCAGAGCACTCGGGCTTGGTCCACTACACTCGAACTCGGTGCCTCGTAGGGTCCAGGGTTCTCACGCGCCTGCTCCTTTGCGCTTCAAGTGTACCAATGGGCCTTAAAAGCCTGGCTTGGTGCGCAACAGCCCCGTCTAGGTTGGTACCGGATATAAGCCACTCATACACCCACCATGGCCTCGAGCATCCATGTGACGCCCAAGCTATGCGTCGAGCGGCGCATGTCGTCGTGACTACACAGGACAATGGATCTATGGGTTCCATCTATATGAATGGTGGAGATGGATCATTGATAGATGTAGGCACTTACACTAAAGGCCTGAAAACGTCATTCTTCAATTTTGGGCTTTCTCTCCTAATAAGACTCCCTTTAGCAACCCACCCGCTTGGCCTGGTCATTATCTCACGGCCCATAGAAGGCCAAATAGGTCGGCCGCACTTGGAGCTTCCTGCTGTCCCTTCAATGTTGCGCACGCATCCACTTGCCCGCTAGCACTTGTAATGATCAATGAGTCCATGTATGAATACAAGCATCATTCTTTCGTTAACTCTTCTCATTCATGCATTGTTCCATATCCCCGCCAACCTTCAACCTTCCTTTTACATCTTCCTAATTCCTATTTTTCCTAATAGCACGCGCGCGTCTGGTCCAGCGGCGACTGCCTACATAAAGGTGCTCCCGTTTCACTTCCATCCTCTGACTTGGATGGTCGGGGGTTTTCTGGGCTTTATCTCTCTTTTTTGTTTGTTTGTGGGGGGCGGAGGTTCCGGGAAACGAAAGGAAAGAAAAAGGATAAAGGGTAAAAACAAACAACTCTCAACCGGTGACGTTCTCTACTCTTGCCTTGCCGTCTTTGCCATACCGTCGCGACGCCAGTCCTTTTATCAGTTCAGACGATGTAACCTGCCCTCCCCTAGCTATTGTCACCGCACATGCTAAATCATAAAAAAAAAAATGGAGAGGGAATAAACAACGGCCCCCACCCTTACAGTTCCTCCTCTTCCTCCATTTTGTTAGCAATGTCAGCTGCAAATGGCGGCTTGGTCTGAGTAGACCCGCTGCCAGCACCCGAGAGTATCCCGTCCAGACCCCTAGACCGACGCCACCAGACGCTGTAGGCCCATTATCTGCAGGGCCGCTGATACTGGGACGATGTCTTTTCATCGGGCTACCGAGAACAGAAGTGTCATCAGGTTTGGTGCTAGGCGGCACCGCAGAAGCTACGGGGCCAGGAGTTGAGGCATTCTTAGTCGACACGGCATCCCTACTGAGTGGCGACGGCTGAAGCAGGCCGGCCGCTGCTGTTGATGTCGTGCTTGTTGGATTAGAGGCCGCTGCGGCAGCTGCAGCCGCGGGACTGTCCGGGTCCGCCGAGTGAGCCCGTTTAAGCTGCAAAATAAAGCGCTCCGGTTAGCCTCCCTCATGCGCTCCCCTTAGAATATGATTAAAAGGGTGGACACTTTACCCTCATTCGGTCGACACCGTCAGCCAGCTCTTTAGGAATAGCAGTATCACCAGCGGGTGTGTTGGATTCTTTCTCATCTACATCCACCATGTTCCCGAGGATCTCGTCGTCGTCATCATCATCATCGTCACTATCATCGTCTAGCCCGCCCACGTTGCCGTTTGACTTTTTACGAGCCTTCTTGCGGCTGTTAGCGTCCCGTTCTGCGTCACGGAAAGCCGAAAACCCGACAGTGCCTCCTGTCTTGAGGGGACCAAGCGTCGAAAAGTCGAGCTGCGCAGAACGACGTTTCGATCCGCCCGGTGTGTTTGGTGCATTGTTTTTCGATAAGACGCCAATCTTTTGGAGTTGACCTGTTGTTGTTTTGTTTTCCCAGGGTTAGCTTACTGCATGACCCAAAGAGGCTCATTGAGCTAATTCTCGGGAAGGAGAAGGGGCAAAAGGATATTCGAGGCAAAGGGAGCGATAGTGACGTAAAATACTTACGCTCGCCACGGTAGAAGAAAGTAAACGTTGCGTAGGGCTTGTCGGGCCCATCAATACCCGTGACAGTCTGAGTGCTAATCGTGCTGGGATCCAAGGTTTTGGGCTTCGCAAAGCTAGTGGTGTGCTCAACATCGGCAGCAAGCGAATTGCTACTCTCGGCGGCCACGGTATCGAGGTCGTCCTCGTCATCATCATGGGCGTCAAACTGGGGTGAGTATTCGCCCTTCTTGATCTCTCCCGACGCGAGCACTCTGAACATGGACACCTTGATCTGTCCCGTGGCTTCGGGCGGCTCGTCATCGTCGGAGAGAGAGTCCGAATCGTCGTCCGACAGAGCTTGGACAGGGAGCCGTCGTCGGCCCCATAGCGAAGGACATCACGGTTTCCATTGGACTCGGCTAGCTCCTCATCACGCCTCTGGCGCCTTCGGCGCTTTTCAAACTTCTTTCGTCGGCGCTCAATCTTGGCCTGGGCGTCGTCGCCCTGGAGATCCAGCCCGTTAAGCCAGCGCTCCAAGCCAACTTCCCTAAAGAGAAATTCTCTCTCTGCAAGGCCGCCGCCTTCTGACTCGGGGACTTGTACCCAACGACTATTGACCCAAGTCTCTTCGCCAGGGCGCAGCAATGTCGCAACCTCCTCCTTGGCACGTCCATCAAAATATATATAGGCCGCAATGGTTTCATTCGGCGAATTCGTCATAGGGATGTATGGTGTTACGCCTGTAGTAACTTTCCCATACTCGCCCGATGTCGAGGAAGGCTAGCGACATATTGGGGCTTCGGCTTCGGATTCGACTCATTTGGCTTCGGTGTCGAGTATGGAATGGCGAGCCCGGGCGTTAGAAGTGTGATGGAGATGGCGAAACGGGCCGGCTCGGGAGTGGTGGAGTCGCCGTTCAGTCGAGGAGGTGGCACGGGAATGTAGGTACTGATCCTCGAGACTCGACTCTGCTTCTGGATACCATGCTCAGGGAGGGTGCCCCGGTGGAATGGATGCTCACGGCAATGCCCTTGAAGCACGGCATGTCTGCAAAGGCACTTGGGGTGCTGAGACACCCTCGGCTTCGAAATAGAACCGCCAAGCAAGCGCCAAAGTAGTGGTATCAACAGCGACAGGAAAAGGTTGACGAGAATGGCGGGGCTGGGCTAGTGAACGAGACAATGCGGTGTCAGCACATGCATGCACAGCTTCTAAAAATAAAGACAAAGGGGACAAATAATATTGGTCTTGGAAAGAGAGCCTCTCAACTAACCGTTGTCCTCTTATTAAGTCGCCACTTTTATGAGTGTTGACTTTGTGCAAGGTTTGCTGGTTGGGTTCCAGCAGGTGGCGGTGATGGGGATCGTGCTATTGTTGATGGCGATGGTGATTTTACTTTGGTTGGGGGAAACAGCCCAGGGCAACAGGTCGCGAGGGCAGCTGGCAGTCAGTGCCGAAAGCTCTCGAGAAGCAGGCGCCGTTGAGCTGGAGGCAGGAACGGCTTTGCCCAAAACAAGAAAGGAGCAAAAGTGGGAAGACTCGGTCTGTGAACTATGGCAATATTGACGTGTTTCCTCTTTTGACGCACGCACGTTTTGATCAATACAATTGATGGCTCAATAGTGTCTTCCCCCTTGTATTAGGTCAAGTGATTTGATCGATGACGGCTCGTGAGTTGGGGAGGATGGAAGCGTGTAGTGCAGTGGTTGGGATAGCGCAAACAACCCCCCAAAAGCTAAGCCTAAAGGTACTTCGCTAGCACGATCTATGATTTGGTTGAATGGCATTGATGCCTCCACAGTATTGCTACAGGCGGTCTCTAATGAAATGAGTACGAGTAAAGTGGCGGGCAGCCTGCTTCATTTCCCCGGGAAATTCTCGGCAATACGCGAGAAGCTATTTTGCGGGGTGTGAGACGAATCTTTGGGGGAGGGCGGGGCTGAACAGCGAGTGAACAATGTGCAAAGGCGTTTTGAACCTTGTCGAGACCTCTCTAGCCGCCCGCCCTTGTACCAGTCATAGCCTCGCCGAGGCTAGAGGGCCCCGGAAGCCTGGGCATCAACGTTGCAGCCTGTCACTTGAATAGAGTCTGGCGTGGCATTGATGATTTCCTGCTTTAAGGCCGCTAGCCCTGGGACAGCCTAATGCCCAACAATCTCCGGCCAGCCAAACCGGCATACACAAGTGACTGAATAGGACTGAATACGTGGGACGACAACTTGGAGTACACATCGGCTGGTGGGCCCCATCATGAGGATCAGGGGTTGTCTTGTGTATAGGGCCAAAATCCTAGAAAATGGGTCTAATAGATTAGATATCGGAGTCATCCTCGACCTTGATCCTGGTATCGTCTTCATCGTCCCCTGCCAGGGATTTGACTAGTTCCTCGTCTTCATCTTCTTCTTTCTTTACCTCCTGCTCCACCTCCTTTCCCTTTGCTTCGAATCGCCCTTTTTCATCTTTCTCCTCGTCGCCTTCTTCTTTTAATACATCTTCATCACTGTCGGCTCTGACGGTTCTTGCAGGGTCGTCATAAACACTCTCACCGCTCTGCCCCTCCTCTTTCTTGAACGGCGGCGCCGAACACTCGGTTGCTGCTTTGCCTCGCTCAATCGTACAGGTCGTAATGCGGTATCTGGTTTGGACACCACCTGTCCCACATCACCCTCGCTCTTATGGTGCTCTAATTGCTTCTCCTTCTCCTGAGAGCGCTCAAGACTGAGGGGATTCTCTTGTTCGTCAGCCTGCAGCGATCTTTCGGAAGATCCTGTGGCTAGGCCGATGAGAAACAGGGCTACCGCGGCGAACAACATTTCCATGCCCCAGAACCCCAGCGTCAAAGTAATGAAAGCCGGGAATCTATAGTGATGGAGGATCCATCGCACGCCCCGTAGCTTCGCTGTAAGGGTTATCGATGCCTTATACGTCTGTAATTGTTGCCCCGCCTGTACCTCAACGTACACAGACTTTGGAATTTTTGCCTCGCGCGGGAAGATAACTTGCTCGGCCAGTCCTACCGTCATAGTGTAGTACTGGCTCCGTGGAAAAGGACATGGTAGGGTAGCAAAACGAGCCGCTTGACGAGGCTAACTTCAGGACCAGGATGTACAACCAGCGCAGGCCTTCGGCTGGTGAAGATTACGTTGTCTTGGCTAATCAAGCTACTCCCCGACTCGGGAAGCTGGACTGTCGCCAGGCTGCTGGATACATCGTGGTCCAAGAGGTGTAGGACAACCATGAAATTTCCAATCTGAGATTCCGGGACAGACTTGGGAAGGGTGAGGCTAATGGAGACATCATACCCTTGCTGGGTCTTTGGAAGGGGTCTGGTGAGGCCTGTTATTCCAAAAGGGTGCGTGCCAAGTCTTTGTCGTAGGGGAAATTGTGAGGTATTGTCAGCCTTCGTTCTCGCGCTCTTCATAAAAAACCGATCCCCTCCCACGAAAACCAAGAAGAAAAAAGAGAGAAGGGGGAGGTTGGCGCTGGGTTTATAGAAACTCACCCGTACTGGAGATACACCGGCCAAGTTAGCGACTTGTCGGGGACATAGCTAGCGAAGAATATCGCCGTTGACAAAATAGATAGGAATAGCAGTGCTAGAGAGCTTCCGGCTAGAAGCGTAAAGTTTAGTAGAACGCGCCGCGTAGTCTTGGATGTGATTGCATCGCGGACAGCTTTGAGCACCTAGGCCGCGCAAAGTCAGCCGATGCCATCAGGGCAATTGGAGAATGCGAGAGGGACAGGGAGAGGCCGGGGCGCAGATTACCATTCTTCCAACTGCTATGTGCGCTTGCAGATATTCACCATGCTACAGGTACTTTATTAACGGGGAAGGGCTTGGTGCAAATTGTGGCTCAAGATACCACAGAGTACGTGCTCGTTTCGCAGAATGCTTGTCGAGTGTGATGGTGACGAAGTTCCTGTTGATGTTTGAGAAGCTGGTTTTGGCCGAGACTGATAATACGCTCGACGCTGCTTACATTTGAGCTTCAAACAAGTACCTCCGTACGTCACTGGTTGGTGTGCTTGCACTGAAGTACTAGTGCTATGTCGCTAGCAGGTAAATGTACCTCAATGGTGGTTCCCGCCAATTGATCACAATTTGGAACATCGTTCCCAACAGACAGAGGGCATTAATTCAACAGCTACAAATTCATTGAAACTACCGAGAGAGAGCGCCGACTTTTTAAGACGAGGCCAACATTTTACATGTTAAAGAGGAGGCTCGGGGCCCTTTACCGAACATTCACATTGGCATGGAGCTCGGGAGGTATTTGGCTGGATATTTTCATGCCCGCGGCATGCACCAGGCAGGAAGAAAAGCATGTGAAGGATACAAACACCGCTTAGAACGAGCATACCAATTTCAGATTTCTTCAACCTTGATTCATACCTCAATTGACAGTACATACTGATCTTACGCAATGATTGTATGGTGACATTATGCATTGAAAACAATCTTGACCAACATGAGATAACATTAAATGCAGTGAGTAGCGAAAAAAAAAAAAGACAAGCAAAAGAAACACCCTGTCAACATGACACATCAACAAACCCCTTCATCCGTAACCTTGGAGAACGAGAGAATTATATGCACTGCTTGGAGAAATACTCACGCATCTAGCCTCGTCCGAGGAAGATAACCAACTAGCACGGTTGGAGATAGTTGCTGGGAACCAGCCCAACACGGCCGTTGCCATTGTGAACCTCAGCCTCCCACCAGCCATCATCCTGGTGTCGGAGGACGGCGAGAACATCACCCTTCGCGAACCCAAGCTCTTCAGGAATTGCTGCCTGGTACATGTACAAAGCTCGTGCTGCAACGATTCAAGTTAGCTAGACGTTTCAAGAACAAGGAGATGGTATTCGAGGAGGGGAGGTAAGCCTTACCAAAGTGCAAAACGGGGCGTCCATCTCGAGTGTATTGCCTTGAAGGGTCCGCAACGCTCTTGCTGCGCTGGCGGCTCCCCGCCTGTGCGGCTCCAGGTCCTTCGTAGAGGCCGACAGCCCTTGAACTCGAGCTGGTTCCAGGGCGGGCACCGTACCTGCCTCGCTGGGATCCGTACCCGTCATCGTTAACGGGCGCTAACTGAACAGCCATGTCATTCATAGTGTGGCTGCTCGAAGGACGATCGTAGTTGGCGTACGGGGCAGGAGATGCTGTCCGCGCCGCGTCCATCGGTGAGTTGTGGCGATAATAGCCTTGGTCACCCCCGCGCTGGGACATGCTCATCTGCGATGGCGCCCGCTGGGCCCCACCATTGGGATTCGGGGAGACCGACCGGTAGCTTCTCTGATACGAGTCTTGCGTACTGCTACGGTTAGGGTTGGGCGAAACTGGCCTATAGTTCCTGCTGTACGAATCGTGGCTCCCCGCGCGGCTCGGATTCGGCGAGACAGGCCGGTAGTTCTTGTTATAGCCCTCCTGACTGTTCGGCAGAGGAGAGGCGCTGCGTGGAGGGGCCGGCGATGTTGCGCGGGTGTGATCGTTGCCCCGGCCAGCTGCTCGACTTGTGCTGGGCGCTCCGTAGCCATTCGAGCCTGTGGAACTACCAAACACGTTTCGTGTTTGGTTGACGAACTTTTCCGACGTCTCCTTCATGGCCCTTGCCGTGTGGGCTGCCGAGGGCACGCCTAGTCTCTGGACTTGCTGGTCGTATGATGGAGGAGGCGTTCCACGCATCGCCACTGCCACTGCAGTATTTCCAAGCCCCGGTCGAACTCCCGGAGCGGGTGTCGAGATCCCATGGTAGTAGTCGGCCGAAACTCTCACCGACGACTGCTTGGTTACTCCCTTAAGTTCAGCCAACGCTATAGCGATAGGGTCGTCCTCGGCGACGTTTGAGTTGGACGCATTATTGTGAGTTGTGGTGAGACTAGTCGAGCTAGGCGCAGCTACCGGTAGGACGTTTGGCCCAACCCCGAGGGCGAGCGATGCGTTGGCCTCAATGGGCTCGGGCTCTAGCGCCTTATCGTGAGCACGGCCGATGGAGTCATGTTGATATAGCTGGGGTCGGCGGGGTGCCGAGGTCTGAGTATTGGATGGGTGCCATGTGTTCCTGTTGGAGTTTGGTGCCTGCACCTCTTTGGTACTCTTCCGCCGGAATGGACTGTGGTTTTGGAAAAACCCGCTCTTCTTCTTCAGCACCCTCTTGTCCTTCTCCGGACTCGGCATCGGATCTTGCTTAACTGGAGACACCTTGCCACTTGGGGGTCTTGGCTCGTAAAAGAGGTCGGGTTGGAGTAATCGCTGCGGGAATCACGGCTGGAGGGTCTCTGCGAGGGTACGGAGCTTATCTCTGAAGAGGTCGGCCCCGGTCGACAAAGCATAGTCATGCCATCCATAGGGTAGGGGTCGTGTGGGACAGCCGAAACTGGTCCGTATTGTGACACATCCAGACCGTGAGGCCGGGTCTGTGTTGGACTTTGGAACGCTTCCTGGCGCTGCCGGTGAGGCAGCCTTTCCATATGCCGGTCCACTTGCCTCTCCATTTGCCTCTCTCCAGGCCGTTCCAGTTGTCTCTCAACTGAGCGCTCAACCTGCCTCTCAGGCTGCATTTCTAGCTGCCTCTCGGGCTCCCTCTGCAATTGTCGTTCGGGCTCCCTCTCGCCACTCACGGAAGCTCTCTGAGGAGTCACTGCCTTTTGAGGGGACACAGCGACCTCATGACTTGTGGAGGCGGCCGAGTTAGGGTTGCCAAGGCCCATGTCATATACTAGAGAAGTCTTTGGGTCGTGATGTGATTCGAACAAGGACGGCTGAGGAGAAGAAGTGCGGAAGGCGGGATTGATGCTTCTGGGGAATTGAGCCACGGAGTAGCTTTCATCCTCGGACACCTCGGAGGGCGTGTCATTCACATCGCCTCGACAGAAATTGATGTACTTGGGAGGATCAGGAATCTCCTGCCCTGTGCCTCGTTCGCTTATGAAGCTATAGATGTCTTTTTCGACATCCATCTTCTCGAGTGATAGTCGTATCTTCTCGCAAGAAGAGTCGTCGCTGACGCAAACGGTAGAGGCGATATTAGCGAAGGCCCAGAGGCTGCTCTTAGTGAAGTCTAGCCTCTCTTCCTCCAAATCCTGGAACTTATCCGCGGCCGCCTTCCACTCTCTATTCCATCGTGCGGTAGTCTCTTCAAGAGCCTTTATAGCGTTCTCATAGTCTGTGTTGGATGTCGCGAGGCTAATTTGGGTCTTCTCAAGCTTCGCCTTGTTCTTTCTCTCCTCTTGGCCCATGACCATGTGGCCCTGGGCGAGGTAGCCTTTAATCTTGAGGCATTCTTGCTCGTACTTGTCCCGTGTCTACGAACAGTCATGCGGTTAGTAAAAAAAAAAAAAAGTACCAAACCTCAAAGCCTAATCTTAGTCGACATACCTTGTTCACCTGTTGTGTTTGCTGAACCTTGATTTTGAGCAGCTTTTCGATGCCATTTTGGACAATCTTTCGGCGTTCTTTCATGCTTCCGGCAAAGGCTGCCAGGGGCTCCTCAAGCTCCGTCTTCATCTGCGCTGCTACACCCTGATGCTGGCGAGCCATGGCTTCCACTTCCCCTCGAACTGTATCAAGGGATCCTTTCAGCGTTCCGGCTTCCTGCGACCCGAGGGGTTTTCGGCATAGGGACAATAGCTTTCGCGCATAGTCATCTTCGATCGAGGCTCGAGCTACTCAGGATGTTAGAAGTCTACTAATCCACACAGGGCTCGTTCTGGACCGTACCAGCGTAAAATGCACGGAGTTCGTCAGATGTTTGCTTCGCGCTGTGCATGCGATCGAGTAGTGGTGGGACGCCGGCATCTTCTTTACCCCAAAAATTGTTGGCAACTTTCACCACATTGGTTAGCTTGCTAGATAGAGAACATGTTCAAGGCGGATGTGATATCGTACAGGAGAGCGCTACTGAAGGCGGCTCCACCGTCGCCGCTGGCATCGTGGAGGCCACTGTGTAGGTCGGAACTCTGCGTGTGTGGTTATGGCTTCGTCTGGAATGATATACAAGCTGAAGGGCTTGACCTTATGGCAGATATTTGCAATCGGAACTGCTCTGTTCTTTCGCTGATCGTGGGTTTGATGCTTTGTTCACGAGGATTTAGTGCAACTTGGATGATGGCCGATCCGGAATCTATCCCAGCTTGGGCTATAATGGATGTGGTGGTATTATTGATGTATCCATGGGAAGCAGTTCGTTGCCAGGGAAACGAAGAAGCGGCCAACGCTTCGCACTGTCCTTGCTTCAACCTTTCTGCTGAGATCGTGATTATGTCATCCCAACATGTCTTTCCCCGTTTCACCCCTGCTCAGCGGCGGTTCGGGAACTTCCAGCGCTTGATGGCGTTCATGAGTTTGACCAAGGTCTACAATTCACACGGACCGACCCTTGCGAAGCGTCCTCTTTCATCATTTTAATGGCGTATGTTTTGCTTGTGAGATTCAATCTTCAAGGCTGCTTGTTCTGCCCGATGCATCTCCACATCGCAGACCGCCACCTAATGGCAAATCATAGATTGCGATGCATTTCTTTCTCTGGAAAAGTTACGGAAATAAAATAAAAATTGAAATCAATAAAAATAATGGAATGTGTCTCTTTCTGAGTATCATCTGGCTCCTCCATCATCATATCGTTGCGACTTCGCCAACGATGGCTCGTTCCGTCTCCGATGAAACTATCAATTGATATCGCGCTGTGAGCCTCGGAGGGATCTAACCTGTCGGAGGGTCGAAGGGATCAGACTAATCACGTGACCTATGGCTCGCTCACTCTTGCTAAGTAATACAACACTCCTGTTTCCCATTCAGCGACTGAAATTTGGTTTTGCTGGAAGGCTGGGGACGATGTTGTAGAATGTACATAGCTAAGCTTGATCACCACTTCCACGGGTTCTTTCTAAGAGCGCCATATATTGCTGGATGAATGAGCTTATAGATGATAACTGCCATGGCTTGTTGTGAAGAGTGCCACTCTCAATTCAATCATCCTTAATATTTGCACGTTGCTCACCCTCTACCTCTCACTTGGGGTTCAACTTGATCCCTTGGCTATTACTCTACACGGGCCTCCATTGAGGTACCAGCTACTTCGGCCCTTAGTCAGGCTCGCACCAAACCCCAGGCCAGCTCAGACTCACTCCTGCCAGGTCCGCTCTCCTCTGTCCTTGTAATACAGGTAATATCCTTCTGTGCTGCTTCGTCGTCTCAATTTTCTCCACACCCTTCTTGAACCGACTTCCATCGCACTTCATTCTCTCCATCCTCCTCGTCACTGAACCACCCTCAACTTGGCATTGCCTTGCGTCAGTTTTCCAACCGACTTCCGCCATTGCATCGTTGAAGACCTTCCAACCGCCAGCGCAGCAGTCTTTTATCTCGACGCCCCAGCGATCGCGTTCGGGGAGAATCTTGTTCCATCTTCCACATCTCGATCAGCCTCAGCGCTTTGGCATCATAAAACCATCTATTATTCTCTCATCGATTCGTCGGGCTTGAAGATACGGGAAAGGGACGTGCATCTTGAATTTTCGCCATCCCTTCAATATTGGCCCTGTTGTCATCCATGTCGTGGGAGGGCAAGCCATTGCAGGACAACGACGACGTATCACCCCGGTACCCTTCTCCATCATACAACACTTCCAGACCGCGGAACACTCTCTGTCACCCGTTGACAGATATTCCGTGATCCTACCCTCCGAATATAACCCCATGGTCCCACCACCCAGGACGGGAGCATTCTCGCCAAATCCTGTGCAGACACATCAGTCGGGAGCGGGCCACCCATCGCACGCATCTCAATCGGCCGTCCTCAGTGCTGCCGCGAGTCCGAGTACGAGCAGTCCCACGGGGAGCAGCTCGCTAACGAAGATTGCCATCACCCAAGTTTCCCTTCTCCTCAGCACTATCAAGGACGAGAGCGACCCAAAATACGGTGCCCAGGTCAGCCAACTGAGAAAGGTTCGTGCCCTCCCGCTACTCGACCCCGAGGTCATCGCCTCCGCCTGAGTCCCAAAGTCGTCCATTGCTAACCCTTTTAAACCCCTACGCCTAGCTTATCGATGAACACGGCATGGAAGTTTACTCACGATTCCTGACAAGGCTCGTGGCCGGAAATGCTCCCCAAATATTTCCTGGGCTCAACCGGCAGGTAGCGAACCCAGGCAACCATCATGTCTTGGTTGGCGAGATGCGCAAAATTAGCCATGACCCCGACCAAGCCAGCAAAATTGCTGAGTCCATTGAGTCTGGCACCGAGGATATCTTTCGAGACTTCGATCTCTCCACTTTTATGGAGCATTTCAAGCTCGATGCCCTTGAAAAGACTCTCCTAGCACTGGCTTTCAAGCTCGGATCGCGATCAGATTTGAAGACGAAAGGTGTGATTCCTCGGCCGCTAGTATCTATCCCGTATCTCTACAGAACCATGTCTAACAATGCTGTTAACTATTAGCCGATGCGATTCTATCAACCAACTTCCCGACCTTTACCTATATCCTCTCGCGACCTGACCTGCCAGAGCACTCCGACCTCAGCCCTTCTTTTGTGGCTAAAATCGTTGACCGATTCGTCCAATACCCCCGCCTAATTTCCTCTCTCCTGCGAAGTCGGAGCTTGCGGCCAAAGTCAAGGCGCGATACTTTCATCAGGACCAACCTCCTCCTTCTGAGGTCTTGGCTGCCCTTGATCTAATCCGCCTTTTGACGGACGGTCCATCAAACGCTCTTGTGCATTACATCCAGCACACTGGTGCCGAGTTTACGAAGGACGAGGATATTTGCCAAGGATATCTGCAAAGTCGCCCTGCGGGTGTCCAGCTCAATGAAGAACAGGTCGCGGCCGGCCTTATGTACTCGGTAATCAGCCAGACACCAAGGTTCAAGCCATCCGTCTTAAGTGCTGCCCTTCGTAAGGTGCTTCCAAATAGCTTCAGGTGGTTCAAGGTTGTTTCGGGATTCGATAAGGAAACCGCCCGTCTTTCGTCAGACCAATTCCTTGCTCTTTACAAATCCTTGCTTCCCATTGCTCAAGATGAAGCTACCCAGTTTGATATACAGGATCTCTGGGGTGGCAATTGGGAAAATGCCGAAGCCCAGCTCTCCTTTGTCTGCGCCTTTGCCTCTCTGACACCTGATCAGCTGGATGCTAGCACTATACCTGGCCTTGTTCCTACCATCTCCCTCGACTCATATCTCGACTCATCCCCTCTGTCAAGGAACGGGTAGCCGTGGCCGTGAAGCATCCGCTTGTCTCAGTTGCAGCGCTCTCGGCGGTGTTCCACGTTGCTCTGCATTCTGTACAGGCATCGCAGAGCATCGAAGCAAAGAGGCTTTTCCAAGACGTGGTTGTCCCCAATCTAGACATCTTTGTCGTTTCCGCCTTTGGCGTTCTAAACCCTGGCCTGGTATGGCCGTTGATACTCTCAACTCTCTTTTCGAAAACTTCCTCTACAAAGATCCCCTGAGTACGAGTTTGTGCTCGAGAGTCTCTGGAAGCGTGATAAGGACTGGGTCACACAGAGGCTTGTTGACACGCACGCAACTAAACCCACCGACCTCCCTCTCATTTTCGAGCACGCTGCCCGCCATGGATGGCTGGACGTCCTTGCCTACCTTCCGAACGGTTTCGGCTTAGACCTTGCTTCCTTTGCCCACGCTGAGCGCTGCCTAGATCTCGCTGAATGGGCACGCCGGAATGCCGATCGCAGCGCTGAAATGGCTACGTGCTTGATTCAGTTCTTGATGATTAAGGGGACGCTTGAAGCACAATTTCAGCGTCCAGAGGGCCACCCGGCGATCAAGACTACCACCACCTTGCAGGTCCGAACCGTTTCCGCGCTCTTGCAAATTCTCGAAGATTTTATGCCGAGAACTCCAGTGCAAGAGTTGATCATTGTCCAGCGCCAGTGTATTACTGCCTATCCCAGACTAATCAACTATGGCGAAGGATATGATGATATTATCGACAATAATGGCAAGGAAGGTAATTCCCTCCCTCCTGCCGCAAACGTAAAGATGGAAGAACACTATAAAAAGATGTACGGCAACGAAATCGAAGTGCGTGATATCGTGGAGGTTTTGGACCGATATAAGCATTCTCGAGAGCCCCTTGAGCAGGACATCTTTGCCTGTATGATCCACGGTCTTTTCGATGAGTACACTCATTACATCGGCTATCCCCTCGAAGCTCTTGCAACGACGGCAGTTCTCTTTGGCGGCATCATCTCCCATAAGCTAATCTCTGATTTGCCGCTAAAGGTGGGCTTGGGAATGATCCTAGAGTCGGTGCGAGACCATATGCCCGACGACCCAATGTACAAATTTGGTCTTCAGGCACTCATCCAGCTGCTGCCCCGTTTTCACGAATGGCCCGGCTTTTGCAAGCAACTCCTTCTCATTCCAGCTCTTCAAGGCACTGATGCCTGGCTGCGAGCTGAGGAGGTTATACGCGACCAAGATGAGACGACAAGGAGTCGCGGGGGCGCAGGGGGCGTGCATCTCGGAAGCTATTCGGACGACTCTATAGCCAATGGTGTGGCGAAGGAAATCCTTGGGTCAGACGCACAAGCGCCTCCATTCACAGCCATTTCCGTTGACTCGCCAGCTCTTGATGCGGACCACGAGGATCCTACCAGTGATGACCAGGGAAAGATCCAGTTCGTCCTTAACAACATCACCGAAACCACTCTGCAATCCATGTGCAAAGAGCTCCGCGATCTCCTTGAGCACCGCCACCAACAATGGTTTGCTAGCCACCTGGTGGAGGAACGCGCCAAGATGCAACCAAACTATCATCGCGTTTATGTCGAGCTCGTCAACTTGTTTGAAGACAAGGCTCTTTGGGCAGAAGTGTTGCGTGAGACGTATAGTAGTGTCTCCCGCATGCTCAATGCGGAGACTACCTTGCAGAACTCTACGGAAAGAACTCATCTCAAGAACCTCGGAGGCTGGCTGGGCCTTCTCACGCTTGCGAGGAATAAGCCTATCAAGCACCGTAATATCGCCTTCAAAAAGCTCTTGCTGGAAGCCCACGACACAAAACGATTAGTGGTTGTGATCCCTTTTGTCTGCAAGGTGCTTATCCAAGGCTCCATCTCCAAAGTCTTCCGTCCCCCAACCCTTGGCTCATGGATATAATCCACCTTCTCATTGAGCTTTATCATCACGCGGAACTCAAACTCAATCTCAAATTCGAGATTGAGGTGCTCTGCAAGGGCTTGAACCTTGATCATAAGAGCATCGAGCCCTCCAACGAGATCCTCAGCCGTGCGTTGATGCTCGAGGAAAGCGCCGAGGCCGCTGCACAGGAAACGATGGATGCGTTTGAAGGCCTATCGTTGAATGGAATTCCCCAGCAGCCGCCCCCGGCCTCAGCTCGCAGGCAAACACTCCCGTCATCCCCGATATCGGCCCGATGATCAACATCCCTCCCACCAACGAGATGGTTGTTAATGCAACCAGGCTTCACGAAATTGTCCGCACCGCGCTATCCCGAGCTCTTGCCGAGATTATTCAACCTGTAGTTGACAGGTCGGTAACCATCGCCGCAATCTCTACTCAGCAGATGATACACAAGGATTTTGCAATCGAGCCAGATGAGAACCGTGTTCGTGCTTGTGCTATCAACATGGTAAAGGCTACGGCGGGTAGCCTAGCGCTAGTCACCTCGAAAGAACCCCTGCGAGCCAACTTCACCAACTACATGCGAAACCTATCCAACGACTTGCCTCAGGGTCTTCCGGAGGGCACAATCATGATGTGCGTGAACTCGAACCTAGACCTTGGCTGCAGCATCATCGAGAAGCAGGCGGAGGAGCGTGCTGTGCCTGAAATTGAAGAAATGATCGAAGATGAGCTTGAAAGCCGCCGCCGGCACCGCGCGCAGAAGCCCATGGAGCCGTACGCTGGCCCTTCCTTGAATCGCTGGGCCTCGGCCCTCCCTCAACCATACAGACTTGTGGAAGGCATGTCGGGCCTTACGCCCGAACAGATGGCCATCTATGAAGATTTTGCCAGGCACCCCCGCAGCAGTGCGGCAAGCGGTGGCGCTCACCACCCTCCTGCTGGAGTCGACGCCGCCACAAGATCCCTTGCCAACGAGGTTCTTCAGGAGCAATTCGCGGGCCTCGCCGGTATCCCAGCCCCTTCAGAGACCCCTGCTGGTCAGCACATGGCCGGCCATATACAGCCATATCCCCCGGTTCAGACTGCTACACCATCGGCGGGCGCTAATGGTCGACCGCCAGCCACTCCCGTTGACCTTTCCCTGATGGCTACCCGATTCCAGAAGTTGTTGCTTGAGCTTCAGCGCGTAGCTACGGAGGCGAGAGAGGACCACTTCTTGAGCCTTCCTCGGCCTCACCCTGTACTTGACCTTGTGGACGCCCTCGTCCAAATCATCATCAAGACTTCTCAGGGCTCTGAGGAAATGGCGCTCTTCGCGGCTGACCAGATCAGTCAATTACTATTCAGCCACATTGACGATAGTCTCGCTCTTGAGAGCTTAGCACACGTCCTTGAGACGCTTAGAAAAATCTCTGGCCCTGCTATCAGCGCACGTATCCGTGTACTTTTCAGGCAGCAGCCCGGTCACTACTTCCTGCACCTTCCCTTGCTTACGGCACTTTCGGGAACCGATCTCATGGATTGGAAGAATATTGACACGGCCATGTCCAAGGCGCTTCAGCAGCGCAAGGAAGGGTCTCTTGAGTTCCTCGAGACACTTTTAGATCTCGCTCTGCTCAATGACCGGCCCCTTGCCCTCCACGCGGACTTTGTTCGAACCTTGGAGGCGGCCTGGGCCTGGGTACTAGAGGATACTAGTTCTGCCGCGGGCCAACGGGTCAAGGCCAAATTAACGAGCGGCGGCCTCGGTCGTCACGCGACTCCCCTCAACGCCGATAGTCCCCTGGCACAACGCCAGGACCAAATGGAATACGTGTTTGAAGAGTGGATCCATCTCTGCAACAATGCTAATGCGACTGAGAAGTCTATGATGGTCTTCCTTCAGCAGATTCAGGCCAAGGGCGTAATTGGGGACAGGGATGATTTTTCCTATTCGTCAGACTGGCCACGGATGTTTCTGTCGAGAGATTCGAGCAACTGGTCCATACAAGCGGTGTCTCGGAAGCATTTGTGGCAATCGATTCCCTAGCCCGGCTTCTTGGCATCTTTGTGCGGGCTCTCCCTAATATGACAACGGAGCTTAGTGAGAACCGACCGGCCTTTTGGAATCAATCCTTGCCCTCCTCACCCTTGTCATCCACCATCACCACATGAAGAGAGGCGAACACTTCAACCAGCGAGCCTTCTTCCGACTGCTGTCCATGATGCTTCATGAGATTGATAGCCTGGTCGACCATGTGCCAGCTTCCGAGCGACTAGAAATGGTAATCAAGTTCGCCTTTGCTCTCCGGGACTTGGGTCCTCGCTTCGTCCCCGGGTTCACGTACGGTTGGCTCTCCCTGATTCAGCACCGTATCTTCCTTCCCGCCATCCTCGGAACTGAAAGCCAGGAGGGCTGGGCACCGTTGACTCGACTGATTGTCGACATGCTTGACTATCTTGGCGAGCAACTCAAGGTGCCGGATCTTGCGGCCTCATCCAAGGAGGTGTACCGATCGATCCTCAAATTCTTCGTTGTGCTGCAGCACGACTTCGCCGAATACGTCTCAGCCAACTACAACCAACTCTGCTGGGCTATTCCTACACACTGTGCACAACTGTTTGCGACCGTCCTGGCGGCCACTCCTCCCACTCTGCACAAGACGCCCGAGCCGTCTCAACAGGGTTTGAAGGCTGGGGGCCCGATGAACTCGAAGACACGCCCGCCGTCGACGCGGAAGTTATCGATATCCTCCAGCAGCGTGGGGTGTTGGATCTCATCGCGCAGGCGCTTCGCGATGGACCATCGGAAGCTGTGCTTGCCCACCTTGTGCACTCGGTAGGCCGTAGCAACGGACAGGCGACGACAGGCTTCGGGTTTGCCTCGATCGCAGTTGACCTCCCTGTCCTTGAAGCAATTCCGAGCTACGTTGCGGGATACGCCGTGGATCAGGCCAGGCAGAAGGGTGGGCCAGTTTACGTCGCAGGATCGTCGGACAGCACAATCCTAACCCTCCTCGCCCGTGAACTCAGCCCGGAGGGCCGTTACTACCTCATCTCGGCAATGGTGAACCAGCTTCGATTCCCTAACGCTCACACGCACTACTTTGGCCAACTTCTCCTTGACATTTTTGGACACGATCTCTCGGATGCGGAAGAGAATGAGGTTCGACAGCAAATCACGCGCATTCTCCTCGAGCGACTAGTAGGCTTCTGGCCTCAGCCATGGGGCTTAATGGTTACGGTGATGGAGCTTCTGAAGAACGAACGGTACATGTTCTTCGAGCAGCCTTTTATCAAGTCGGCACCTGAGGTAAGTTTTCTTTGCTACCATAGCCATAGCGTCTAAAAAGGGCGTACCGCACCACAGCATGGCATACACTAACGCTGTGCTTTTTTTTCAGGTGGCGGATCGGTTCTTGGCCGTCCTGCGACAGTAAATGTATCCCTCGTGCTGCTCTGTGATGAAAAGAAGAAAAAAACTCGAAGAAGAATAAAAAAGGAAGAAGAATGCAGTGGGAGAGGCCAGAGCCCACGCACGCCTAAAGCAAGGAGTTTCCTCTTAACGCGGCGCACCTACCGAGAAATAAAAATATGGTATCACGCCACCGTCACAGAAACCTACTCTACGAAATCGCGGGGCATGGGAACATGTCTACGATTCATTATCAACGACTAGCATACATCGTGTCCACACCCCTTATCTCCAGGCAAGGCGTTATAGAAGCATGCGGGTGGGCCAGTTTCGAAGCAGAGATTAAGCGACAAAAGAAATATAAGTGAGTGATGGAGGTGCTGATATGAGGCGACCCTGTCATGCAAGACAGAGAAGTCGGGGAATTATTGATATCAATTGATGAGTTGATGGACTTGGCAAAGCTTGTAACAGGTAGTACGAGGAGGAGAAAGGAGGATGGGATTGTACAAATGTAAGATCAATGGTAGAATCGGACGGCGGCGCAAAGCGGTAATTGCATAAGTATTTCTTTAGCATTGATAACGATGCAGGCTCTTGCCCAGTTCTCCTACTTCACCTGCGCACACAGCAACGAGTACTCGGCGGGTTTTCTTCTTTGTGGGATACCCCCGGCCAGTTGGACTGGAAAGAAGGGATGCTCCGCAACCGGGTATCTTTACTGCATTCGGCATCGAGGCTTGTATATGCGTGATGTCAACGGACAGGAGAAGAAAAAGAAAAGAGAGCACATCACAACAGGCTCTCTTGGCAATTTGGCTCTCACCAACGGCAGGGGGCAAGGCCATTCGTTATCGCGGGGGAGTCTTATGATGATCTGCGATGTCTGAACGAAAAGTTGAGCGATGACAACCCACGTTATTACATCACACTTTCCCTGCCTACTTGACAATTGAAGGGCAGACGAGGTAGGGGAGGGAGAGTGCGATCAATTTGATATGTTGTACATTGGATATTCCAAGTCGTGCCTAGCACTTTATTCCACCCATACTAAGGGAGATGGAGGTCGCCCTCCATGCTCATACACATTGTAATACAAGATTGTACAAGGTAGAACAGAGCCGAATACAGCACAGTACACGAAGGGCATCCTCGTCCTGCTCGGCTCTATTTCGAGCAGGTTCCGAGGTGTCTTGGTGGGAAAACTGGCACGGAAGGCGTGGAAGAAAAGAAAACGGAACTAAAACTCTATCGAGGAAAATTATTTTTTTCTTCTTCCTCTTTTTCTTCCTTCCTGCTCACTTTTTTGTTCCTTTGGGATCCACACTCCATTTCGGCTACTTGGAGGCCAATAACAGGATTTGCAATCATATCCAGGAGAGCTGCTATTGGGATGACAATGGAGAATGGGGAATGGGGTGATGTTTTTTGTGGGGAACGGAAACGGATGTTGCTTGACAAGAGAACAATGTGAAACTAGGAAGAAAGAGGGTCTTTTAAGGGGACGCAGGAACTGAAAGAGAAGAAGAAGAGGAGACAGAGAGAGTGGGAGAGTGGGAGAGTGAGATGATAAAGATGAGCACAGTAGCAAAAGATGCCGCGCAAGATGTTGGAAAGAATCCAAGAACTTCCTCAGCCAATTTAATATCTCGAATCGGCTGCGATGAAGGGCGAGTTATTGTTGACAAGGAACATTATAAGCCACGGGGATTACCAGTGGTGGACGAGGCTAGCTCACGTTAGCTCGGGTTCTGCAGGAACGGGAGGGCGTGGCCGAGGACGAGGACGAGGACAAGATCAGGTCAGACAACCTGACTCGATGATGGATCAACCCCGAGAAGCTGTGGTTCGGGCGAGACAAGCTACATGTACAAACAGAGGCGAGGGAAAAGGAGGGAAAACTCCCGAAAATGGGGAAAGAAAAACGAAAGTAAAACAAGAGAGGAAAAAGTTAGTAGCAAAAAGAGAAAGAAAAAAAAAAAAAAAAAAAGAAAAAAAAGGCAGCGAATCCCTAAGAATAGTCCACACCCACACTAGCATCCACAAGAGGGCGAGGGAACCAATCGACCCATGTGGTGGATGCAATGCAAGCAAGCAGGTGGAAGTACTTGTATTAACTCGCTTTCTTTCAAGCTGGAGCTTAGAAAGAAGGAGAGCGCCCAATCTGGCCCTTTTCTGTGGACACCACACGCACATTCGTCCACACGCACACGAATCGGTTCCACAATATGTACTCCAGCGGGTCTTGAACCCGGGCTCGATTCCTGTCGTGCTCATCTGCGAGTGCCGGGGAGATGTGGGTAAAAGGGTCAGCCAATATGATGTACGAGGGTACTAGACACTGACCGTGTCTTTCAAAGCCTCAGGTTCCGGGGCTGACCCGTTCAGATGGATCATTGATATTATTAATCTCACGCGTGAGTTCGATGTATTGGCCTCGACGGTAATATCCATATTCACCTTTCAAGAATACGCTCGACGGAGTCTAATGCAAAGCGCAAGGAGAAAAGGGACCCCCGAAAGAATCGATATCAATAACAAGTATTCGACCTCTGAGCCCGAGCTCTCAGCTCGTCAGAAGGACACGTGAGGTGAGATAGAGGAGACCTGAGAATCACAGCCCGAATGCTCCAAAAGCTCTTTTCCTCAAAGTTCATGTAAAGGGCTTCTCGATTTCCTTTTCCTTCTAATAATGTTATGTTCTTTCCTTGCCCTTCTGTTTGGGCAAGGCGCCAGTGACCCCGTCAGGCATTGATGTTTACAAGGGACCCACTGGAGCTGGAGGGATATCAAGTGGGAGAGCATGAAAAATGTGGGTTATACGGAAGAGGCATGGAAGAAAAGGAATAGAAGAAAACAAAAACAAAAAGAGGAAGACTGTTATTAAAAGAAAAGAAGAAAGGAAAAAAAAAAAAAACAGAGAACCCCCACTGGACCCAGTAAAACGCAGGAACCAGCGAGGAGTGCAAGGCGAAAGTGGCTGTGGATCAAAGGCGCATAGATCAAGTTGAATCCATTTTGAGCTGCCCGGTAGGGTTTGCTGTTCACCTCTGTGGCTCCTTGGATTCCCCTAGTTTCCTTTTGGGGTCCTCTCTGAGCAATTGATGACAGACTCCATTGTCGTCCGAACTAGGGTCGAGAAGTTAGTAATAACTAATTGGGGGCCTTGGGGGCTTACAAAAGCCGTCGTTACTGGCGGGAAAATCTTCGGCAACCGGTCAGGTACTTGGAGGGTGCGAGTCTGCGAGTCTGCCAGTCTGCTAGTTCTGCCGTAGTCTGCCGTAGCTCGCCTTCTTACCTCATGGCTGGGCCGGCTGAGGGAAAGAGCCATTGGATCTTGTCGCCAAAGGGAAGGCGCCCGGTTGGTCGATTCGCACTAGGCCCACCACGACCGGGACAAATCCATGGTACATTGACGAAAATGTTGCATCCCAGATCCACAACAAGCAGCTACGTCTTGCGCTCCCCGTCTCGCCATCAAACCCTCGTCAGATGGTGTGGTGTTGTGTACAAACTTTGTTGTTGAGGCTCCCACTGCCTTGCTTGTAGGTAGAGACCCCTCCCGAGGCATCATTGTGAACTACAGATGAGGCAGCAATTACGAATTACAAGTACACTACACCAGCTACCCCCAAACGGGGCCCAAGTAATAATACCGCGCGGGAGCCGTTCGAACCAGGCTAGCTAGGCCGGTCATAAAAAACAAACACTGAAGCGAGGTGGGGAAAAAGAAAGAATTGTGGAAAAAGCAAGGTCGGTCTCGATTCATCCAGAGCAAAGCAAAGGAAAGGGGACGAGATGGGGGTGAGCTGCCCTTCCTGACAGGAAAAGCCGGGCATAATATCCCGAAGAGAACTAAGGCGCTAAGGCGAAAGAGAGATAGAGAAAGGAAGGACAAAGGAAGAAAGCAAGAAGAACATTGAAGAAAAAGGATACAGGCTGTCAGTGAGAAGAGGGGAGAGAGGACAGGGAAAGGAAAAGGAAAAGGGAAGGAAAAAAAGTGAACAGGCACCGGACCATGACCTGCAGCCGGATTGGGTCGATTTTGGGTCTGGGCAAGATCGTTCAAGGGTCAGACAATAATATCAATCCATTCGAAGCGACTTAAAAGGCGGTGACAAACGCCAAGCAGTTATGGGCGGGCATAATAATTCACCTCGCCCTCGCCCTCGCCTGCTTGCGAAACCGAAGAGGAAATATGACTTGAATCCAAGAAAGGGATTGAGGGATTCCAAGAGGGAAAAAGAAGAAAGAAACAGAAAGAAAAAAGGAAAAAGAAAACCAGGTCCTCTATAGGAAAGAGGAATCTAGACAAACAAGGGCAGTCGGGAGCAAAAAGGAAAGAGCAAGAAAAGCAAGACGACGCCCCTCCCCACCGCCCCCAAAAACAAAAGAAAATGGCCGAAAAAGAAAAAGAAAGGGGGAAAAAGAAAGAAAAAAGACGAGTGAGCTGTGGGTGGGGGACAAGCTCCAACCAACCAGAGCGAAGGGAATCATGAAACAGAGTGGGAAAAAGTAATGGTACTTTGTCGATGGAAAGGAAAGATGGAGAGAGGAAAAAAAAAGTCGGAAAGAGGAGAAAAAAAGAAAAAAGTTCGCCCGCGCTACCTTCCCATGAGCTGCCCCTGCCTCTTTCGCTCTCCACCTCCGTCTCCATCAATGTCTCTGGTTTCCCTCCTCATTGTTATTCCTCCCTTTCGTCACCTCGCCATCCACATTGACTCTCTTCTCCAACATCACTCGCCACCTCCTCGTGCCTAGACCTAGTAGTACGGTCAACATCGTAGAGGGCGCAAATCATATCGCCGGTGTACCTGTGTTGCCTTGTCTGCCTCCCCTTTTTCCCTTCCTTTTCCCAAACACATCCACCCACATCCACCCACACACCCCCTTCTCCCAAAGAACAACGTCTGTAGGCAGCCAAACTTCCTACCGACTCAAACAATCGAGTTTCCTTTTCTCGCCTCCTTGATGCGATTCGGAATTAGAATCCCAAAGACAATAGTGCACATTTACCATCATACGTCTATCCTTCCAAACAATGCCGTATAACACGAGGCGCAAGTCTCTCTCCTTGCCGTCGCTCGGTATCCACGTCCCCATGACGCATGCCGCCCGAGCTGCTGCTGCTGCTGCTGCCGCCGCCGCCGCTGCCGCCGCTGTCTCTTCGACATCAACGTCGACCTCAGCCTCGACCCCGATGTCCTCCCTCTCTCCGAGCCCGAGCCGCAACGCCTCCCAGACCGAATCCTCTCCTACCCTCTCACAATCCCCTCAGCCCAAGAGGTTAAAACGAGCCCATATCGACGACTCTCCTTCCTCGCATCCCGCCACCCGTACGAAATACGAGCATACCCCTCCACCCTCGCCGGAGGCCACGCCGTCGCCCTTGGCTTCGCCCAGCAGGAGAGCGCGCCCGCAGATAGTTCTCGGCGCTCCAAGGCCGCCAAGAAGGAGAGCTCGGAGGAGATCAATGACGAGATCGTCGAGGCCGTCGTTGCCCAGCTCCAAGCAACCGGGAACCGGCCCCATCTCGTCAAGGAATTAGCAGCCGTGCTCGCCCAGCGGTTGACAGTCGTTCAGCAGTATGTTGCCCCGCCCTCTTCCACCCGCCCTACCCGTCGTCGCCACTCTCTGCTCCTGCGAGGATCGAGAGTGCCCCGGGCGCGAGATGCTTGCCGCCAACTAGGCCCTTGCGTTTTGCGACCGCTTTGCGTTGCCACATTTTGCTAACAAGTCGCCCGTCTCCTTAGCTCCGCAAACCCCTGTGCCATCATCTCATCCCGCCTAGCCTCCTTCTTGAAAAGGACCTGCTGGAAGGAAACCTGCCCCTGTCCTCTCGCGAAGGAGTTGGAGGCCGTTCACCCTAGGCGTACATACTTCTTCCTCACCACCTCTGCACGCCAGCCTTTCCCAACTCAGCCTCTCCTCTTCACTCTTCCAAAGCCTGTCACAACATCCCCTTCCATCTCCGGCGACGAGCTTAATCTTGACCCCGCCGACGACTCGGACGATGATGTGGTAATAGATGAGACGGAGATTATCTCGGACACAATCACCCGGAGAGCCATGAGCCCTTCGCCCGAGGTTGACCTGTCGTCGCCTGAGCTTGATGATATGGACGATGACCTCGATAGTCACGCCACTTCCATGGGTTCCTCTCGCGCAAGCCTTGCTCTCGACCGCGAGCGCCGTACGCGCGGCGCCTCGCCTCCCTAGAACGCGACGAGCGTGAGTTTACGCAAACGGCCAATGGTTTGCAAAAACGCAAGATGGGCAAAGAAACCATCACCATTCTAGACGACCCGAACGATTCCATTCTAAGCTTGGACTCGGACTCGTCCAGGTTCGACTCTATCTTCTACGATCACCGGTTTGGGAGCGGCAGCTGGGCTTCCATGGCCATGGTGGTAAGCCCCACGATGAAGCCGAGCCCATTTGCAAACAATTTTAGAAAAGACGGAGAGGACAACTGGGGCAAGATTGGCAGGCTCCTGGACTGGGACCAGACTCCCGAGACCATGGAACTTGAGGAGCTCGATGGCCTGCTCGACGCGTACTAAACGGCTCGAGGGGCATCGCCACGACGAACGATGAATGAGGAAGGAACTAAGCCCGGGATGAACCCCTAGGCTATCCCCGCGCAAACATGGCGCCCGGAATCAAGTCCCAAAATCAAAGCAATCTATGCTGGGGAACTGGCTGAAAGAAGAAGAAAAAGGGTTGAGACTCAAGGGCTTAAACAAAACAAAACTAAAAGATTGGAAATACAGAAAGACAAAAGTGCTCAAGACAGCACAACGGATGGGGTCACCAAGCCACGGCGTCCGGCAGGGTCAGGCCAGAAAGAGTACTGGCTTTGATTCTTTTTGTATGACGGGAAGGAAAACCAAAAGGGGGATTCACGATACCTCCCCCATTGTACAATTTCCTCGGCGGCGTTTACGAAGGAGTCTGCGATACTGGATACTGGGCTGGTCTGCTTTGCTTGCTTGTTCTTTCACACTTTTGTGTACCCATTTTCCACTCTCCTCTTTTCTGCGTGTTATTTCGATTCGTTCCAGCCTTGGTCTGTTTGCGTCTTTTACACTACCAGCACACCCCCGCCCTGCCCTTTTCTTTTACCCTGCTTTAACCTGCTTCGGAAGAACCGGAAGCTGGTGAGATTAGGTTTGTGAGGAGACTATATCCTCCTCCATCTAATTCTCCGTGTACTCTAATTGATACCCCTTATGTCGTGGGGATAGGCAAAGCCTGTCCGCGTGCGCAACACGCTGTCTTGAGGTGGAACAAGGCGACGGTGGGGTGGAGATGTACACATGGGATATCTAGACAACGCAGAGCGCAAAGTGTGGTGGTGTATCATACCTACATGTTCTTTCAAGTGAGCGTCAGGTAGGAAAGAAAGAAGAGGATTGAGCGATGGCGGAGAAGGAAACGCGGTTTGCCAAAGATATAAACCACATACGAAATTGATGATCTACTCTACTTTTACTTGAAGTCTGTTCCCTGCGACGGTCCTCTCTCGTTTCTTTTTCTTTTCGGGTTTGCTTAGCCACGTAGCCCTTGCGCCTTCTCCTCCCTCGTACCACTCGACGTGACCGTGACACCCGAGCCTAGAGATATGACGAGAAGTGCCTGGTGTCTACACGTAATTGCAGGATCAACGCTGTCTATTGAAAGGTTGGATGGTTCAAGAGATGTGGGGAAGCGGGGAATGTGACCAAGATCTAATAACTTTCTACATATAATATCGCACCTATCTTTACAAGGTAGCCCCATCTCTTTCTAGCATTCAGTCATCGTACATGCACAGGCCGCCCACAGAGCATGCGTGCTTCCAAAGTTCGCGAGACGGAACCCGGACCCCCGTTCTACTCCACAACCTTGAGCTCGATCCAGAGGACCGTACCCCCTTGGTACGAGGGCCTTTCCACGCGAACGACCTCGATCTTGGGCTGGCCCTCGGGGCCGGGGAGCCCGCTCGTGCGCGCCGCGTCTCTCACGATGCGCTCGAGGTCCCTGTTCCACCAGCAACCGTACTTGCGAAAGTGCTCCGGGGCGTGCCTGTCGAGCCACCAGTTGACGATGCCCCAGGTGCCACGGCCGTGCTCGAGGAGGAGGATGCGGCCGGTCCCGGGGACGAGGGCGGAGGCGAGGTTGGACAGGACGGCGGAGGGGTCGGATACGCTGCAGAGGCCAAAGGTCTGGATGATGGTGTCGTACTTGGGCGGGGAGGGGGGATTGGTGGGTGGCGACGAGGGGGTGGTGGTGGTGGGGGCAGGAAGGAGAGGGCGTTGGCCTTGACGAGGCGGATGGCGCCGTCGAGGAATTCGACGGCGCCGGCGGCGACTTGGCCCGAGGGGTCGCGGAGGACGGCGACGGTGGGAGGGTCGGAGCCGAGGAGGGAGGGGACTTTTGGAGCTTGGTGGCGGCTACGTCGAGCATGTCCTTGGCGATGTCGAGGCCCGTGAAGGAGAGGAGCCGCTGCTGTCGCTGTTCTTGCCCGGACGTGGCGGCGGCAAGGGAGTCCCAGTCGTAGAGGCTGAAATTGCGGCCCGTGCCGACGGCGACCTCGAGGACGTGGCCGACGGCGCGGCCGGCGAGTTTCTCGCGTAGCTTGGTCACGCCCGTCTTGGACTCCTCGTAGTCGAGCTCGCGGTCGAATTCGGCGGCGGAGATGCCGGCTAGGGAAGTGGGTCGGCCCGTGGGGGTGGCGGCGCAGGTGCCTGCGGGGACGTTGTGGTTCGATACGACGAGGGGGTCTACGAGAGGGTCTCGTCGCCGCTGGCTGAGGAGGACGTGGGGCCGAGGACGGAGACGGAGACGAAGTAGCCGAAGACGACGGCGAGGGCGAGGGCGCCGGCGAGAGGGGCGGTGATGAGCTTTTTGGCGTTGGGGGAGGAGGGGTGGCGGCGGAGGGTGGTGGGGGAGGAGGAGGAGGAGGAGGGGGGGAAGGGAGGGTGGTTTTGGGCCCGAGTTTTGGGTTGGGGTTGGGGTTGAGTTTGGCTGGGGGTTTTGGGGTGGGGAGTCTGAGGTCTTGGTTTAGGTCTGTGGTGAGAGTTAGAAAGAGAGATTGATAGAGATATGCGTACGTATGTGAGCTCTCGGGATTCTGATATCGACCGGAGCTTGCCGGTTGGGGGCGGGTTACTTTGGAGACGGGATGGCTGGGCTCATAATCGCCAAACTCTTAACAGGAGGGAAGGAAGGGGAAAGCGACTCTGAAGAAAAAAATGAAAAAAGATTCTTACGCGGGTCTCGGCGGCGTCGTCGAGCGCGCCTTGAGCGCAGCCGTCGATGTGTGTAGGCCCGACGATCGGAGGGCGAGGCTGAGGTCAGGTTGGAGCTCAGCCTTGGGGCCGTGGGCCACCGCCATCGGCGGGTTGACGTGCGGTAGGCCAGCATGCGAGGAGTGAGCTGGGCGGTGGTGGGATACGCGGCCTCCCTTCGGGTTGCTCGTGCTTGCGAGCGGGCTTTGCGAGCGTGCTGCTCAGTTCAGAATGCGACTGGGATGATTAATTGGTGGATGGGAAGGGGAGGGGCGTCTGTTTGTTCATGGTTTCGGGTGTGTTGTGTGTGGGTGTGTGTGGTAGGTTTTTTTTTCCTTTTTCCCTCCTTGTTCTTTTTTTCCGCCAGGGGAAAGGAAGGCAAGGTTTCACGGTAGGCGAGCAAGCAAGGTCGTCCGTCTGTCAAGAGACGACTCCGACTCGGCAGAGATCCGAGGAGAGAGCTTCGATGCTTAATTCGGAGATTCATCAATTACATTTTTACAACCTCTCACAAATGGCATTTGTTGATACATGTAGTATAGGCCGCCATAATCCCATCGCATCATCCATTTCCACACCTGTTGGGCCTCGCACAAATTCAAGGTCTGGAACTCCATGTGCTGATTTGAGTGGCTTTTCTCCCCACACAACAACCGCCGTCGCTCAGAAGCCGAGACATCTTTCTCCCAGTCCCAAGATCGTGCGTGGAGAATAGGACGCAAGGCTATAGCTGACCAGCTCATGCATATCCATCCCAGCATGAATCGTCGGGTGGATTGACGACGGAGGTGCCGGTGGGCCTCCGAGGGATCTGGTCAGAGATTGCAGTTAATCGGGCCGGGGGATTCTAGAACCTCTCTGTTTTTGGTCCATGGTCTGTCGACTCCGGGCTAATTCTGCCTTTTTGTGTGTATACTACATTGGCGCGGCTATAGACCCAGAACATGATCTTCTCATCTCATCGTAGACTGGTGATAGCTTAATGGTCTTCGATATAGCCTCGAGAGAGCGGGAGGTGAGGAACGATCTACATCACCAAAGGCTTTTCAGGATAAATGAATAACATGTGGTCTCTACCCCATGCTCTACCGGACATGACTGATTCTTGACGTCTCATCCATGATATGGGATAATAACTTGGGTTCTACTATGCATTAAAAGGGGGAGGCTTGCACCAAAACGTACAGAAATGAAGTACCATTTTCCAATCGACGACATAAGCGAAGGAAATTGAGAGAGAGAGAAAGGTGTGCACGAGATGGAGAATGAAGGCCAGACAAACAAAACAAGCCCCCGGGCTTGAGGCCGGGATCAGGGGACTCATCTCATGGGCGTTGAAAGCTATCTGACGCAAAGACGTTACAGGTTCGAATAGTGACCGATGGTGAATAGGGGCCAATGCCTAATGGTCCCCCATGGCTGGCTTCCGACTCCTCACTTTTGATGGGGCGGCTCGGTGCTAGAATCCGATGAGCCAGCGTGGGGTGAGCTCTGGAGCTTGTGCAACCGGGCTCAGAGAGACCGATAATACTCTATTGCTCTATTATCAAAGGGGTCCCCTTCCACTTTAGGCTGTCCCAGGATCCCTTCCCAGACTCTCCTCCCGACCCCGTACGGAGACTTTGGTATCCCTGGCCCAGGTTTCCGGCTCAGATGAGGACGACAAGGGGTTAAAGTAGACAGCTCATAGGCTGTTGTGGGGGCGACACCCCGGATCCCGTTTGCAACGCGGGTGCGTGGGAAACAAGGGGACCTGCCGCAATGTGTTTCATCGCGAGCCAAGCCTGGGAAGCGTGCTTGTAGGTTGGGGCCAGCGAGGGCGATTTTAGCCTTGCCAAGGAGAGGCCAGGGCACACCCGGCACAGGATAGACGCAAAAGACTGACGGCGAGGCTCGGTTCTCAAGGAGGCAAAGGCGCAGGTTCCTGTCTTTGACCCTCTATTGCTGTGATTGCTGCGATTGCTTTGCCTGGCGCACGCATTTTGCTCGAGGAGCAGGTTCGGCGCTTGGATCTCGCAGGTCGAACATGCATGCAGCGCATCTCTACTTGCAAATTAGCGAAAGAGGTCAAAAAGAAAAAGAAAAAGAAAGGACCCCCAAATCAAGGACCTCGTGTGTCAACCCTGCACGATCCACTCGAAGGAAAAACAAGGTTAACGTTAGTTGATGGAAAACTGTGATGTGAAATTGATGGCTTCCCCCTGCTGCCACTGACCATGCCCCTCCACTCATCCCCATGGCAGGAGCGAGGGGCACCTCCGGCTCCTGCCTCCCATCTTGGAAAATTGGGGGAGAAACAGAGCTTCCACGTCTAATTTGCGAGCTTTGGTTTTGCAAAATAGCCGCCCCGTATACACCAGAAAATGGTTCAAACGAGCTAGGAAGGAAGCTGTTGGTCCGTTGCGCGACTGCGCACAAGCGAAGAGAGAGAGAGAGAGCGAGAGAGACAGAAGTACATCCTAAGATGCGCATGTCCGTGATGGCGAACCGTACTCTTCACATCCTCGAAGAACATGAAACACCTCTCGAACTTCACCACTACATGATCTCCTGAACCTTTGCGACCGCGCTCTTTGGCTCTGGGAGCCCCTTCACCCCGCCAAAATGCCATCCCTTGCTTCTGATTCGGGACTGTCCCTTGCCTTGTCCGGACGAACTCCCGGAACCGAGCACGAGCTCTCCTGGGATCCCTGACAATACGAGAGAGCATGTTAATTCGTCCCTTCTTTTTTCTCTTCTCCCCCTTCCCTCCTCCGTTTCGACTCGAATCTCCTCGTAGATGTTATATAGTACTGCTGATCCCAAGCTGAGCTTGTGATCTCCTTCCTCTTCCTCTCTCTTCCTCCTTTCTTCTTCTTGTTTCTTCCTGTCAAGCATCTTTCGTTTTCCACTTCCTTTCTGATACCCAGCTCCCGGCGAGGCACCATCATTATATATACATTACCATTCTCATTACATATAGATCTTTTTGGGCCCGGACCTCAAGAAGAAAAAGAATCCAAGCTCCCTTTTGCACATCAACTCGACTCTTCGCTCCTCTCTAATTTTATAATCCATTGACAGAAAACATGTACGAAGGCGGTAAGAACAAGACTCCTCCCCCCTCCTCCCGGAAGAAGCCCAAGGCTGGAGCTCTCAGACACAAGATGCTTCCTTCTCCTCCCGAGCTTCCGCTGCTCGGTTTCTCCCCCGGGGAGCTATCCATTACTTCAAAAACACAAGGACAGAGCTAACGATCTTACGCAGAGGACAAGTACCACTACGCCCTGAGCTCTAACCAGGCCTGGGCCGGTTACAAGTCGCACCAGAACCCCGTCTTCTTCAAGAACCAAGCCATCGGCGAGACCCCTCCATCCGTAAGTGAATCGCAGCGCTGCCCCCTGGCACCTATAGCTAGCTCCATGCCCCCCCAGATCTTTTGACTAACATCAGGGGCGAACTTGTCCCTTCCCACCCAGTCTGGATCGGCTGCTCCGACTCCCGCATCCCAGAAACCACCATCCTCGGCCTCCAGCCCGGCGACGTCTTCGTCCACCGCAACTTCGCCAACATCATCTCCCCCACCGACATCAACACCTCGGCCTCCCTCGAGTTCGCCGTCGCCCACCTCAAGGTGAAGCACATCATCCTCTGCGGCCACTCCTCCTGCCCCGCCTCGTCCGCCGCCCTCTCCTCCACCTCGCGCGTCGGCGGCGTCCTCGACACCTGGCTCACCCCGCTCAAGGCCCTCGCCTCCTCCCACGCCGAAGAGCTCAACTCCATCCGCGACGACCACTCCCGCGCCGTCAGGGTCGCCGAGCTCAACGTCCAGTCCGGCGTCAGCACCCTCTTGGCCAACTGGGTCGTCAGGGACGCCGTCCGCGAGCGCGGCCTCCAGGTCCACGGCTGCATCTTCGACGTCGCGACCGGCCGCCTCCGGGACCTTGGCGTCGGCACCGACGGCATCCAGAGGGGCTCTGTGGGCACCGATGAGGTCGTCCGCGGAAAGCACGCCATGCTTGTCTTCCGGGATGGTGGTGCCAACATGACGGCTCGATAAATCAAAGATGGGGGCCGAAAGCCGGACCCTCCCGAGAACGGCTTGACCTCATTTTGTGTGCCCTCTCCTCTTTTCCTTCTTCTCCTTCTCTTCCTTCCTATTCTTCTTCCTCTTCTTGTTCCTCATATCCTCCGTGTTGGCATTGTTTTCTCCCGTAACGGGTGCCGCTTCCTCCTTCAAGTCATGGAACCAGGGTTCTCCTAGCATGTACGATAAACTCCTCACCCTCATCTACCGCGCTTGACCCCCATTTTCTTTGCATCTAGACGCACTCTCCCACCGTTTTAAAAGCGCCGTTCATCATGACATCCCATGTTCCTCCATACCCGAAACTTACCGCGCGCTTCCTTTGCTTTTCTATTTCTTCATTGCATCATGCTGGAGCCTTGGTTCTTTTCTTCTCAATCATAAAAAGAAATATATTTCTATTCTTGCTATTGACCTTTCTTCTCCAATCCACTTCTCCCATCGCCTCGGCCCCAAGCTGGGGTGGCTGGGCGGGAAGTAGAGTAGAGCTTGTTGAATCGACTCGCTTCATGGAACACATGTAAACTAGAAGGGACCTTCTTCCCCCTCAATCCCCTTGTCAGTCTTTTGCGAGCTTTCCACGTGCATGCTGGCCTACGAGTGACCTGGGGACTAGGAGATGCTCTCTCTGTAAGACACGTCAGACAAGGGGAACAGAAACCTCTCATATCCATATAACTTCGGAATGAGATACTCCACTCATTCGACCAATATTGATATTTTAAGACTGAACGTGAATATACATATACGGCCATCGGCCCGTCCTTCAACCCTCCTCCATTTTATTCTTCCCTCATATCTTTTTTGTGGGTTACATGTGTTGAAACTGAGAGGACGCTACACCCTCCTTCTCACCCTTAAACCCACCAACGTTTGAACATCAATAGGCAAGGTTTAGGCAAGAAAGCACAGAGGAAAAAGAAAGAAAGCAAAAGGGCTTCGGCAACGTCAAAGAGTACAGATACGTAACAGAGGGAGAAGAAAATGCTTCAATATCCAAGGCGAGATACAGAGGAAAGGGAATAAAGAAACAAAAGAAAAGCCAGGCTGAAATGTCAGCTCCTTTACACCGGGTTTCCCATCACATACAAATAAAGCAACGCATTAATGAACCTACTCCCTTCCCTTCGCAACCACTGCTACCGCGCCGGTGGCCACAAGTGCGCGACACCGCCATGCCCTGCCCACCAGCGGAAGGCAAGATAGCAAAACCACGAGGATGTAGGTGTCATCGCCTTCTGTTCCTCGCGCACGCTTCTTCAAGAGCACCCCTGCTGCTGCTTCCGTGGGTATATAACTTAAAACGACAGAGTCCCTCCGTCGAATCACCTCTGCGCGACTTTCGTGCCTCGTCATCATTCTCCCAGACCCGTAAATTTGGCCCCAAAGTCCGCGTGGCCCCGTTCACATCGCAGATGCGACTTTCAAGTCCATTTTTGTTTTTCGCGCAAAGATTCGTTCCTTTTCCTTTTCAGTTCCACTTAGTCGCCCTCCCAGCCTTACTCTTGTGGACGAGGACGACATGCCAAAATGTAGAAAAAGGTCGAGATATATGTATATAATTTGGAGACAAATCGGGTTGAGAGCGTCTCTTCAGGGTGTAGATTTGATTGGATGATGAGGTGATGAAGCAAGGAAAAACGGGGATGCCATGTTTCGGTTCTCGTGAGACCGTTCAATCAGACAGCCAGCTTGCACCTGGGCTGACTGTTATTGAGCGGCAGGGCAGCCCAAAATCGAAACCTTCGATTCGGCCGGCGTGTTCGGCATGTGGCTGACGTCGACCTTCGTTAAAGAGGAAAAAAACAAAACCAAAAAGCGAGTCATGGATATCTGTGGAGGTATATACAACAAACAGCACCTCCTCGGCGTAGCGAGGCAGGATGCGATCAATGACTGAGTGGAATCGAGCCGGCTACAAACCAAAGCAGCACGAACCATTTTAAAGTATCAGTTGCTTCAGATTGCGCTGGATAATCATATCTTGTACTGATGTCATGGTGATTTTGAGCAGGTTCGTGTCGGTCGCGTTTGTGAAGTGGCCGTAGATCTCCTTCTCGCTATTTCGGTTGAGCGCCCGGAATTTCTCCAAAAGTATTTGCTGGCGGCTTTCCAATCATCTTTGGGTCCGTTATAATCGGTAAAGCCATGGTCGTTGATGGGACTCTTGGCAAGCTTCTCCTTGAACAGATCCATCTTGTTAAGGAAAAGAATGAGCGCGGATTTGGCGAACCAGTGAGAGTTAGCGATCGACTCCCACAGCATCAAAGCCTCGTTCATTTGGTTCTGTGTGTTTCAAACAGTTAGCGACATTCAGCGCACAACCCACGCAATAGCCCTGCATCACCCCATGTGTGTGTGTGCGAGGGGGTAACGAAATGGAAGTTCACCTACCCCATCCTTGTCTTCTACTAGACATTGATCGTAACCGCTAATGGCAACGAGGAAGAGCAAGCAGTTGACGTTTTCGAAACAGTGAATCCACTTCTTCCGTTCCGATCGCTGACCGCCCACGTCAAACATTCGGTAGGTTAGCTGGCCGAGGTCAAACACGGTTTCGGTGATGCCGGTAGTTCGTAGTCGCGAGCGAAGAAGATCCTGGTCGGTCGGAACGTAGTCATGGGCCCAAAGGCGATCGATGTCGTCGCAGAAGCTATAGGCAACGTGATTAGTACGGCGAATGCATGCGAGTCTAGATGGCCTCGCCACAGGGCCAGGATGAGCAACGCGGGCCCAAAGGCTGAGTTGGGGGTTGCGAAGGATTGTGCAAGAAAGGGAAAGGGGGCGGGGTAGACGGTTACGTACTATGCGAGGTTGTCGTGGAGGGCGAACTCATTTCCCTTCTCAATGGCCTTGCGGACACCCTCATCCTGCCATAGTGACTTGATGGGGTCAAGGAAGTCCTGAGGCATGGGGCTATTAGGGTGAATTTCTTGGTCGACAAGGATATGCGCCATGTTCTTCTGTGAGAGGGAGTCCCGTATTAGCAGATGGTCAAGCGGGTGAGTTACATGTGCCGACATAAGAAAAAGGAGCAGGAAGAGGCCAAACCGCCCACCACGATGGCGTGCGGCTGCATGCGCTCTTCGATGCGTTTGGCGGGACATGTTCTCATGTTCTTTGGTAAACACCTAGGGTGGATAATGGTGGTTCCTGCCCGGTTCACATGCATGAACGGCAACCACCGACGACTCTTGCCCGCCCACTGATGGGGATCCCTCAAATCGCGGCCACCAAAAGTAGGCAACGGCAAGAAGTCGGATAGTAGGCATGCCAAAGGGGGAGGGGAGGGGGAGGGCCACGCGCATGAGCGAGGGGTTTTGCGAATTGCCTTACCTCGTTCTCGGGGTTCTCAAAGCCAATGTCCATCTCGTTCATGGCCTCAAGGATGAGCTGGAAGGATTGCACCACGTTGTTGAACACGACGGGCTTCCATTCTAGCTTCTCTGATTTGCTGAAACCTTGGGCATAGATCAACTTCATCTGCTTGAGCACCGTAGACTTCCCTGATTCTCCAGCACCTAGTGTTTGGAAAAATACCATGTCAGCTTAGGCATCCCCAAGGAGGGCGGAGACACACGGTGCTACTTTGGACAGAGGAAAGCATGGCAGTGGGCTTTATGGGAAACGGACAAAGCCACGACTGCGCGAGAGGTGTAGGTTAAGGGATAGGAGGAGGCGCTTACCGAGGAGGAGCAGCTTGACTTCCTTCGACATGCGCTTCTCGTCTTGTCGGATTATCCGATCAAGTTCGCGCGAACGGGAGACACCGCCCTCATCCTTCTTCCTGCTTCCGAAGCACATTGTGGGTTGTGGGGATTTGGAGGCCGCGCGACGTTTGAAGCGCGAGAGGATCGTGTAGAGAGGAATGCCCCAAGTCTCTACCAGACGAGGAGTTGTCGTTAATTATCCACGTGGGAAAATGTTGGACTGCAAAACGAAAGGTCCGCGAGGATCGACGTGGCAGATCGCTTCGGAGACTAGTTGCGAGAGGTCGAAGAGGCTCAAAAGGCGAAGGTTCCGCTGGCCTTGATCACTCTCAATCAGTTGTGTCGAGACTAGGCACGTCGGAGTGGAATAGATTGAATGGGTCAACCAATTCAATGGTGAGGTTTCGCTGGAACAACGAGGACCGGAAAAGGTTGGGAGATTAGAGTCGATGCTGAGTCGCAAAAACAGATGCGATTCTGGGATGGGCAAAAGGTGAAATTGCCGGCGCAGCGGGGTGATGCTCGAAGAACCTAAGCGTCTACTGGTGGTCCATCTAAGGAGGAATATGAGGAAAGAGTCGATCAGACAAATGCGAGGCTGCGGAGAGCTCAGTTTGGGGGACGGGACGGGCGTGGCGGGAAGGGTGGGAAGGGAATTGAAAGGTTAAAAAAGCGAAGGGCTGGAAGGGTGCACGAAGGGAATGGGAAGAGTGTTGGGTTTGTCAAGCGGCAAGGAACATTCAAGTATTAGGCCGGGGAACGAATCAATTGAAGAATTGGCCTCCAGCGTGGTTGATGTTTTCGCTTTTGCTTAGCGCAGGGCACCCGGGACACTTGGGTTTTGGATGGACTGTGCAGGTGCAGGAGCGCGCACCTGAGGGAGGGATAAGGCAGAGGCTCGGAACGGGAGTGTAGTGTTGGGGCACTGGGGGCACTGGCCGAGGAGTGTTGATGCCGCAGCAGCATGAGCGATCAATTGATGAGTGCACGAAAGGGGGCACCGGCAAGAGTACAACTGGATAATAGTAATATAAGCTCGAACGGGCCATTCGAACTTTGTATGGATACAACAGGGACTCCTTCCCCAGGACCAGTTTTGAGGCATTGGGGTACCTCATGGTACAAAGTACTTCGTACATCGCACCCACTTCCGTGCCTCGAGTTCTTGTGGAGCAACGAAGAGGAGAACGAGTCTCGATTCGACTTGGAGGTGTAGGAGCCACAAAGCACGAGCGTTTGGACAAGGTCCAGCGTGAATGAACAGACTCGGACACAGCGCCTCAACTGGATGGATGTATCTCGCCGGTCAAGTCGCAAGCGAGAGAGCAAGAGAGAGCACTATTTTGCATTATTCGCAAGGAACAGGACAGTGCGGGTGGGGTGCATACATCAACGGATTGATGGAGCAGACGGAGTTGCAGAGAGTTGCAGAGCGGACAGGAGGGGGCCTTGGGGCGAAGACAAGCAACAAGGCCCCTTCAGATCGATGGCGGATGATTAGTACTTTTTTCTCCATCCCACGTACCCCTGTACCCACGTTGCGTTTGACAATCTCCATGAAGTATCATTTACCCCATCATCTCCTTGGACGACGGCTAAGGTTTCTTCGTTGTGCACTCCCTCAATCCACCCCAGCCCCCAAGCCCAACCTGGCTCCCGCCCACCAGGGCATTAGCTTCCTATTATTACTTTTGATCCGAGGCAGGTCACCATCAGCCCTTGCAGACAAAGCGACTCGATCCTCAACGACGAGCCGGAGGCCGACGTTCATCGTCCTTTTTCGTTCTTCACTCTCAACAGAAAAGGGAAGAGGGAGAATCAGGAGATGTCGGCGGCGCGGGGCGAAATAAAAGGGGAAAATAAAAATCAAAGGAGGCCAAATCCAGGCGCGAACGTCCACTTCACATGGTTTGCATGGACGGAAGGGCGGGACACACGGCAGAGATCAGGCTCCGTAAAGAGAAGTCCGCCGGATTCCGAACACAGGGAACATGAAGCTCCCACCCCATCAACCCAAGGGAAAATTGTAGTCTTCGAAGTGAGGAAACCCTACTCCAATTGGGGAGGAATAACGCCAGTGCTTCGGGCTTCCATCGAAGCCGGCTAGACTATCCCCACAAACCACACCTGCTATTATCAATTGATCAACCCTTGACGGCTTTGACTGATCGAGACGGCACGATTGCCTGATGGGTCCTGTACTTCGTGAGCTAAGCACGAGTGGTCACCGCGAGATCTCCCAGCTGGTTGTGGAGCTCTCGCGTGCGCTAGGCACGAACTACTTCGTGCTCCAGCTCTCAAGGGTTGGCGCATGGGGAGGGGAGAGTCCTAAGGAAAAGCTATGTACACTAAAGTGGAGAGGTCTCAATGTACTTTGTACCCACCCGATCGACAACTCACGAGCGACTTGGGAAGTGACAGTGCTGTGCTCCAAAGCGAGCGAAGGAAGGGGCACACCTCCATAGACGGATATACAAAGGGAAGTTTTGCGAGAGATTTGGCCACGGCGGTGCGGGGGTTGTGTTGTGGATTGATGCTTTCCAAAACAGAAGAGAGGTACTAAACGAGGGAAGAGGTCAAGTGAGAGGCTCGTTCATGGCCAGCCTGGAAGACAACAATTTGCAGGAACCTCTGACTGGATGGCTTGGGTCTGGGCCGCGCCTGGGCCTGGGCAAGGGATCGCAAGCGAGCGCTCAGATACTTCTTGAGGAGGCGGATGCCACATCCATGAAAAATGCTCCAACCTGGTCATCAATGATGCGTTGCGCGTTTTGTTGCTCGCCGAAGACAATAATATCCAAGAGGAAAAAGGCCATGAATGGCACTGATGCTGAGGATAAGAAAAGCACGAGGGCTATTCTCGAGAGCACATCAAGTATACAATGGATGGGTATAATAAACCCATCTACCATTCATTGAATCCATCAACAATCGTAGCTTCCTTTGGCTTCTAGACTTGTCTAATCTCGGTGTTCGTGCCACACCCTAATGACGGCTAGAAAGCATTGATGGGCAGGATGTCTATCAATGGAAAGGGAAGCCATCAACAACCAAATGGTCAATGGCGAAGGGCTCGGGAGAATGACACCAGTCGATCCTTCCCCATTGCTACTTGTAGTGCAAATTCCGCACGGATGTCGAAGCTGTGCATCCGCTCCCCATCCATCACATCTCTGGGTTGCCACTAAGATACAACCCATGCCCCTTCATCACCATTATTTTCTTTTTTTTTTTTTTCTCTTTTCTTTTTTTTTCTTTCTTTTTCCTTTCCCCAGCCTTTGCCTCCTCCGTTTCCCTCCTTCCACTCTAATGTTGTAAGTCGCCCAAACGTAGGAGGGATGCGTTTAATGTGTCTTGTTATGAGTGTGCCCACCTTCGACTCTTTCGGAGCTTTCGCTGGACCTGCCTCTTAGTATTTCGCTGGCCTGTTAATTAATATTAGACCTACTGATATAGCATAATAATCTCGCTTTTCCCAGGAAACCCCTTTCGAGCCACGAGGCGGGAGGGCAGCGCCCTCGCCTCAGCCCTCTGATGCAGGAGGATTAATGCACTAGTGTACCGTACCGCCTCGACCGTCCCTCCCGTTGGTCAGGCTCAACATCAACTTGGGGCGTCCTTGCGGTGCCCGCAAGGAGGTGGTACAGGACTGTAAGACAAGGCCGATGGCAGGCGGGGAGTTTGTTCGCTATGGCGCGCCTGCGTGACGCCCAGTGCATCACTTTAGTGGACCGGAACCATAGCAACTCACCATCAAGGGAGATGGATGGTAGTCGCTCAGGTGAAGCCCTCAAAATCCCCTTCTTCTTCAGGCCTTCCTTTCTTTTTCTTTTCTCCAACTAGTAAGAGACCAAAAGTCGGCATAGATGGCGAGAATCACCCGGCATGCCATGATATCAGGGATGAGATACGGCTGGAGCACGGCTCACCGAGGGCTCAGCTCAGTCTCCTACTAGGGTGATCTGGATGGTGTTCAGAAATTCAACCACGCCCTTTGTCACCCATTGGAGGTTGGCGGAGAATAAGCCCTTTCCACTCACATCACTGCATCATACCTCGTTGCCCTTGTAATCCATATCGAGGCCGAACTAGGAGGTAACGCAAAGCTATAGATCACGCTATGGTGCCTTGGCCGACCGACCGGATCTACTTGAAAACATCCACCACTGTCTTGATGCGGAAGCGCCCCGCGATCACGATCGCGTCTGGGAGGAAGGCTATCAAACCCAGGTGGGCTTAATGAGAGCCACATCTCTGTGCCAAGCCTCCCGTGTCGACCGGCATGGAGACGGAACTAAATAGTTGAAGGCTAGAGTGGGAGCCTATGAGCAAGACCTCCGAGCTGCCCGCTGTCACTTGCAATCGTTGGTCTGGAGGAACTGTCAGAGACTGAGGGCAGGGATGAGCCGCCCGGGCCACCGTCTTTGCTGCTGTGCTTTTGGTGCTAAAATGACAGGGGGTACCAAAGTACATCTACAGACAATACTTGCCACACCAACTCTTTGTACCCCCTGTCAAACGAACAAAGCAGAAGAGTTCGCATGGTGAGCCGAACGATGCACGGTCCCCTTGAGTTTGGTGAGCGCGATGTGGCAGGAACACGAAGTGAATGAATTTTTCCTCTTTCTCCCCACCCCTTTCTCTACCGAATGATCGAAGAGAGTTTGACAAGTTGACAAGCTATCTTTCGAAGGATTTAGCATTCCTTAGAAGTGTCTAGGCAATGCTGTGCTACGCCCGTCTAGTCAACGACCCTTTCCTCGTCCCCTCTTTCGTTTCTCAATATAATGTTTTGGTCTCGTACGAGAACGGCGGCTTGGCTGAGAAAGGGGACGAGGAAGGGGAGTGCGGTGATGTGGCATAGCAGGACCTTCCCCGACCTTGGCGATAGATGTATTATTCAAAGCCGGCGTCGGCAATTTTTGACAGTCAGACCTCCAATTCAACCTTGCTGCAGTTACAACTTGCACAGTAAGAAAGTCGGGCGACCGGGGTGATTTGAGAAATAACCGACATGCTGCCTTTGGTTCTTTGAGCCGCCTGCCATGCTCCTTTTCCCTTGTTTTTCCAAGAGGGACAAGATCGCCAGCCCTG